CTGAGCCTGCTGTCTGGTGTGTGGAGAGAGGCCACCCCCAGCACAGCCCCAGGACCTGGAGCACTGATATCTACCCACATGCTGCCTGCAAGGCCTCTTGAAAATGAACACGGCCTCGCTGCCCCCGGCTCAGCCTGGCCCGGCCCCTGCTCTCTACTCCGCTTTCCTGAGCTCCCTTCTTTAGGCTCGTGTACCAGGGAGAGCGGCAATTCTCGCCTTTGTCTGTCTGGCTGCTGTTGTTCGGCACAGCATCCTCAGGCTCACCCTTGCTGTCACCAATGGGCAGATCCACCTGGCCCAGCCATGGTACCTGGCTGGCAGCGAGGGCCTGGCACCTCCCCACCTGGAGCCTCCCCGCCTAGTGACTGGGAATGATGTGACTGTCGCTGATGAATGCAGGGTGCTGCTCTCTCTTAAGGATGCTATTTCCTGTGGCTGCTGAGACCCAGAAGTGGAGGTCCTGTGTTCTGGTCTCTGAGGCCCCTTCCATACTGTTTTCCATGGTGGCCACAGGGGCTTTGGTCCCACCCACAGGGAACAGGTCCCTTTCTGGCCCTCGAAGCCCCTCAGCCCGTTGTCACCTCCAAGGCGCACTCATTTTGCAAGGGCACCATCAAAATAGCATGTCACACCCATTAGATACAGAGAACTGGGCTCTGGCACAAGAAGGCTGGCACCACCCCACCTGAGGGCAGTAGCCTGCTGCTAACGTTTGCTGTGCTTCCGTCTGGACAGTTTGTGTAGTAATAGAGTATTTCCCACATTCTTAGAAAACTGTCTATTTGTGATTGTGCTTTCCATTTTGCATTATTTCTCCCAGACAATGTCTGGGACATCCCAGTGTCTCTGGACGTTGATGGCAGGACTTTGAACATTTTTTATCAGAGGTGAGTTGTGCCTTTTCCAAATGGGAGGCCAACCTTCCAGGGGTCCCTGTGCCCTGCCCCTGGCTCTCCTGACCTGACCCTTCTGAGAATCGTAAGATGGTGACTTGCTCTAGAGCACTCCATGGATGTGTGCCACCACTGCGTGAGCGGTCTGTCCCCTGCCTTCTCAGGAGGCGGATGTGATGGAAATCACACTTCAAAAGTCACTGTGACCTGCAGGAGTCCTGCTCGCGGTTGGTGCCTAGGAATTTCTGTCTTTGACATTTTGGGCTTCTTCCCCCTCTGTCAGCAGAATGTTCTCAGAAAACCCTTTCCAGGCCTAAAAAAGGGCAATTTGGTCAGAAGTAGGTGTGTTGTTGATCCCCATGTGACAGGAGTGACTCGGGGGCAACCCCCCTGGCCCCCACCCTGAACCTGCCCCAGTGCCGAGTGAGCAGGGTGCTCCCCACCACCAGTCCCTAGCCAGACCCCGCCTGCTGGCACCAGTTCTCTCTCCAGCTGTTAAAACGCAACCCCCTCTTGGGTGTGTTCCTCAGTGGCTTTTGTGGCCTTGTCACAGGTGCAGGTGGCCAGGGATTCACTCCAGGCCGTCACACTTGAGGAGCACACATGGCTATCTCTCTCCGGCTGGGCTTCAGACGAAACAGGGAGATTACTGGTAGCTGTAAATTGTCTCCTTGCAAATCAGCCTCAGCCCCAGAGTTGTCCCTGCATCTCTGACAGCCTATGAACTGATGGAAGTGTGGTTCTGGGCCCAGGCGGTGCTGGTCGGGACCCGGGATTGTGAGTGGGGGCTGGGAGCTGCGCAGGACAGGCCATGGCCTGGCCTTGAGGTGGTCATGGTTATGTGGCATGTTTTTATGATAGGAGCATATCCAGCAGGACTCCTCCTCAGGTGGGACCGGCACCTCTGGCGGGTCTCCAAGGTGTGGTATGGGCCAAGGGCTCCCCAGGACACCGTCGTCTGTACACTTCGTTGTCGTCACAGACTGGCCTCCTCGGGCTGCTTTCCCCTGTCTCTTCCTCAGCCCAGGCCCAGGCCCCTGTGCCCCTTCTGCTGAGCCTCCAAGTGTCCTCCTCCCCTACACCCCTTCCTCCTGAGCCGCTGCAGAGTCTCGACTGTGACCCACATTCTCCACACGCCTCTTGCCTCCATGGTTCCCTCAGGGGCTGGGCAAGTCCTGTGCTCTTGCTTCTCCCGTCACCAGGGCCCCATCCTGCAGCAGACAGCACCTGCAGCTTTGGATGGGGCGGCCTCTGCTATGGAGGGGGCCTCTGCTGTGGATGGGGCCTCTGCTGTGGATGGGGCCTCTGCTGTGGAGGGGGCCTCTGCTGTGGAGGGGGCCTCTGCTGTGGATGGGGCCTCTGCTGTGGAGGGGGCCTCTGCTGTGGAGGGGGCCTCTGCTATGGAGGGGGCCTCTGCTGTGGATGGGGCCTCTGCTGTGGAGGGGGCCTCTGCTGTGGAGGGGGCCTCTGCTGTGGAGGGGGCCTCTGCTATGGAGGGGGCCTCTGCTGTGGAGGGGGCCTCTGCTGTGGAGGGGGCCTCTGCTGTGGATGGGGCGGCCTCTGCTGTGGATGGGGCGGCCTCTGCTGTGGAGGGGGCCTCTGCTGTGGAGGGGGCCTCTGCTGTGGATGGGGCCTCTGCTGTGGAGGGGGCCTCTGCTGTGGATGGGGCCTCTGCTGTGGAGGGGGCCTCTGCTGTGGAGGGGGCCTCTGCTATGGAGGGGGCCTCTGCTGTGGATGGGGCCTCTGCTGTGGAGGGGGCCTCTGCTGTGGAGGGGGCCTCTGCTGTGGATGGGGCGGCCTCTGCTGTGGAGGGGGCCTCTGCTGTGGAGGGGGCCTCTGCTGTGGATGGGGCCTCTGCTGTGGAGGGGGCCTCTGCTGTGGATGGGGCGGCCTCTGCTGTGGAGGGGGCCTCTGCTGTGGATGGGGCCTCTGCTGTGGATGGGGCGGCCTCTGCTGTGGAGGGGGCCTCTGCTGTGGAGGGGCCCTCTGCTGTGGATGGGGCCTCTGCTGTGGATGGGGCCTCTGCTGTGGATGGGGCCTCTGCTGTGGAGGGGGCCTCTGCTGTGGATGGGGCGGCCTCTGCTGTGGATGGGGCGGCCTCTGCTGTGGATGGGGCCTCTGCTGTGGATAGGGGGGCCTCTGCTGTGGATAGGGCGGTCTCTGCTGTGGAGGGGGCCTCTGCTGTGGATGGGGCGGCCTCTGCTGTGGAGGGGGCCTCTGCTGTGGATGGGGCCTCAGCTGTGGAGGGGGCCTCTGCTGTGGAGGGGGCCTCTGCTGTGGATGGGGCGGCCTCTGCTGTCGATGGGGCTTTGCTGGTCACCTCTCTCATCTCTCAGGAGTTTCTCTTCCATTTTCAGGGCAGTTGTGTATTAAGAGCACGTTCATTCCAGTGCTATAATCTAAAACTGTTTGAAAACATGTGGTTTACCATTAAAAAGGCTGCCTGTGGCCTTGACCTGCATCTGGTGGCACCACCTGCTTGGGGCCTCTCAGAAGCCCAGTGGTGCCATCTGATCCCACTTCCTAGCCCCTGGTGGGCATCAAGTGCCCAGCAGTGACTTTGCATTCCATGATTCGCTTTCAGATACTATGGATAGCAGTCCTATGTGTGCAGCCTGTTGAGTGCCCTCTTGTGCTCCCTAGAGAAGAGCCTGCCTTTCCTGTCACCCAGACTCACACTGGCCCTGGGAGGGAGGCTACATGGGCAGGGACTACGTGTGGGGCCCCAGGTGAACACCATGTGACATGTGCCACTGTGGCCAGGGTGCAGAGCACTGGCTGGGCCCAGGGGGCTTGGAACAGTAGCTGTCAGGCCAAGGGACAGACCTCACCCTGGGGAGGGCAGGGTTTGCAGGGGCTTGGTCGAGAGGGAGGTTGGCACACCTTACACCACATCTTGGCTCGTTGGGGAGTACGGTGGTACCTTGTGGCTGTGGCTCCTTTCCCTTCTGTCACCTTCCTCTGGGGGACGTGGGGGTCCTTTGGGCCTCAGTTTTTTGCATTTGGAGCAGAGAATCTTAAGCCCCCAGTATCCTCTGGTCTGGAGGTGGCTGGGTTGAGATCCAGCTTTGCTTGAGTGCTGGCCTCTGCCTGCCTGTTCCCTGGACCCAGGAGGGCCCTGAGTGCCAGTCTCCTTACAAGGTTCTGTCTGTCACAGAAGGATGGGAGGCCTTGGTCAGGAGGCTACTGCAGGCCAACCAGAGTGTGTGCTGTAGGAGCTGAGGGTGCAGGGGCAGTGTGGGCCATGCTGACTCCACACAGCTGGGAGCCTCGGCGCCTCAACCTGAGCTGCCCTCCCAGCCAGGACCACACCCAGGCCAGGCCTGCTCCTTCTGGGCCCTCCTGCTCCTCTCTTCCCACAGGGGCCCCTGGCATCCTCTGCTGTGCCCCTGGGATGCCCACCTCCCTCAGCCTGGCTCTTCAGATTCCTGTCCCTCTGGGTCCTGGTCCAGGATTACTCTGCCTCTCTGACAACCAGTGGCCACTGTTGTGGGGACTCCTCCCATGCCCAGATCCTGTGCTGTCCTCAGACCAGCTTAGCAGTCCCGCCATGCCCACCCATGCTGGAGGCTAGGTGTCCTGCAGGGCTGCTGTCTCCTGAGCTTCTAGCCTCAGGCTCTGCCCAGTGCCCACTGTGGTGCCACTCCCACCTCTGGGAACAGCAGGGGCACTCTTTTCCCGGTAGCAGCCTGTGCTTTCTCCCTCTGAGCCCAGGTTCAGCCCTGGGAGGTGATGGCGATTGTGGGTATCAAGTAGGGGCAGTGCTGGCTGGGCGTACATGCCCTGCAGAGGTCACCTGGAGGCTGAGGGGCACTTTGGGAGCCCAGAAGCTCACAGGAGTCCCTGTCACTGAGGCTTTTCCAGAGGCTGTGACGTCAGACAGGCTGGGATTCTTTTCACATGAAAATGATGGTGACTTCCTCCTGGCCCTCGGCTGGTGGGCGGGGTTGGCTCAGGAACTGGGAGCCAGGCTTACTCAACCTCTGGCTTTGTCAGACACCTGCAGGGATCTGTCCCAGCCACTGAGTCCCACTGGCCAGCCTTCATGAACGCGTCCTGGTTATCATGAGGTCTAATTAACTCATGTCTCTCTCTCTTTTCTTTCAGTCTGCAACTGTGTCTGATGGGGGTAAGTCGCAACTTCTGATGTATGTTTTTATTACTTTTAATGCAATTTTCAAGTTGTGGGGCTGTCTTTGCTATCTGACATTTGCATGAAAGATGTGTGCTTACCTCTCTCTGTCCCCATGAGGGTGGGTCTTGTTGGGTGGTTTTGGGGTGTTTTCAGTGTGTGTCCTGGAAGCTGCTGGGCAGAGCAATGGCGACAGAATGCCCAGGTGCTGAGCACTGGGCACACTGCTGCATGCCTATGTGCAGCAAGTTAAAACATGCTTGCCATTCCCTAGCACAACCAGCTTTTAAACCTGCCAGTTAAGATTTCAGAGCTCTTGCTGAATTTGGGCAATTCTGGAAATTCAAGCGAGAGTCAGCTGCTAAGACTCCTTCTTAGGACAGTGGAGTGGGGGTGCGGATCGCGTGGGATGAAGAGGATCAGGACTTTGTCTTTAAATGAGTTTGCACACAGGAATTCTTTCAATGGGACTGATCAAAGAAGGAAAAAGCAGGATGTGTCTTATTCCTCTTGTGATTTCTGTGATGAAATCTGTTTGAGTTCAGCCATTTTTCTCTAGCATCCAAATACACCTTGCCTTTTGTAGCCCTGTGCCCTTGTTCCACCTGTGTCTGTCCTCAGAGCTGGCTGTGACATCTCCGAAGGCATCTGCATCTGTTTTCCTTCCTATGCCCGGGCTGGGCGGGCGCAGGGGTGAGGCTGCTGTCTGTTCCTGTGAATTACAGAGGAGCTGAGTGTGGCCTTCTGGGAACTTCCTGTTGTCTCCAGCTGCCCACGACCTCAGTCCCCGGCTACACAAAGGGCCACTGTCACCTGGCTGAGGGGCCGTGGGAAGCTTGAGGAGTATGTGTTGAGTTACACATGCTCTAATCCCAGAGCCCGGGGCGGGGTTGGAGGCTGATGGATGAAAGGCGTTATGTTTCCTGTGTTTTTGCAGGGACGGTCCTGTCATTTAATCAGCTTTAAGCTGGGAGTGAGAAACTTCCATAATGTGGGAACTGGCCATATTGCCTGGCCGGGATGGAAGCCAGGGCTGCCCAGTGCTGCTTGAGCTTCCTAGCTACTGTGTTCCTTTTCTAGTGAAGGCATTCATTTTCTCAGGAAGCGTATAAACCTGAGAGGTTTTCCTAATCATGCCTCATCTTTTCTTCTTGTTCTTTTGCATTGCCGGGGGTCAATGCCAGGCCTCACATGTCAGGCAAGCCGTGCTACCCTTTGGGCTACATCTCGCCCCTGGTCACGCATCATCCTTACCCGCCTCGCCAGTACGTCTTTTGTCAGAAGGTGGGGAAGCCCCAGGGTTCGGGTGGTGTCTGTGTTGTAATTTTTAATTGTTGCCCTTTCCAAGCGTGGGAAGCCCCTGCCTCCTGGCCCCTCCGGTTCCCTATGCCGTTTCTGAGGAAGTGGTGACCTGGCGGGGGTTCCTCTCTTCTGGGGCTTTCCACCCCTCACGCTTTGCGGGGAGCTGGGGAGCTGGAGAGCCAAGGTGGTGGGAAGAGTACCCTTCTGGGCAGAGGCCAGCCTTGGTGGGGTGTCAGGGTGGGCAGACACCCTGCTCCGCTTGGCTGTGGGGGCTTTATTCACTTGCCTTTCACTTTTCTTGTTTTCCCAATTTTAATTTCTTTCCTGATTATGAGAATAACAAAGTTCCCTGGGCTGAGTATGATGGTGCACACCCGAGATTCCAGTTCTTAGAGGCAAGGAGCAAAACTTGAGTCCAGCCTGTGACCCTTAGTAGCTTAGTGAGAACATGTCTCAAAAAGTAGAACAGAATGGAATACAAATTCTAAAAAGGGCTGGAGGTGTGGCTTAGAGAGAAAGCCCTGGGTTCAACCCCTAGTGTCACGCGTACACCCGCATGCACATTGGTTATCTGGCTGAATGTCTGTGTCAATTCTAGGGGGTCTGTATACCTTCTGTCTTTGTGTATACAGGAGGGGATGCTGTTCACGTGTGGTCACTCACTCCTGGGCTCAGGCCTGGAGGAGAACAGCGCCTGCCCTACTGTGGAGCCCCAGCTCTGCAGACACCAGTTCTGTCCCAGCCCCATACACCCAGGTGCTTACTGAGGGGCTGGGTGGGAACTGGGCTTTTCCATGTCACAGTGCTAGGTCCTCCCATGAGCGACATCTGAGGCTCCCATGGGCCGGGAGTTGCAGCCTGGCCCCCTCGGTGGGAAAACGCGTTTCACAGGCCAGCAGGGCCCGACAGCCTAGGAGCAGCCTGGAGAGCAGCCTGCTCCCAGCACGCCCTGACCTATGTCCTGTGCTCTGTGATGAGCGCTGCTCACTGTCTGTGCCCTGAGGTGAGCTGACTCCTTCCCTTCCGTTGCTGTCACCACACCACACTGGGTGCTTTACTATGTGTTATGCCTGCGGGGTCCCTACTCCTCCCGGGAGAGGGGCTGCAGGTGCCAATTCTGGCTCTGAGGGAAAATTTTTTGCCCAAGCTTTGAGAGGCTTCCCCATGCCATGGCCAGCTCCAGGCAGTCCCCTGGGGATTTTACGTAGTTAGAGAGCAGTGCAGGTCTGCTGTACAGCAGTGCAGTACAGCTCAGTGGTAGAATTCTCTGCTCCGGTACTGGAGGCCCTGGGTTTCATTCCTAGCTCTGAAGAATGAATAAGCAAATGAATGAATGTGCAGGAAAACACGGCTTTCCCACTGTTGACCAGCAGTGCCCATGCTGGTGCTGGGCATGGGGCAGGCATCTGGCAGGTAAAGTGCTTACAGCTTCTCAGGGTGCCCTCCCTTAGCTCCCGAGCTCTGGTCCTTGTTCTTGAAAGGAGGTTTTGGGCATCATTGGGTGGGCACGTTTCAGGGCCACCTCCCCACTGGAGACACCAGCAGCAGGTGGGGCAGAGACAGAGCCTGCCCCAGCATCATCGCCTGCACACACAGAGCACATGCAGGCCTTGCGGACCAGGCACCATCAGTGAAAGTTTGGGAGTGCCTGGCCAACAAGGGTGGTCTCAGCATGCGATGGCCTCCCAGCCCACCTGTCGGGCCAGGTGAGGGACCCTGTTTTGTCTTCTGTTGAAAGACCCCACCCAGACAGCGGACAGAAGACAGAAGTGGGGGCCCCAGCACCCAACCAGTTAACCACTGTGAAAGGCAGAGACTCTCCCAGGCTGGCACCCTTGAGTCACCCTCTTCTGCAGTGACTGACCCTGACAGGCCAGAGGGAGGTGTCTGGGGTGGTCACATCTCTCCCAGGACAGGAGGCTTCTTCTACAGTTGAGAAGTCAGACACCAGCAAGAAGCGCTGCCAGCAGCCATCCCCTGTGACAGGGTGCTGGTGGGACCCCTCCTCCCTGCCCTCAGTGTTCCTCCAGGCCTGTGGGCCCCGCCGCCTCCCGATCCGGTCTTTGGTTGGACACCTCGGTTCTGCCCCAACCACACCCCTGCCCCAGCAGCATCCTGGGAACTCCATGCAGATCCAGCCTCTGGATATCCCACCTTCATTCCTCGCTGGTGTCCTAGGGCCACAGCGCCTCTCCACCTACCCATAGCGTAGCACTGTCCCCACCCTGGTCTCTGGCTGTCAGCAAGCTCCTCCCACCCTGTGCCAAGCTTGCTGCTCATTTCTCCCAGCACCATTGCCTGCTGCCAGCCAACTTCATTGTTTACCTGTGTCCCTGGTGGTCAGCCCCCACTAGAAAGTGACCTAGGTAAGGCCAGTCCTGGTGACATCAGGGCCGTGTTGCAGAGGTGGCTTGAGCACTGTCTGTGCTGGAGGTGACTGGACCAGGTATGTGGCAGATGCCAGCCAGGGACTGCAGCAGGACTCTGTTTAGGTCAGTGGCCTTTTAGCAGTGAAACGTTCTCAACAAACTAACCAGTCAGCCTTGGTAGAGTCCTACTGAGGAAAGCAGGTGCGGATGTAGCTTGCCCTCCCAAGCCAGTGAGAGGCTCTGGTTTCGGTGTCTCCGCCCTTGCCGGTGGGCCACACAGAGCCTGGCAGCACGGCTTCTGAACCTCTCCCCTCGGCCTTGCCTGCTTCATCCTGCTCTTGTGAGCGTGGCAGTAGGCTGTCCTCCGCTGTGGGCAGAGGTCTGACAAGCCCCTGGCCGCTCCCCAGCTGCTGCTTAGCCCCAAGGCTGCCCCTGCAGGCTGTGTCAGCACTGTTCCCAGAGGGGAAAGCGGGCATTGGGGGTCGAAGCCCACAGCGCTGCCCTGCTCTGCCTGGGCCCTCCGGGCACAGTGTGAGCTATCTGGGCTCAGCAGCAGTTCTGTTCCAGGTATACAGACAGACCTGGCTTCGAGGGGCCAGCCAGTGCTCCCTCCCAGCATCCTGCCCCTTGACACCTGTCCACAAGACACTGATGATGGGCAGGCTCCTGGGCAGGTCTGTCCAAAAAGCCCTTTCCCACATCTGGGCAAGATCCCACTGCCTCTGCCTCTGTCGCCGCCTGCCCTGAGCTTTCCAGTCCCCGCTGACCCTTGGCTCTAGAAGGGACTCTACGTTTTGGGTCCTACAGTGTGTGTGGCTCCCCCTTCATGATGTGAGGCACGCAGAGCCCAGGAAGCACACCACGATTTTCAGCTGTGCTTGGAGCCCACAGTTCTGCCTGCTCCATGCCTTGCTGTGCCCCCCGGTTGGGTGAGATTTCAGGCCCATGCTCCAGGCTGGGCTGTGGGCATCACCGTCCTGTTCTAGGCCTGGGGTCCTTTCCGCGTGCCTAGAGGATGCAGTGGGCCCTGTCACAGGCTGGGGGGATGTTTGTGGGAGTTAAACTGCATTCCTCTTTAAAATACAGAGTATCAAAATCTAATATTTTTGACAAGTGAATTTATATTCCATAAAATTAGGGAGGACAAAGGGAAATGTAAAAGCTTGAGAACAGTACTATGACTATATAGCATTGTTTGGTGGAATTCAGATTTTTTTCTCATGAAAAAAACAGTGATCTAATCGTATACTTTCTAGAATGTTTGCTGAGTAACATGGAAGCGGTGCTGGTGTGCTCTGTGCCATGTATGGGCAGCGCGGTTAGTGGGCCCCACTCTGGCTGGTTTGCTTTGGACTCAGATGTCAGACCCAGGATGACACAGCATCCTGGAGGGTATACCAGGGGCAGGGACACTTGGTTTCTGCAAGGTGCCTCCCCACGTACTTACTTCTTCCGAGTGCTAAAAGATCTTTGGAGAGAATTTTTATTGATAGTTTTATTATGAATTTTGTTTTCAAGCAGACAGAGGTTCAAAAGCAGTAAAGCCAGTGGCCACGTCCTTCCCTCCCAGCGCAGCAGGTGTGCCTCGGGTGCGTTGGCGCCAGAGTTGATTGGTGGAGTCCCTTGCCTCCTCTGTCTTCACCCCACCTCCTCCTGAGGAGTCCTGGAAGTGGCCCAGCTCAGTTTCCACGGTACTGGAGGAGACTGGGGGCCTGGCCAGGCTCTACTCCTTGGGAGGGAGGCACGTAGAGGCCCCTCAGGGAGACCCTCGGGGCTGGCTAGGGATGGGCTGTCTTCTGCACATGGGGGTGAGGTGGAGTGTGCACAGAGAGTGCCCTTCCACGCGCACTACCCCTTCATTCTTTAGTAGGATCTGGGGACCCAGGTGACAGAGCTGATGGATGAGGGGAAGACGTGGGCACACGGGTCTGCAGATGTGTAACCAGAGCACGGTTCACATGCCAGTGGCTCTGTGAGGGAGACTGGTGAGGGGACCCCTGACCACAGCTGGGTATCGTCGAGAGATGAGCAGTGGGCTGGGCAGAACTGCATGAGGTGAGGTCACTTCAGAGTCTATTCACTCAGGGTCTCAGCCTGGTCCTGGCATTGGTGGCCAAGGCTGCTGCATGAGAGGACACACCTCGGCCAGACCTGCCCTGTCACAACTGTTAGGCCCAGCCAGGGTTCTGCAGGCTGCGCTGCTCTGGCCTTCTCTGACCTCCCCATCTCTGCAGTTCAGGAGAACTGGCCCATGCTTATGCCACATGCCGGAGGGGATGCTGGGGACAACTGGGGACCAGTGTGCTGCTCTTCTTTCCGTGGGGGAGGGGCCTCCCCATGACAGCGGCCCAGCTTCTGAGCCTGGCTACTTCCTGCATTCTGGCTTTCTGGTGCTGTGTGGCAGGAGGGCAGCTGCAGAGAGAGAATTCTGGGCAGTTGTTCCTCTCTGCTGGTTGTGGGGTGTGATGTACAAACCTCAGAGCAAAGCTCAGGTCACAGCAGCCCTTCACACAAAGGGCTCTAGCAGTTTCCTACTTACCCGGAACCCAGGAGGTGTGAGTTGTACCCCCAGCCCTGTGCCTGGGCTTCCCATGCTGTGGAGACAGCCAGTATATGAGTGGAGGGCGAGCTATCGGCCTGTCTGGGTGTGAAAAGCCAGAGGCCAGGATGAAGCTGAGGGCGGAGTACTGAGACATTAAGTTATCAGAACCTGCCTCCTGCAGACATCCCGTCACAGCAGAGGCCTTCCCCTGTTTCCCCAGGAGATGGTTGGGTCTCCTGCAGTCATCCCACTGCTGAGCAGGAAATCGGGGTTGCTTATCTTGCAGGGTCTTGGCTTGTCCAGCACTGTGTGGTGGAGCTCTAGAGACCTGCCAGGATGTCTTGCAGGGGTCTCCTCAGGCAGATCAACGCTGCAAACTTCCTGCCCTGGCCTTGCTTGGTCTGCCACCCTCGCCGTGTCCCGCCAGGGATGCTGTGTGCATGGCATGGTCCACCTGCTGAGTACCCAGGCAGGCTGTTTGGGAGGGATGTGTCCTCTGTGTTGTGTGCTTGTGCCTGGGGACCAGGGTTGGAGATGTAGGCAGGGATGTGGGAGTGCACAGAGGAGGCCTGTTGCTTCCTCCACACATGCGATCCCGATCAGCTCCGTCGCCCTGCTGGGAGCTCGCTCCTGGGGCTGGAAGGGTACACTGCATACTGGCTGGCTAGGTCAGGGAGCAGCGTGTCTCACAAGAGCTGGGTTGCAGGGCTAGCTGCTGATCTCCGGGTGGCGTCCCTACACTTGCCAAGAGATCTGTGGCCATAGTTTGTCTGATCCCATGGGGGTAATAGCTTTCATACAAATGTCTCAAAATGCCAAGGGTGGCCAGGTCTGCAAGACGGACTGAATCTGTTGTCTCGAAGCTTGAAAATGACCCTTCAGGCTCACACTCACGAGGTGCAAGCAGCTCACACAGTGTCGGCGTCCTCTGAAGGAAACTCCGAGTTCCTGGGCTGAGGCTGAGGGCAGGGCTTGTCTCGCACCCATCCCCAGCACCACCGGGGAACACAGGAGCAGGAGAACCACCGTACCCCCTGCCTGCTGGGCCTGCTTGTGCTCTCCGTCTTCACTGATCTTTTCACCTGCTCAGTGAATGTGCATGTGTCGCTCACTTTCCATGTGCCAGGGCACAAACGGGAGCACACACGTGTGGTGCCTGCCTGCCACATGTCCACCCTGGGGCGCATGGGTGTAGGGCTGTCTGCACCAGCGGTGACAAGGCTCAGCGCTGTGTCCTGGCCAGTGTATGTCACATGTAGACAACATCTGGAAGGGAATGTAGATGACAAGTGTCTAATTAGAACACTTAATTGGTATCATTATACTTTCTATGAAATGACACTTGTTTGGAAAGGACTTTCCTTCTCACATTTCATGACACTGTTTTGTTCACTTCAGACACGTTTTGTTACAACTGTTCTCCAAGTAATGAGGACTTTTTTTCTTTTTTGGAGGCAGAGTTTTGCTGCGTAGCAAGCCCAAACTGTCTGCAAATGCGTGGCCGCATGGTGGTCCTGCTTCAGCCTCCTAAGTGCAAAGATGACAGGTGTGTACCACTGCACACCACCGAGAATGGTTTACTGGAGAGTGACGGACACGCTGCCAGTGACACAAGGTGGCACCCCTGAAGTGGCTGCTTATGGTGGCAGATGCCCTGCCAGGGTTTGCCTGGTTCAGGTGCTGTGCAGCCCTGTGGTGCTTGGGGTCTTTCTTTAGCATCAGGCCGCACACTGTGTGCATCAGAGCCTCAACTCTTGGTGCTGGGTCCCATCCCCTGACCTCTCTTCCTGGGGACGGCCTCTGGGCTGCATAGCAGGCTCGCCAGCCCGCACTGTCCTAGCTGTCTACACGTGCAGGCGTTGGCTTGTGGTGAGGGCTTGCAGTCTGCCTGCGGGACTGGAGAACCTTTGTGACACTCCTCGGCCATCTGAACGTTCTCTTTGTGACGCCTCACTGGTTTTCCCCTTAGGTTATCGGCTCTCCCTTGCTCATTCATGAAAATGTTAGAAGTGTGTGTGTGGAAGGTGTTTCACAGTGTGAGGCTTTGTGAGTGCAGCTTGCTTTTTCTAGTTCCTAGGTAACCCTCTAGTTCCTAGGTAACCCATTACAGCAGTTTTTTGTGTCCTTTTATGGCATTCTTTGCCCTGCCCAAGACTGCAAAGGTAAAACTTAATTTTTTTTTTGTTAAATTCTAGGTCCTTCTGGTGTGATTCGTGTGTGTCTGTTACTGTGTGTGTGTGTGTGTGTGTGTGTGTGTGTGTGTGTGTGTGTGTGTATGTGTGTGTGTGTGTGCTGGAGTGAACCCAGGGCTCAGCATCCAGTTTTTTTTATCTGGAGAGTCTTGCTAAGTCATTAAGTTGTCTGGACCGGGCTGGAGTTTTCCATCTGCTGCTCCAGCCTCTCAGAGTGGTGAGGTTATAGGGGTATACCCCACACCTAGCCTAGAATGGGTTCTTATGTGTGGGGTGAGTCAGAGATGAGATTTTCTTTTCAATGTGGTGAGAAAAGTCGAGCAGGTATCCCAGCTCAATGCACTTGAAGCAAAGCTTGAAGCAGCGCCTGTATTAGCCCACCTTCCCTCTGGGGCTGTGTCCCTGGCTCCTGTCTGTCACTGGGTCGGGCCTCCATGCTGTGGTTGCTGTGACTCCGCATGATGCCGCCCGCTCTGCTCGTTTCAGGGTGGCACTGGTTCTTCCCGGCCCTCGAGTTGTCTCCTGCATGGTGGAGCTGCTCTGAGGTGCTGGGTATTTTCCAGAGCTGTCTGAGCTCAGATCTCTGAGCTGCTTCCCCCAGAAATGTCCTCTCCAGCCACAGACAGCTGCTGACAGGTGACTGGGTTCCCAAGTAGCTGCAACAGTGTGTGTGTGACTCTGTGCGGCCACTTACAGGCTTGAGTCAAGGCCCCCAGGAGGGAAACAGAGCTCAAGGGAGCAGAAGGAGCCCCAGGGTGAAGAGCACTGGGGGGACAAGGAAAGGTCCCCCTGACAGAGCTGAAGCCAAGCGCTGCTTTGAGTTGAGCTTCGATTGCATCAAGCTGCGATGGTGAGGAGAGAAAACTGGTTTTCAGAGGCACACGGATGTTTACCAGAACAGAGACAGTTCCAGCATCCGGATCATAGCCACCAACAGCAGCGTAGTTAGAGATGACAGTCACAGAAAGGTGAACAGTAAGAGCCACACGCTTGCAGGTTTAAAATCATAGTTCTAAACAATGCGTGGGCCAAAGAACAAATGGAAATTCTAGTGCAGTTTGCAATTGTTTAGAAATTATGGTACTGAATGCCAACGCCAGTGAAATGTTCCCTAGGTGTTTTTCAGAGAAAAATTTTGAAGCCTTAAGTACATATTAAAAAAACATTCAAAATAAAAAAGGAAAAAAATAATAAATGCAAGCTAAGGATAAGGAAATAAGGATGAAAACAGAAATTAACAAAACAAAGCACAGAATAGATAGGATCTAACTAATTAACAGCACCGGAAGCTAAGCCTTTGGCAAGGATGCTAAGAGATGGAGGACAAGGAGGCCACCGGGAGTGTGGAGAGGCCCGCCCAATGCAGAGCACAGTTCCAGGGAAATTTCTGAGTGGTTATAGCGCAGTGTACTTGATTACCTGGATCCTCTGAACAACTCTGAGGAAAGTACAGATTATCAGAGTCGGCCTGAGAAGACGGAGGAGATGATTAGATAAGGCAGTGCAGGCTATGTGATGTGGAGATCGGAGATCCATCCCTCACAGACTCTGTGCTCCCGCCACTTCATAGGTAGGTGCATCTGTCAGCTCAGTCCAAGTAATGCTGCTGCCCGCCTCAGCCTCCTGGCTGTCAGGAAGCTGAAGGTGGCTCAGGCGAGCCTCCTGCAGTCCGGTTGCTTCCTGCACACCCGGCTATCGGAGCAGCTCCACATAGAGCATGGCAGCCCTGGGACCACGCGGCAGAGCTGGGTGGGGGCCTCCAGTGCTGCCCTCCACAGAGGGTGCACTTCTCACCAGCACATCCGGCCAGCCTGACCGCAGGACCGATGGCAAGAGCGATTGCCTCACACAAGCAGTGCTGAGTGCGCATGCAGAGGAAGACGGGGGCCGCTCAGCTCATTGGCAGGGCTGGTGTCACCTGGACATCAGAACCTGAAAGCAGATGAGGACAGCCGAGTCCTTGAAGTCACCTCTCACTGAGGACCAGTGCGCAGTTCCTAAATACGGCAAACTGCATCCGCCTGTGAGTTTCAGAATGTCTCTGAGGAAGTGCCGTCACATGAGGACTGGGAGGGCCTTTTCCTTCAAGTCCCAGTTCAGTTTCTTTTGTTTTGTTATTTTTTAAAGTTCCCACTGTCTTCTGAACACTTAGGCCTTGGGGGGTGCACGGTGAAGGAAACACTGTGAGCGTTGCGCTGTGGGGTGGACGTCACCGGCTGGCGAGCAGCTGGCTGATAGGTGAGTAGAGGAGCAGAGCCCAGTTGCGTCTCCCTGAAGGACGCAGTGCTGTCTTGGTGTGACTGGAAGTAGCACTCGCAGCCAGACAGCACTTCTGTTAGAGGCCACAACGAGAAGGACGCTCTGGTCTCAGTGATGTTTAACAGTGCCAAGAGACATTTTAAGAGGAAGCTAAAAGAATCTGGGATGTTGCCATCCCACTACAAAGCCCAAATCGAAGTGCACGGCCAGGCCCGCCATTCAGGACCAGGGGAGCTACTGTGGCTCTACTGGATGGCACCCCAGTTCCTGTGGGCAGACAGAGATGCTGGCAGGCTGTAAGGTAAACTTGGAAGGCTGAGCACCATGTGAATAGAGAGGATTATTTCTGCGGATTGGACCAGGACCGAAGTAGTAACAGATTTTTTTTTTTGGTAGTGAGGATCAAACTTGCAATCTGACGCTTGCCAGGCAGTCACTTGTGCCACTGAGCTGTATATCCCTAGCCAGTAACAGGTTTTTGATTTATATTTACAGTTTTAAAAGTGGAAAATATGGCTTGTGTGTTAGAACTGCAAGATTGATTTATGCCTTTCCACTTGTTCTGTCTTTGCCAGATTTGGGGACAAATGATCATTTACAGATTGAGGTACTGGACATCTGCCATGTGCCTGGCATACAGGTCCCGCAGTCCTGCGATGTTAGCTCGGTGTCTGTCTGCGCCTCGTAGGAGGTCAGTGACTTGCGCTGCTACCCAGTAAGCAGTGCGCCCTGATTACCGTGCACGTGGAAGCCTGCGCTCCGTGCTGTCAGGGCCACACTGCGGGGAGAGCAGGTGAGCACAGCGACTCCCACCCTGGACACAGGTCCACACCCACTCGGCAGGTGGGTGGTCTGTGGTCTGTGAGGGCCAGGCTGGGTAACCAAGAGCAGAGCTGGTGTGGAGAGGGCATTGATCAGTGGTGCAGGGGGATGAAACTGCCTCTTGTCCCCTTCATAGAAGGCTTGGGGAAGGCTCCTGCCCCATTCCAGCCTTGCCTGGAAGTGCTCACATGAGTGCAAGGCTCAGAGAGCCTGAGTGTGGCCAGCAGAAGGGTGCAGCCACCAGTGCTGGGCACCAAGCCACAACCTCCACTGGGGAGGTAGCTGCCCTGTGACCCATGCGCAGGCCCTGAGCAGGGGACTTGGGACCTGCAGGCAGCCAGGGTATTGGGCCCCCTGGTATAAGGCTCTGGCTCTTTACATGTGGTTGGGTACTAGGAATCATGAAAGGTACAAGCTCTGCATTTTGCTTAGCTCTGCACACAAATGCCATGTGAGTGACCTTCACTTAGCAAAACTAGCTCAAGAAGTCCAGACTGTATGAGCACCGTCTCAGGGATGCCTCGGTTGGCTCCCTGAATTGAGTCTGCTCTGGGTCTCTTAGTACCACCTTCCTCTTACAAGGTGGGCTCCAAAGGGAGGAGGCCATCGCACCCTCCCCTGTGGCTTTTTACAGCACTGTCGGGGCAGTGCCCTCCCTCAACGGCTCTCCTCACCGTGCACCCCGCATGAGCCTCCCTCAGGCTGTGTATCCAGGATCCTGTGTGGTGGCCCCACCCTGGCTTTTGGGGGCAGCATAGGACCACAGTCTTCTCGGACTGCTTCAGTAGGTGGCATCTTTGGCAGAGCCAGGCCACCCTGGCAAGTCTTCTCTTCATGGAACAATCTCCATGACACACAAGTGTTTTAGTCAGCAAAATGCGGCAAGTCGGTTTCATAAGGGAGGTCAGTCGGGGTGGTAAATCTATGGCACACGTGCCACAGTGGGCTGTGTGTCATTGAGAGCTCTAAAAGGTTCGCCATTGCTGAGTTATGTGTTTCCCTTTCACTGCAAGCCAGCATTGTAGGCAAACTCAACAGGACTCATTCTAGAATCCTGTGTGTCCCTAGCTGGGGAGCGTCCCCAGAGTCCCGGCATTCCTAGTGGTCAGACACTGCCTTAGTCGCCAATCTGTCCTGGTGGATGGCTCCAAGCCTGAAGTTGTGAAGTGTGGCTGTCCTGCTCCCCCTGCCCACTTCCCACGCTGACCCTCTTCTGTTGCATCCTGCCCCCTCCTACAGCCTCACAGGCTCTGCTACCATTTGTCCCGTCTGCTTGGCGTTTCATACTCAAAAGGGTCAACATCTTCAGGCATAGAGAGTTTATCTTGCTGGGGTCTGCCAGGATGGCTGTAGATCTAAAGTTCTGGTGCTGCCTCAGGGAGGCCCAGGGTAGATTTCCTAAACCAGGGCTGGTGTCTGTGCCAGGCTGTGATGCTGCTGTCATTGGCTGCCATGGAGGCACCCAAGAACTGTCCAATCCTGCCACGTCCTGCTCTCTGGGCAGTGCTGAGGAGGCAGGGCCAGGGCAGCTCCAGGGAGCCCGTGGCCTGTGCCCCGCTTCCACCTCTCACCACATTGACTTCAATCAGGTCAGAATGTCCAAGACTCATGACTCATTTGTGACCTGGCCCAGTCAAATTAGATCTATGGCTTCTCAGCCAGGGAGCTGCCGGCAGGCTTAGGAGCAGATGGGCACAGAGCTGGGCTGCAGTCTGTCCCCCTCTGCCACTGCCCAACTGGGTCCCATGGGATTGCTCAGGAAGCGGCCTCACCCAGTGAGGAGCCAGGATGAGGCTGTTCATTGAGACCCAAAGCTGGTTGCTGGGTTTGCGGGGCTGGGATCCCAAGGGTCTGGGGAAGGTAGCGTGGATGCACTGTGTCGTGCAAGGCCCCTTCTACAGTTTCCCCAATGTTCAGACTCAAAGTCCGGGCTCCCCATCTTGCAGGTGAGGGTTCTGTGGAGGACACCAAGGCCATGTGATCAGTCACAGTGCGGTGCCTAAAGCCTGAGGGTCCACTGGTCTCTGGCATTCTTTGGTCCTCACAGAGCTGTGCTTTGCCAGGTTGGTGGCCTTGCAAAGTCTGCTCCTGGAGATGCACAGGTCCCTGGGAGCTCCAGTGTGGGTGACACAAAGCAGGACAGGGCTTTGCCGTTCAACAGGGCTTGTATTTAAAAAACAGTAGTGAAGCAAGGTGTCACACACTTGCATCTAGCACTCCAGGAGGCTGCCAAGGTAGCTTAGCAAGACCCTAGCTGAAAAAAAAAGCTGAGGATGCAGAGGGCTGCCTTGACACATAAGCAGGGTGAGCCACGTCCACATCCACCCAAGCATCTACAAACACAGCGTTGTCAGCAGCCTGTGGCCCTGGAGCCACTCTGGGCCCCTGCCCACTCGGGATACAGTTGTATTTGGGCACAGCTGGCCCTTCTGTCGGAAGTGTTTAATGTGCTTGGCAATTGCCACCGATGCCGTGTCTGCTGCTCATGCCTGTGCATCTCTGGACCCAGGATGCCTGAGGCTCCACTCAGCTCAGCCCTGCTCGTGCCGTGAGCCAGTAGTCAGTATCTTCCCTGGATTCGCTGGCCCTGCTGGCTCCACAGGCTCTTTGCTGTGGGGAAGAGCGTTTTCCTTTGGAAGTAGTTCGGCTCGGTCCAGTTGCTTCTTGAGTAGCTGAATCCATGGTCCTGAGATGGTACTGGTGTTGGAGACCACCTTGGTGAAGAGATAGGTTTTCTGGTCATGGGATTCAGGCCTGGCCAAGTTAAAATACATTGGAGAAATAATAGTTGAGAAGCCTTGTCATTGTTTTAAGAGATCCTAAGTACTTATTTTTCCCTTTTCCTCATCTACTTTAATAAAGAATGGGATGCCAAGAAGGGCTTCACCCCGGCACACAGGCCTACAGGCTGCATGCCTGGTCACCGTGGCTGTGCCACCGCTGCAGCTGCCACTGATGACGCCTTGAATAATTCAGGCTGCCTCAGCAGGCGCGATGAATTATGCATGCAGCCTCCACGGCTTTGTGCACTGTGCTCCTCTCTCCCCTCTCCAAGTACCCAGGAAGAGCCAGAGCTGCCTTTGTCCAGCACAGTGGATGCTGGGTCCCTGCAGAAGCAGCAGTCCTGTTCTCCTGGGAGGGCCGAGATAAGGAACAATGTCCCCGGGTGTGGCCCAAGCCTTTGCCCGGGGCCGCCCCGGCTGAGCGGCTGGCCGGGCATGGACTCAGAAGGCTGGTTTACAGTGAATGGTTGGAAGTATTTAGTTAGATGGCATCACAGTGGCTCTTACTGGCTGTATCCAGGTAAAGTCCCTGTCCACCTGTCGCCTTGTCATGGTTGTCAGGGCAGGCTGACTGTGTGGCCCTCAAATATGTTTGCCTCAGGTGGGGGAGTGGGGTGTGGGCGGGCCTGTGTGGGGCCGTGGCTGGGGGCTCCAGGTGCTGCTGTGCATTCCCGTGGGCCCCGGGGACGGCATGCTGGTGAGCCTCATCTCGGGATCACTGTTGGATACAGCTACACCTTGAGCCTGGGACGTGAATGTGGCAGTGTTGTCAGTTTTCAGTAGTAGTTCCAAAATACTCTTACAGCTTTCTTGAAAAGCAGTTGTTTCATGTGAATGAGGCTTTGGATTCCCCAGCACCTCAAAAAAAGAGAGAGAAAGAAAGGAAGAAGAAAGCATGAAGAAAGGGAGCTTGTGAGGACAGCATTTATGTGACTCCCAGTCAACTGGGAGGAATGCTGGCAGTGTCACTGCGGGTGGTGGTGGGCACCTGTGGCGGGCTGTCTGTGTCGTTGAAAGGTCTGAGAAGTTTGGTAGCACTGGCCTTGGTGACGGTGTTCCTGGGTGTCTTCTCTGGTTTACGATAAAGTGTATGGTTTTATGAAAACACTTAACCCCGAAGGTGGGCAGCTGACTCCGGGGCAGTGAGCCTCCTGGCCTGGCTAGCGGCTGGGGCGGAGCAGTGGCTCATGAAGAACCCCACTGCCGCCGTGAGCCGGGTGCAGCTGTGGGACAGGGGATGATGGGCTGAGGCTCCGTCCCGTGGGCTCTGGGTCTGCACGGAAGTTCAGATCTGTGTCCTGTGTCCCTCGGGACATCCCTCCCTTGGGGATTTAAGGAACATTTTGGGTCCTTGTGGCAGTGCTCTGACTTTCTTTTTGCACCTAAATCGTTGGGGTGTGATGTTAAAGGGGAAGGAGTCCAGTTGGACTTTTTTGGATGCGGTCTGTTCCCACGGACCACATCTTAGCTTCATCTCCCCTCCTGGGGTGCAGCTGGCTTTGCCCAGCACCTTCCTACCCTGAGGGTGGCAGTCAGGTGGCAGCAGTGGAGGCAGCCTTGCCTGGCTGCTCCCTGCTTGTGCTTCTCCTGTCTGGTTCTGGCGGGAACTGTGAGGGGTGGGTTGAGCTTACACGTGTACTTGGGCTCTCAGTGCCCAGGCTCCAGGTTCTGGAGTGGGTCCGGTGGAGGCCAGCCCTACAGAGGGTGTGGGAGTTGGGCTCCAGTGTGCTCCCACGCGTGTGTTTTGTGCCCCCTGTGCAACAGACCTGAGGGTTTTCCCTGCGGGCCTGGGATATCGGGAGTCTTGGGAGTGGCACAGTGATGTGGCAGCAGAGTCCCTGAGTGTGGCGATGGCCCTGTGAGGTCCTTGGTCGCCAGCAACACTGGCCACCCTGGCTGCCACCTTCCCATTCTAGCGTCCCTGCAGCAAGCAAGCTTGGCGTCTCCAGGGAACCGGTCACAGGTCTCCCCCGTGTGCTCAGGAGAGTTGGTGGCCAATGCCAAGCCAACGTTAATCGTAAAAATAGCACAGACAGTGTGGTGGTTCGAGCAGAACTTGTGAGGTTTCAGAGCCGTTATGTAATGGTTTTCGAGTGTTTTGCTGGAGCATTATAAGCAGTGTGGCTCCTCTGACTTTTCCCTGATTTTTTCATCTGAATGCTGGTTGAGCTTTAAGCAGTGGCTGCCAGTCACTGCAGCATGGATCCAAGGAGTGTGGAGCCCTGCGGCCAGCTCCCTAGCGGCAGGCCCTGAGGGTGTATCCAGCACAGCTGAAGATGGCCCCAGCGGAGACAGTCAGTGTCACTGCTGCCCTGTTTCCCAAGTGCCCCTAAGTGTACGAGGGGGCAGCTCCTGTGCAGAACTGGGCAGAAGATGAGGCGCAAGACAGAGCCTGTCACCCAGAGTCCCTCCTTGCCGTGAGGACACTTCAGTGGCTGGCCTGCAGCTGGAGCCCACTAGCCAGTCCCCAGGGTCCTGGCTGGTTTCCTGTACAGAGGAAGGAGCCAGGAAAGATGAAATGGGTGTGACAACAACATCTCAGAGACTAGGACAGCAGGTGATGCGCTCGCCACTGTGTGGGTCGTCTTGCTGGGCTGCATGGTGCCAGGGTAGCACCTGCCTTGCCTTGCCAGCCGTCAGCCAGCTGGGGCTCAGGACCAGTCACCTCTTAGGACAGCCCCACCCCGGAGACATGTCTTGCAGAGCTGCAGCTGTTCTCACAGCACCTGTGCACACTGACCTGTGTCCCTTCTCAGGCCCGGCTGCCCTGGGGACCAGGACACCACCACACTGTCCCCTCAGTGGAGTGGATGACAGAGGGGACTCCCTGCCCCGTCTTCTCTGTTTAGGTTGCCTCTGGGGTGAGCAGGGGCTTCCAGGGGAGCAGGTCAGGGCTGCAGGTGCATCTGTGCTGCTCCACAGAGCTGACGGGTGCCGACCTAAAGGACTGTGTGAGCAGCAACAGCCTGAGCAGCAATGCCAGCCTCCCGAGCGTGCAAAGCTGCCGACGCCTGCGTGAGAGGAGGGTCGCCAGCTGGGCCGTGTCCTTCGAGCGCCTGCTGCAGGACCCTGTCGGCATCCGATACTTCTCTGTGAGTCGGCAGAGCTGCCTGAGGGGACCCAGCCCTGGGAGACTCGTGTTGCTCTGCAGGCCCTGCACAGCCTCAGACAGGTGTTGTCTGCTCCCTATTCCTGCTCGAGGGCCTACAGTCCGGTGGACATAGAGAGGCTGGCTTGGCCTTGCCCCTGCCCCCTCCTGTACCCTCAGGAGTCTCCTCCCTGAGGCCTCTGTGGCAGGGCGCACACAGCTCCATGTACCCGAAGCCAGATGCATGCCTGGATTAGGAAAGCCACTGGGGGTGCCAGTTCATGCTCCTTTGGGTGCTACACACTGCAGTTACCTTTCAGGGCCACAGGGATCACCAGGAGGTGCTGGGCCCAGGGTTTCTGTGGACACACGGGAAGACATCTCCATTCTTGGGGAGCCTGTGCTTAGAAGGGCCACTCACCTCGGGGTGTTTCTCCTAGGACTTCCTAAGGAAGGAGTTCAGTGAGGAAAACATTCTCTTCTGGCAGGCCTGCGAGTATTTTAATCATGTTCCTGCACATGACAAGAAAGAGGTAAGCTTCCAGCACGCGGGCAGCGGGGGGAGGCTTCCGGTGGCCAGGTTCATGCCCATGCTCAGGGGAGCAGTTGATGGAGACACATTTCCACTTGAGCTGCGAAAGGATGTTTCTTTTTCAGAGTCAAGTTTTAAATATGTGTGATATTTAGTTCTGCCTAAACATAGTGGTGTGAATGCCTGGAGCCACCCAGCTCCCAGCAGCACACGAGTCCCACTCGATGTGGTAACATTTTAAGTCGGGGACGATGGGGTTTGTAGAGGACTCAGGGAAACCTGAGGCAGAGGCCACCCTGTACACTACATGATCCCCTCCTCCACCCCGAGTAGGAGGCGCAGGTGCCCTCAGGTGGAGGACAAGCCTCTTGTCCTCTTGGGCTGTGCTTTGCCAAGAGCTCCCATGTGACTCCCTCGGGCCAGGCTGGGGTACCAGAGCCTCTCCGGGGCAGCTTTTGGAAATGAGGAGCTGTTCTGCCCAGTTTCTCACTGGCTCTGACTGATTTATGCACTTGAGCCGGAAACGTGGGTGGAGGCGGTGGGCTGGGATGTCACAGCCTGAGCAATGTGGCCGTGACACAGGTGGAAACGCACCGTGCACCTGTGTGTCCGCGTCCTAGCCTGCTCAGGCCTCTCTGCCGTCAGCTGTCCCACAGGGCCAGGGAGATTTTCAGTAAGTTCCTGTGCAGCAAAGCTACAACGCCCGTCAACATTGACAGTCAGGCCCAGCTGGCAGACGACATCCTCAACGCGCCGCACCCGGACATGTTCAAGGAACAGCAGCTCCAGGTGACGTGCAGCCATGCAGCCCCCCACCCCTGGAGTCTGAGGGAGACGACATTTAGTGGGGACACAGCCAGGATGAGCTCATCATGAGTGAAGCAGCTTCTGTTCCACTGACCCCTGCGTGATGCCACGCCCACACAGTAGCACGCTTCCTGTTGTGGTACCTGCTGATCAGGCAGCAGTGGGGAGAGAACCAGGCTCCGGGCCTGAAGTCTGGCACCTCCTGCGTGTGGACTACCCTCACGCCATCCTGAAGTTAAAAAGCTCTGAGTGCTGCGGCAGGCTGGGGCCGTCTGCATGCTTGCAGATTAGAACACTGTAGGAGGATGTGGAATCAGACCCACTTCATCCAGAGCGTGTGCTCTCTGGCCCTCTCAGCGCAGAGAGGAAGGGGTCATCACAGGCTGTCCCTCTAGAGGCTGGCAGTCCACAGTCGAGTCTGCTTGCGCCGTGAGCTTTACAGAAATCTCCAGAATCATTCATTTCACATATGGTAAAAGGAGGACTGCTTGGTCAGAGAGGGAAGGAAGTCTAAAGGCGAGTGGCAGGGCAGTGCAGAGCCCTACAGTGCTGCGGGTGGTGGCGGAAGCAGTGCCTTTCCAGAGCCAGGCCCGTGGGCATTGGTGACCCTGCACTATCTGGACCCTGAAGGCCGCCGTCCCTGTGCCCCTGTAACCAGCTTGTTCTGCTTGCTCCCCAGATTTTCAACCTGATGAAGTTTGATAGCTACACGCGCTTTCTGAAGTCACAGCTGTACCAGGAGTGCATCCTGGCCGAGGTGGAGGGCCGTGCCCTCCCAGATGCCCAGCAGGTGCCCAGCAGCCCGGCCTCTAAGCACAGCATTGGCTCTGACCACTCCAGCACGTCCACGCCCAAGAAGGTTTGGACCAGGGTCGGGAGGGCACTGGGCTGGCTGTGGTCCCTAGAGCCTTCTCCTTGGTGACAGTGTGAGGCTGTGCCCTGCAGGCCATGGTGCATGCCATGTCCTTGACCGGCTGAGGGTCCTAGGAGCCCTCGCACAGGCACGCACTGGGCGCGCAGGGGCTGCGTGTGTCTGGTGCCAGGCCGGCTTCTCACTGCCTTCATGGGGCTTCTGCCTGCTGACAGCTGAGTGGGAAATCAAAGTCGGGAAGATCCCTGAATGAAGACGCAGGGGACGAGGACAGTGAGAAGAAGCGCAAAGGGGCCTTCTTCTCCTGGTCAAGGAGCAGGAGTACGGGGCGGTCCCAGAAGAAGAAGGAGCCCGGAGACCATGGCCAAGGTGCATGTGTGGGGTGGGCCAGGGCGGGCCTGGCCACCATGGCAACAGGGGGACCACCCGTGTGACCCTCTCTTGGCTCTCATCTGTGCACCTGCAGCTGCCTGCACCACCTGTAGTGCGGGAGTTTTCCACTGCGATTTCTGTCATGAATCTGGACGCCCTCACCCGTGGTGCTGTCTGTGATGGGTGACAGAGGGAGACAGTCATGTGTGGCCCATGTCCTGTGGACTGTTGCTGCCATGCTTTTGTCTCTGATGCCCCAGTCAGGGACCCATGGAGCTGGTGCTGAAGACCTAGGAGGGCGGGGGCATTTTCTCCCCTAGGATCTCCCTGAAGGGATTGGTTTGGAGGTCCGAGGTCTGGCCTGAAGTTGGCTTGGCACGCATATTGGGTCATGACCCCCACCAAGTGAGGCTGAGGCATGTTCCAGCACACTCTGGCTGCAGGTGGGGGTAGAGGGACACCTCAGCAGGAGGTCCCCGGGGACAGAGCCTGTGCCCATCCAGTCCTGTACCTAATGGTCGCAGAGCTGTCTGAAAGGACATTTAGCATCCTAATGGCTGAATTTCTGATTCAGCCTGGGATCCTGCCTGAATGGAGCCTGGGGATATCTTCGTTGGAATGGACCAGCAGTTTGGGGAGTCCCTCTGTCCTGTCCTCCAGCCTTGACAACCCCAGCTGGTACCATGGCCTGGCCCAGAGTTGGGCTGTTTGAAAGACTGTCCATGTCCAGTTTGTTGCTGCTTAGGCAGCCCAGGTGCATAGTAGGGTGGCTTAGCACCCGGCCTGTCATTGCCTCCTGCAGGGGAAGAGGCTGGGGATGTTCGACTGGAAAGAAGCCATAGCCGGCAGGGGCCGCTCCTGTCCACAGGACAGGCCTTGATGCCGCACTTATATAAAAGTGGCAGGTGGCGTGGCAGGAAGGCAGGCCCTCCGTGCACATGCCCACGCTGCTGGCTGTGGACAGCTGCTGGAGCCAGGCAAGGCGGAGCCCTGGGCCTCGGCCTCTGGGATTAGAAAAATGCATTTGACTCCATCTGTGCTGCTGGTCCCCAGTCCTCTTCTGCCCCTCCTGTGTGCGTGGCTAGGCTGCAGGGCTGCAGGTGGGAGGCGGGTGTTTAGTGAGCATAAGTGGCTGTGACTTCCATTTATCTAAACCTGTCTCTCCCCACAAAGACACCCTTCCCACCAATGGAGGTTTGTGCCGCCGCCGAGAGTCCCAGGGCTCCGTGTCCTCTGCAGGGAGCCTGGACCTGGTGAGTCATCACCCCTTCCCATCCCCAAGGCCTCGGCCTGTCTCACTGCACAGTGCTGCAGCAGCACGGTGCGGGTGGCTTAGCCTTGGGATCTCAGGTGGTGCGGGCAGCTCCAATGTGAAGGTGCAGCTCAAGGACCTGCCTCTTTGTCTTCAGTCCTTTGGTCCTGACTCGGTTATTTTAAACCCCACTGAGAGCAAAAGAAATGCTTGGAAGCTGGGTGCTTGTTACACTGTCACCACCCGATTGTGTTTGGACTCAACCATCCCGGGATCAGTGCCCACTGGGGGTCTCCCTGGGAGCTGGCACCCCCAACCCACAGCCGCACCCACCTGCTCGGAGCTCTCCCAGCCCTGCTCATACATGCTGGAGCTGGTAGGTGCCCCACACGAGCTTAGGTCTGCTGGCGTCTGGTCAGTTTGGGAAACGCTCACGCTGCCTGGTACCACAGCCCAATGGAAGTGGGCAAGGAGTGTTTAGCCTTACCCTGAGCCTGGCAATCTCTGGCCGCAGCTGGCCACTGGGCCACCATCCTGTCTTTCCTTGGTGGGCTGTGGCTGAGCCAGGTGTCTGCATCCTCCACGCCCTCCCAGTCCTGTGCCTGTGGTAGACTTGGGGACCAAAAGTCAGCAGGGCACAGAAACCCCTGGTGGCCTGGCCTGGCTACTGGCACAGCCCCATTGGTCCAAGTGCCAGCACAAGGACAGAGCCCAGCCCTTGCAGAGCTGCAGGTGTGTAGGGCAGGAAGTAGCTGGGGCCGTCACCACCCTGAAATTATGACCCTAAATTATGCTTAGGTGAAATGAGGGGACCTGATGCCCTCACATGCGGACCCAGGGAGACAGCAGGCCTGGCATGGTGCATATTCTCATGGTGGGGGGCTCCCACATGGGCCCTCTGCCTGCAGGATGGCTGCCCTGCTCCCTGAGTGTCCTGCTTCCTGAGTGCCCTGCAGCGCCCACCCCCTTTTGGTGAGGACAGAGACTCAGGGCCTTGGCCAGCTCTCTGAGCAGAGAGTACTGTGTCTCTGGGCTGGAGCCGAACTCGTGTGGAGCTGCAGGGACACAGGAGGGTGTCGTGAGGAGCACGGCTGGCTGCATCTGTCCAGGGTGTCCACACCCTGTGACATCGAGACTGCCTGTGTGCTTGGCCCACAGCCAGAGGCCTGCAGGACCCTGGTGCCAGAAAAGGACAAGGCTGTGAAGCACTGCTGCATCTACCTCCCAGATGGGGCAACCTGTGTGGTGGCTGTCAAGTCCGGCTTCTCCATTAAAGAGATCTTGGCTGGCCTCTGCGAGCGGCACGGCATCAATGGGGCTGCTGTGGACCTCTTCCTGGTGGGCGGGGACAAGGTACTGAGCCCACACGGACCTGCGGCCCTGTCCCCACCTGGCATCCCTCCCTGCCTCCTTCGTGCCCTTGAGGTGTGGTGCTGCCCTTCTGATGTGCACCAGGGAGTGGGACGTGGAGTGGGTCTTGGATCAGGGTGTCTTGCTGAGTGCGGGTGGAGCTGGCCCTGGGCTGGTGCCTGGAGACTCACGGTGGTCTTCTGCATGGCTGTTTTTGAAGCTGCTGTTTTGTTCTGCATAGCTGTGTGGCTGCTGCACATTTTTCTGCACCCCAGGGTCCCACGTGTTCCCCACTAACTACCGTCTCTTTGTTCCAAAGCCTCTGGTGCTGCATCAGGATAGCAGCATCCTGGCATCACGGGACCTGCGTCTGGAAAAGCGCACGCTCTTTCGGTGAGAACAGCACACACGCAGCGCACCATTGTCCTCTGCTCCTACCCAGGGACGAGGGTTGCCAGTGACTCCCAGGTACCTGGCAGAGTGGGTGGGAATGGCAGGTAAGGGGCACCCCTCCTTCCTGCCCCAGGGCAGCTACCTGGAGGAGAGTGGGGGACACTCGGCTGTGGCCAGGCTGCCTACAGGTCCACATCTCCGGCTCCGTCCAGCTCTGAACGCCAGCTAGCCTGAGGGAGGTGTGCAGGCCAGAGGCAGGGCTGGGCCGTGCATGCTGCTGTGCCGTCTCCGTTCTGGGCCTCCGGACCCACAGATGCGAGAGTCTCTGAATGTGTTCGTGCCTCCAGACTGGACCTTGTTCCGATTAACCGCTCCGTGGGACTCAAGGCCAAGCCCACCAAGCCTGTCACCGAGGTGCTGCGGCCAGTGGTGGCCAAGTATGGCCTGGACCTGGGCAGCCTGCTGGTGAGGCTGGTGAGTGGCAGCCCGCTGGCGTGCATGTAGCTGTGTCCCCTGGGGCTGGGTACCTGCACCCTACCCGTTTCTGAGTGGACAGAATGACTATCGGTTTGTACCTTGGTTGTTCTGAAAAGGATTCACAGTGGCCAGGGGGGTTTGCCCTAGAGAACCCAAACGAGCAGTAGCCAGCCAGCCCCGAGACCCACACTGTCGTGTGTGACAGGAAGCGGTGCCACGGCCCCCCACCTGGCTATAGTCAGCCTCCCCGGCTCCCTGCCCCTTGCACACAGGGCTGCTCCCTTGTGACGGGAACAAGGGGGCGAGGCCGACACTGGTCTGGAGGGAGCAGGCACCTACCCAGCCTGCCCCTGGGCACAGATGCTGGCAGCCGAGGCCAGTGTGGACTCATGCGCCATGGTTTGGAGCACAGCGTCTTTGCCTTTATCAGAGCTGTGGGTCCAAGTACTTTTAGGGTTCTCATTTTCCCTGGTACTGGCCTCATGTCACCTGGGAACTTTGACATGAACGAGAGGAATGTTTCTCCTCTGCTCAGTTATTCACAGACACCTGCTCCCAGGGTCACCAGAAGCCACCTCTGCCACTGGTTCCACCCAAGTCCAGAAATCTTCAGGGTGGACCTAGACCTGGTCTGCACTCAGATGAGAACCTAAGCAATCTCTTGACACCCATCCCTCAGTTTCCCTGTTTGTAAAGTGAAATGTAGAAGGGCTGGCCAGGGTTCAGGGTTCACTGGCCAGTGAGGGTAGGAAGGCCCTGCCCTTCCGAGGGGACCTGAAGGCCCGGAGGCAGCCGACACTGGTCCTTGCCTGCGGCCCTCCCCAGCAGCTGTCTGCCTGGTGGTCTACTCCCCATAGGGACCCGAGTTTGAAATGCCATCCTGCACACTGGGGCGTCTCTCTGATGAGTGGCTGTTGTCACAGCCAGTGAGGTTCTGCAGAGGATGAGAGCGTGGGTCCACTTGCCCTGGTGGGCACCTTGCTGCCCACCTTGGCTCAGCGTCTCAGGGATGCCGTGAGGTCATTGGCATGGTTAGCCACACAGACCTGCACTCACACCTGAGTGTGGTGTGTTACCTGAGTGCACACAAGCCACAAGCCACACAAGCGGCCTGGGGGTCTCCAGCCAGCCAGGGGCACCCACCCTGACCCCCTAAGCCACCCTCTCAAGTTTCCCCAGCTAAGCATTCCTGACCCCAGGTTCCATCATCCAGAACATTCCCATCTGGCAGTGTCCTCAGCATATTGTCTCTGCCTTAGAGTGGAGAGAAGGAGCCCCTGGACCTTGGTGCCCCAATATCAAGCCTGGATGGACAGCGGGTCGTCCTGGAGGAGAGGGATCCAGCCAGAGGCAGAGGTGAGTGATGGCATGTCACCAGTCCCCCGCCCTGACTTGCTGCTCTGGTGTGGGGTGGTGTTGTCCCGTCCAACTCTGTGAGTGTCTGTGGGTGGCCTGGCCTGGCCTGGAGGAGCCTGAGTCCTCGGCTGTAGGAAGGTCATAATCTCTGCCTGCTCACCTGGATGCCTGGGCTTTGGGGAGCTTCAGTTGGACAGTGCTAGGAGCACGCCTTCCGGGGGTCTGAGTCAGTACAGGACAAGAGCCCTGCTGGTCCTTCAGCCGCCCCTTGGCCTGGACTCATCCCCTGGGGGAAATAGCCCAGGCTGTGAGGACAGTGGTGGGCATAGGCTGCCCAGCGGTAGCTGGGGCCAGGCTGAGTGTGGCCTGCTGTGCTGGTGACTCTGGTGGCTCATTTCCCACCTGTCGCATTGCTGTGACTGCCCTGTCCTTGGATGCCTGGATCCCTGCTCAACCCCATGCTTCCCCAGTGCTTTGGGAGCCTGTGCTCCTCTTTAGGGGCTGCTGCCATGGGTGACCCCAGCATGGCCCAGGGGACTGCCCAGGTGGAGGGCCTGCAGGGCAAGGCTGGTTTGGGGGAGCAGGTCACTGTGTCCACAGCTGCTCCAGGCATCCTTGGCTGCCCTTTGCTGTCAAGAGCTAAGCCTAGGGAGGCTTGAGGGCCCCACTCACGGTGAGCCACTCGGGCCCCGTCCTAGTGACTTGGTAGAAGTGGGTGCTGTGCTCTAGCTCACTTGCCCTGCCCTGTGTTGTGCCTGTGCCCTGGCCCTAGTGACCTGGGTAACTGCTGCATGTGTAGCCCCATGGGCTGCCAACCCTGCCAGAGTTCCCAAAGCTCCTTCAAGGCCCAGCAGGCAATGCCCGCGCAGGAGTCTGTGCTGTGCAGGGGGCTGTTGGGGCTGGGGAGGTGCCTGTTGGACTTGGTGCCATGAGGCCAGCCTGCTGTGGGCCGAGGTGAAGCTGGGCTCTGCAGAGCCTTTTGCATCCTGCGAACAGGCAGGCCACATAGCCGCTGAGATGAGTTCTATCACCGTTGGCCCAGAATGCACCCAGTTAACCTTACAGAGAGGCGCATGACCCTGTGCCCTCGGCTGGCAGGCAGTAGGAAGGGCCCTGTGAGGAGTCTCAGGTGCTGGCTAGTGCACGCACCTGCCAGGGTGGGTGGTACCAGTGGCTCCCTGCAGCTCTGCCCTCAGAGATGGGAGGGACAATTACTTTGAACTGTGAGATAGCCATGGGGTCCTAGCTCACCCTGTTGTGCTTAGCACCCACAGATAAGCAGAAGGGTGCCCTGGCCAAGCCCAGCGCCGCTGCCAGCTCCCGGCCCAGAGACCGCTCAGCTACGGTAATCCCCACTCCCCTGTCCCTGCCCCTCTAGTCTGACACGCCCCTCCCTGGGTGGGCTGGGCCCCTCAGGAGCCTGCTTGTCTCCCCCACAGGCTCTTACTTGGGGCCAGGGGCCTGCCCCTTTGTGCCCTGAGCCGCACGGGCTGTGTGTGTTCACCAAGCGTGTGGTCCTGGGGTGGCTGGGCCACTGGCACTGTGCTGTCATTATCCTCGTGTCTGGTCCTCTCAGTGCGTGTGAATCCCATGCCTGTCTCTCTGCGTCTCGCGGGGCCTTTGTGTCTGTGGCTGTGCATTGTGTGCTGCCGCGTGTGGAAATGTGAGTAGAACTGTGGCTTTCCTTCCAATGCAGGGAGAGGAAAGGACACTAGGCAAGTCTAATTCTATTAAAATAAAAGGAGAAAATGGAAAAAATGCTAGGGATCCCCGGCTTTCAAAGAGAGAAGAATCTATTGCAAAGATTGGGAAAAAAAAATATCAGAAAATTAATTTGGATGAAGCAGAGGGTATGTGTACTTTTTAAAACTTCCACATTTTTCAATAAATGCACTACCGGTTTCCACTCTGCCCTTTCCACAGCTGACAGCTGTGACCCCTGCCACCCTGAGGCTCTGGTGTAACTTTGCCAAACCCTGTTCGGGCCCTGACCGGGTCTCCTCAGGGAGCTGGAACCCCCGGGACCTGCAGCCCAGCCTCACTCAGCCTGTGCCCACTCACAGCCCAGCCCCAACCTAAACTGGGTCCAGTGAAGGAAGGGGTCAGTGGTCAGCGTCAGGGTACCACATTGCAGGGGCCCCACCAGGTAGAGGAAGAGGGAAGCGGGGTCCCAGGCTGACAGGGCTGTGGGTGTGCTGACCTCTGCTGGTCATTGGTGGCCATGGGGGGCCAAGAAAGGTTTGACCACTGCCCCAGGGCCCCCAGGAGAGCTGCAGGGTGCCAGAGACTGAGTGGAGGAGGAGTCCTTTGTGGGATCTTTTCCTTGCAAGAGCTTGTAATGGAGGAAGGGAGTCGGCACGGGCTACTGTTGCTCCCTGTGGCTGAACCCTGTGGTTTAGGGAGCCCTGGCCAGACTGTGCCCAGAAGTGTTTCCCAGGTGATTAGAAGTGGGGGCTTCAGGCTCTTCCTGGTTTAACTTTGTCAGAGAGCATAACATAAATAGTAGAGAAGCTCTGCTTGGGAACTGGTGCTCAAATGCAGGGCTCGAGGTGGATTACCGTAGCTTGAGCTGTGCTGCAGGGCCAGGGATGAAGCTGGGCTGCACCAGGCCCTAGGACCAACCAGGCAGGTGGCTGTGACCCCAGGCCGATGTCAGGGCTGTGGCTCTGGTGCCCTTGTCTGGCCATCCCTTCTACCTGGTCCTCAGAGGGCATCTGCACTCAGGTGTGAAGGGACCTCGTGGTCACAGAACTCCTAGGCCCAGCAGCATCTGCTGGGTACCACACACACATCACCTGTGGGCGGGGGGCTGCCGGCTTCCAGATCTGGACATTGCAGGGGTGGCGCTGAGGGCGGGGAGGAGCCAGTGGTTCCTGAATAAGGACAGTTGTTTAAGGATGGGGCTGGAGGATGGGATTGCGAAGCCAGGCTGGGCCATGTGGTCTGTAGCTGTAACTCAGCACAGCGACACCCAGGCAGGTGCTTCTGGGGCAAGTGCCTGCTGTGACTCTAAACTGTGGTCATTGTGGCTTTTCTTTATAGAGTTTTTTGAGCTCATTTCCAAAGCTCAGAGCAACAGAGCAGATGACCAGCGTGGGCTGCTAACGAAAGAAGATCTGGTATTGCCTGAGTTTCTCCGCCTACCTCCTGGCTCCACGAAACTCCCCCTCTGCACCCTAGCTGCGGGCAAAGGCTTTAGTAAGAGACCTGAAACGACAGGCCACAGCAGGGAGAAGGCATCACTTCCTAGCGACAGCCCGGCCACCAGCCCCGGCTCCACCCAAAGCACCAGCTCAGCCCAGAGCCCTGGCTCGGCCCAGAGCCCTGGCTCAGCGCACAGCCCTTCTGGGCCTCGTGGGGCCAGCCCACTTGGGCAGAAGGTGCAGGAGGGCCCTACCCAGGTCTGGAGGAGGAGGCAGTCTCAGGAAGTCGAAGACGGGGGCATCCAGACAGAGGACGAGTCCAGGGCTGACCTGACCCTGGTGGGGGAGGGGGACATCAGCAGCCCCAACAGCACGTTGCTGCCGCCGCCCCCGAGTCCCCAGGATGCACCGGGACCTCTGAGACCAGGTACCTCCCAGTTCTGACCTGCATCCCTGGCCCTGTCCTGCCCACTGCCCTCAGTGTGGTGCTCGGTGTTCAGGGAGGAAGCAGCCATGGTAGTTGGCCCTGTCTTGTACCTTCCCACTGATGACGCCCTACAGGGACTCTGCCTCCTCTTCAGTGAGTACTGGCCACGGCGCCTTCCCTGGAAGAAGGTGCTCGGGTGGCAACTGGGGTTCCCCCAGGCAGAGAGACCCTGCAGGTAGTGGCTCCTGCAGAGCTGCCCAGGACCTGGGAGGTGGGCTTTGGGGGCACCCTGAGTATGGCCAGAATTTCCGAAAGTGTGGTTATTACTTCTTAAAACTGCATAGCTGGCATCTTTAGTGTTTTAGTCTCAAGATGGCAAAAACATAGTATTTGTCTTGAGCAAGTAAGCTCAGCCCCTGCGGCCTGCGGAGGGCCGTCCCCATGTGCCCACTACATACTGGGCACGTGGCAAACACCACCACCACCATGGTGCCCGCTGCCATTAGCATACCTAGGGTTGTGTGTGCAGCCATGACATTCAGGGTGTGGCGGTGATGGCATGTCCAGGCAGCCACGCTCCTGGCAGCCCCGCTGGAGGGTAAGGCCCTTCACACCCGTGCAAGTGGGAGCATCTGGGGCCCTAGTGCTGACTGGTGGCTGCAGGGCTGCACCCTTGGCACAGGCTTCCCAGAGCACATGGAGGGGAGTGACAGCAGAGGTCCCCTCCACCTCCGGGTCAAGTGGCCCAGGACGCCCCAGGACTGGGTCTCGTGGGGCCTTGGCAGGCCGGGGAGGCCATGCCCGATGCATGTTCCCTGTAGCTGTGCACAGCGGACGCTTGGCAGCGTGCAGCGGCTCTGAGGCCCGGCCCCCCGCTGTGCCTGTGCCATGTGGACGCCGCGAGTGGCTTCCGTCTGTGTCCTCGCCTGTTCTCCCAGCAGTAATAAACTCTCACCTCTCACTGAGCCGCTGCACACTCTTTTCTTCTTCATCTAAAAATGTGTTTCTGCTTTGGAAACCACGGCTGACTGTCTGGACCCTAGAGGAAGTAGTATGTGTATGCTGTGAGGCCAGTAGGTGGGTTTATCTTGGGACAGTGGCTTTGAAACACATGCCATTCTTACGCCACATTCTCACACCCTCACCTGTGTGCCAGAGGCGGCTGGGTGACGGGGAGGGAGCGGACATCCTGTCCCTGTCTCTCACTGTCCCAGCCCCCAGAGCAGTCGGAACACGGCTTGGGCCAGGTACCGAGGCCCTGGTATGAGAGGTGGCAGAGCCTATGGCCACTGCCAGTTTCCTCGGCACCCCCAGAGCCTTGTCTCAGCTACAGGGAGTGAGCAGACCAAGCGGCTATCGGCAGGAGCCAGCGTGGCAGCTGAGGGGGAGGTGGTACCGCCCTTGGTCCTGGGGCTCCATTTTGAAGGAGGTAGGGTACAAGGGGCAAGCTTTGCTGTCACTCCTCAGCCTGTGCCCGGTGTCCCAGGACAGCCACGCACAAGTGACCGGAGACGCTGGCCCCTCTTTCAGTTCCCTCTTGGCACCCCAGGGAGTGCTTGAGAATCTGGCTCTTGAGGGGCTCCTGTGTGCTGGAGGGTCCCTTACTGCAGGTGCCAGCCATGTGGGCTGTCGGGCTGTTTGTCTGGCCATCTGATCTTCCGTCTGTCTGTGAGCACCCTTGCTGTGCCCCTGGTGGCAGCAATTCTCCTAAAGCACTGACCCTGGGGTTTAAAAGGTGGACCCTCACCCTGCCAGCTGCCCTGACATGGTGGCCTCCACTGCCCTGTCATCCTGGGAGAGAAACGCCATGGAGGTGTGGCTAGGTCCCCAGGTAGCCTCGCCATGGCCTCGGGCCAGGCCACTTATGAGAGAGCTGGCTGGTTGGAGGACAAGAGTCCCCCAGAGGCCTGGGCACTGGCACGTCTCCCTGTCAACCAGAGGCCACCAAATGACACACTGAGGCCGAGCTGCACCATGAAAGCCAGCAGAGCCCTTCCCAGGAGCCCAGGGCCTTAGGGGGCCGTGTGCCATGTGCGTCACCTTGTAGGGAAAAGCAAAAGCCTCTGTATGTCCTGCAGCTGGGCAGATGGACCTCAGTCCTGCCTCTCCCTCCTGTGTCCCACAGTGTGACCTGCACCCAGCCCCCAGTCCTTCAGGCAGCCACAGCCCCTCCCCCTGCCTGCCAGTATGCCGTCTGCCTCCCTGGTGCCCATCCTGGGTTATAGCACCCCCATGGGCTGTGCGAGGACCTTTGACCCAGTCCTGTCCTTCCTCAGCGGGCCCTGCAGGAAGGCCGCCGTGACCTCAGGACACCCAGCAGGGGACCCGGGCAGCCAGGGACTGGACAGCAGGGGAACCCAGGAAGTCGGGGTAGTGGGACCCCTGCCTGCATACCCAGCTCCTAGTCGTCCCCAGTGCTTGCTAGCTCCAAGTGTCCAGCTCTCCTGTCTCCTCCGAGGACAAGGCAGAGCCAGGCTATGCACGTGATGAGCACAGGGCTGAGTTCAGGAGGAGGCCATGTCCCTGTGAGGGCGGGGCAGGGGGATGGGCAGCAGGGCTGGACCCCAAGGACAGCTGTGCCCTGCTAGGGTCCCCATGAGCCCAGGGCCTTGACTGTGAGGGAGTGTGGGTGTGCAGGTGAGCTGAGGCTGTGCTGACCCAGTTCCGGCCTGAAACAGATCTTCTGGGAGACAGTACAGAGCCTGACGGGTGCTTGGTGGGTGGGAGGACCAGCGGAAATTGCCATAGAGGGCCAGGCAGGAGCAGGGGCATAGGGTTGGGGCTGGCATGTTGAGTCATGCCTCCACCCTGTACTTGGTGCTGGTTGAGCCCTGCTTCCACTCCCCGGTCATCTCCAGGCCCCTGACACATAGGACAGGTAGGGACAAGACTAGATCCCAGGAGGCCCTGGAAATGTTTGTTGAATGACTAGTCAACAAACAGTGACTAGTCCAGCTGGGAGGAGCTTCTGTCTAGAAGCTGTGGTGGAGGAGGCCTCACCCCTCAGCAGGATCTGCACCCTTCCTCAAGGCCTCGTGGAAGCCCGTTCTGGAGGCTTGAGGCTGGGACATGGGATGCATGAGTTGGGAGCTTGAGGACTGTGTGGGGAGCAGGGTCTTCCCTGTACCTGGCAAGCCTCTCTGTTACAGCTAGGGAAACTGAGGCCAAAAAGTGGAATGGGACCCCCCCACACACCGTATCCCTGTTCCTGGACCTGTTTCCTGTGGGTCCTGCTGGGCTGAGCCCATCTCCTGTGGCGCCAAGGAGACTGATGGTCCCTGACCCTCACTCCACAAGAGGGGACACAGATGGCCCAGCAGGGGACTTCCAGGGCCCCACCCCATCATGCAGGTCACCCCACCAGCCCTGGCTGGACAGGTCTTCCCTCCAGGGGTCCAGACACGACCGCTGGGTGAGGTGGGCAGAGGATGGGCAGTGTGGGCCACTAGGCACTCCAGGGAAGGGTTCGGCACAGGAGGGATGGTGACACGGGGCAGTAGGCAGGTGTGGGGGTGCCCAGGCTCTATGAGGGCAAGACAACCCCAGGCAGCCAGGTGGGGGGAGGGCAGAGTGGGCAGCACTGGGTAGGGCCACTGACAGCTCCCAGGAGCAGTTAGAGTCACACTGGGGGTCAAGGAGGGTGAGATGTGTCCCTAGCTGCAGCGGGGTGCTGAATGGGGAAGTGGGGCAGAAGGGGTCCTGGGGACTGCTTTACTGCAGCACTTCCACCCTCTATGTTGAGCCAAAGCCCTCTATGGTGACCACTGCACCCCAGCTCTGAACCCTTGGCCACAGGTACCCCAGATGCCCCTGGGCAGAGTGGCCTTGCCAAGAGATCCCCAAGACCAGGAAGTGCTGGGATTAGAGAGGCTTGAGACAGGTGTGGGACTGTGGCCCAGGCCTGCATGGGGACCCCTGGCCCCCTTGCCAGGACAGCCTCACCCCTGTTGGTCTCAGCCTCACCACCTGGTGCCCTGTAGGCACAGCTTGTGTGTGTGTGTGTGTGTGTGTGTGTGTGTGTGTGTGTGTGTGTGTGTGTGAAGCTGCCAGTGCATGGCTTCTCTGGCCAAGTGTCTGCGGCCTGGGGCCTGGGAACCTCGGATACAGTCGGGGTTCCAGAGCTGAGTGCTGGACATCAGGGCTGGGCCAGCAGGTGACAGCCTTTCTCCTCCCTGTGATAGGAGGCAGGGCCCGTGGCAGCCAAGGCCTCCCAGTCAACAGGATCTTCGACGTGGACCTTGCTGCTGGCATGGCGCCCAGGGTATGGCCAGGCCCCAGGAGGGCAAGGCCAATGAGGCCCCCAGCATCAGACTGCCCTGGCCAGAGCCCCAGCCCTGGGGAGCCCAAGGCCAAGCTGAGCACCCACCATGCCACGTTCGTCTGAAACTGCCTTCCCTGGCCTGGCCTGCACCTTGGCCTGCACCCTGGTGGGCTCATCTGTGCATCAGTGTGTGGAGTGTGCCCCTGGGGCCTTCAGGGGACACAGAGAGGACAAGTGGTGGCCTTGGCCCCTGCCAGCCCCACACTGCCTCTGGTACCCAGATGCCACCCAATAAAGTTTTCACAGACACCTAAATGGGCCTCATGCTGAGAGCTGTGACACACGGGAGGTCTCCCCAGGAAGGGCTGAGGTCAGCTGTGGTGCCTAGGGCCAGGGCTCCGCCAAGCCTGCCTGGTCTCCCCCTGTGCCATCATCATGCATGGGCTGCCTGCTATTCCTCTGTGGGACCCTGGTGCAGGTGGGCAGGCCGAGAGCTATCCACAGCTGGGCACCGGGGCCCTCCCTGGCACTGCCCACCTCCCTGGCATGTGGGAACCTTCTGGTCACTGTGCTCTTGCCCTCTTCCCTTGACTTCATTGGGGTTCCCTTCCCTTGACCTTGGGTTCTCAGGGTATTCCCAAGGGTGACTTGGGCAAGCCTGGCTGGAGGAGACCTTTGTGGCAGAGAAGGCCTATGGATGTGCGCCAGGCCTGGGCAGAGGCTGATGGGCACAATAGGGAAGACTCCGTGGGCAGGAGCCTTCAGAGGGCACCATTGGCCCAGTCACCAGACGTGGGCCTGGCACTGAGCAGCCAGTCCTGAGGCCAGCAAAGCCACCAGATGCTTGCACTCTGGGCAGGGGAGACACCAAGATGGCAGACAGGAGCCCAGACCATTGTGCACTGAACTCTCACCAAGCACACAACAGCCCCAGCACTGTTGCGCCCCCAGCACCCATGGTGCCCTCCAGCACCCACTGTGCTGAGGTGCTTGCCGAGGGTCTGCACAGAGGAAAGTGGAGGCCCAGGGTGGGGGTTTGGGTACCCCGCAGGGTGACTCCATGATGAGCTGATGTCCTGCCACAGTGGGGCAGAGTCCTCCCCTGCAGTGCCATGGGGCTGTGGACTCAGTATGGGGGTCCTGCAGCCTCTTGGGATTCTCAGGGCATTTCCAAGACAGCTGCGCCCCAGCCCCAAGGCACAGTGGGGTTTGCTCTGCCGCCGAGTCTCTGGCATGTCCCCCAACTGTTGATGCCAAAAGGTGAGGAGGGGTGGGAGAAGATGGCCAGGACACCCCGAAGAAAGATGGGACAGGCAGGCCACAGAGGGTCCATCCTGGGTGGCGCCAGTGCACGGCCACCCTCGCCATGCCCAGCTTGCGGCAAGGTCCCAGCTCCAAGTGTGTGGGAATAGAGATTCATGGACCGACCTGCTGGGCCTGTGGCCAGACAGGGATGGTGCTAGGCAGGGACCCGGGCCTCAGCTGTTTACCTTGGCCTGGGAAACGCTCCCAGCAGAGGCCTGAGACAGCATCCAGGCCAGGCCAGCATGGAACCACTGCCCTGGGCAGGCAGGGTGTGTGGGCAGTGGCGAGGAGGTGGGGGCATGGGCCTCCTCCAGGGCCTCAAGGGCTGCTGGGTTAATCATTGTCCCTTGTGTGGCCTTGACCCTTCTTCGCTGGCTGCCCTGCCTCCTGTTCCTGCTGTCCTGGGAGCCCACACTGGCCGGAGGAGCAATGGGGTGCTGGGCCCAGGTCCCTGGCCCCTACCCCTCACCAGGGCTCTGGCTTCTCTGGCCCCTCCTGTTGCTTCTGCTTCTGCTTCCTTGGGAGACCTGGCCCCAGGCTGCCAAGGTGAGATTGACCTCCACGCAGGCTGCCCATGTTGGCTCTTGGGGGGCCAGGGGCAGGGCCCCCAACACGGTGACATGGGGGAGAGGGGCACAAGATTGACCTGGCTTGGCCCCTGCTGGGAGCTATGGGTTCCCATGCACTTTCACCCACTCCAGAACTGCCCCAGGGTCCAGCCACCCTGAGCCACCTCAGGCGGAGGCCAGGGCCCCGCAGAGGCCTTGGGACCTCCAGCTCCTGGACCCCTGTGCAGAACTCAGGGCCAAGTCTGTGGGCCCCCTCCTGAGCGGGTCCCTCTGCTACCGCTTTGGCTCCTAGAACTACACAGAGCCCCCGGCACCTAATGCCACAGCCACCCTGGGAGCCCTCTTGATTCCTGTGACCTCAGCGACACCCAAGACCCCAGCAAGGGGTGCTGTAGAGGCAGAGGTAGAAGCAGAGGGACCCCGAGGTGGGGAGCACCCCAACCCAGATGGGGTGACTCCCTTCAGCAGCGTCCTCAGGGGGCAAGGTGGGTAGGGGTTCGGGCATGCCATGTACACCCAGTAGGCTGCCAGGGGAGTGTGGCGATGAGGTGGGCTACACAGTGGGGGGCAGGGAGCCTGGTGGGGCAGAGTGGGGGGTAGGGGTGCCTGTGGAGTGTGAGTCCCCAGACCCTGCTGCGCCCTCCTTTGGCAGTGCTCACAGAGACTGGGCAGCCCTGCAGGTTCCCGTTCCGCTACGGCGGCCGCATGCTGCACACTTGCACCTTGGAGGGCAGTGCCCGCAGGAAGTGGTGAGTTGTGTGGGCACCCTAGCAGGTGAACAGAGCATCTGGGGCACTCTGGGGCCACGGCTAGGACACCTGTCACCCCACATCGCCCCTAGGTGTGCGACAACTCACAACTATGACCGGGACAGGGCCTGGGGCTACTGTGTGGAGACCACCCTGCCTCTGCAGGGAACAGGTGGGTTCGGGTTGGGGCACCCTGAACTCCAGGCTTGAAGGGGCAGGATGGGACATCAGGCTCAGAGCACTGAGTAGGTGAGACCATGGGAAGACAGTGCTGGCCTGGTCTGGGAGTCCCACCTGGAGTGACGGGGCCAAGTCATCCTGCAGCTGGCAGCCAAGAGACCTGTCCTTTCCAGGCCTTGTGGTGGCCTTGTGGTGGCCACAGCTGTCAGCAGGGCCACAGTGCCCTCTGGTGGGGTGGCCCAGCCCTGTGGCCACAGAGGCCATTCTGGGACAGGCCAGGGTGGGGCCGCAGGACACACGGAGGCGGCTCAGGGGTGCAAGTCCCCATGGAGGGCCCTGGGAACCCTGAAGACTACCACCCCACTCCTGCCCCTAGCTGTCCCAGACCCCTGTGCCTCCGGCCCCTGCCTCAATGGTGGCACCTGCTCCAGCGCCCAGGATTCCACTTCCTACCACTGTACCTGCTCCCCCGCCTTCACAGGCAGGGACTGTGGCACCGGTGAGGGGCACAGGAGGACAGCAGCTGGGCGGGGAGGTGCTGCCCTGTGTGGGCGGGCATGGGGGCAGGGCCCAGGGATGGGGCTCACTGCACGACTCCCAGAGAAGTGCTTTGACGAGACCCGCCATGAGTACCTGGAGCCGGGCGACCGCTGGGCCCGTGTGCAGCAGGGCCACGTGGAGCAGTGTCACTGCGTGGGGGGCCAGGTGCAGTGCGAACACGCCCATCACACAGGTACACAGTGCCTTGCCAGCCTGGGGTGCCTGGGCAGTGATGGGTGTCCTGGGCCCCTGGCGGGTCAGAGAGGGTCTCCGAGGCCCAGGCCTAGCTGCTGAGCCTCCCCAGCATGCCTGAACAGCCTGTGCCTGAACGGGGGCACTTGCCACCTCATCACGGCCACTGGGACCAGTGTCTGTGCCTGCCCGCTGGGCTACGCCGGGAGGCTCTGCAATATCGGTGAGTCCCACACACAGGACCCGCAGCCGCGGTGGTGCGATGGAGGGTGGGCCGGCGGTCAGGCTTGCGCCTGCTTTGTCTCCCAGTGCCCTCCCAGCGCTGCTTCGTGGGGAATGGCACCGACTACCGAGGAGTGGCTAGCACAGCAGCCTCGGGCCTGGGCTGCCTGGCCTGGAACTCCGACCTGCTCTACCAGGAGCTGCATGTGGACTCAGTGGACGCCGCCGCCCTACTGGGTTTGGGCCCTCACACTTTCTGCCGGTCAGCAGCCGTGGGCTCGCCTGGGGCCAGACTCCCCTGTCCATGCAAAGGCCACCCTGAGGCTGCGCTGACATCCCCTCCTTGTCCCTCCAGGAACCCAGACAAGGATGAGAGGCCTTGGTGCTACGTGGTGAAGGACCAGGCACTCTCCTGGGAGTACTGCCGCCTGGCAGCCTGTGGTGAGGGCCCGGGACCCAGCCAGGCAGGGATGGGAAGGACGAGGCTGGGCACCCCCCAGGGACCCCAGGGCCCTCTGCAGCTCTCAGCCCATCTCTCCACATAGGCCACTCTGGCCTTCCCTGAGCCTTGTAGCAGCGTTCCCCACCCACCTACAGAAAGGGAAACTGAGGCTCAAAGTGAGCTACATACAGGCGTGGGGCCAGGCCTGAGAGAGGACGGAGGGTCCAGATGGAGCTCATCCTGGGGACCCAGGCAGTGACCCAGGAACCTCTGCCCTCAGAATCCCTGACCAGAGTCCATCTGCCATCCCCTGAGATCCTGGCTGTGATACCCACGGCCACCCTGGCCCCGAGCCCGACCTGTGGCCGGAGGCACAAGAAAAGGACATTCCTGCGGCCACGCATTGTGGGTGGCTCATCCTCGATGCCCGGCTCCCACCCCTGGCTGGCTGCCATCTACATCGGGGACAGCTTCTGTGCCGGCAGCCTCATCCACACCTGCTGGGTGGTGTCTGCTGCCCACTGCTTTGCCAACAGGTGAACAGCGGGGCAAGCCCCACCTCATGGGCTTCCTGTCACCCCTTGGCCACCCCTTGGGACTCTGAGGCAGGTGGTCTGGGGAGACACTGCCCCAGCCAGAGCCTCAGTGCACAGTGACAACATGTGTGGGAGCCCCCACCCATCACTGTGCAGTCCAGGAGACTGAGGTACAGCCCACTCAGCAGGCCCCTGGTCTTTGGGGTTGAGGCCCCCCGACCTCCAGCCAGAGCCACAACCCTGAGACTCAGACCAACTGGGTGAGTGGACAGCCACTCCTCTCAGCTGGCGCTGTGGTTAGGGAGGGGCTCTGGCCAGCAAGGGACCACCTGGAAGTTGCTCCCCATTCTCCATCCTCAGCTCCCCATCTGTCCCTGCTGTGTTCAGGTCCTGCCCTGCAGAGGGAAACTGAGGCACACATGGGGCAGAGGAGCTGCCCAGGGGCCAGCTCTGTGCCTTGTGGAGTGAGACACTGCTCAGGGCTGGGCACGCTGGTACTGGGAAGGCTGGCTCAGGACCCAAGGAGAGGGCTGGGTCCCCGTGCTCCCACCAGCTCCATTGTGCAGCCCCCCCAGGGACAGTGTCTCCGTGGTGCTGGGCCAGCACTTCTTCAACAGCACGACAGATGTGACGCAGACCTTCACCATCGAGAAGTACATTCCCTACCCTCTCTACTCCGTGTTCAACCCCGGGAACCATGACCTGGGTGAGTCGGGGCTATGGGCTCAGCCGGGATCCAGCTGGCTGCTGTGGCCCCGTCTGACCTGTGACCCTGCCCCAGTCCTGATCCGGCTGAAGAAGAAGGGTGACCGCTGTGCCGTGCGCTCCCAGTTTGTGCAGCCCATCTGCCTGCCTGAGCCTGGCAGCTCCTTCCCCGCAGGGCACAAATGCCAGATCTCAGGCTGGGGCCACATGGACGAGCGTGAGTGGGGCTGGGTTGTGGCACAGTGGGGTGGAACCCGCTGCCATGAGCTCCGCGCCTAACAGAGCCCTGTCCCCAGAGGTGAGTGGCTACGCCAGCTCCCTGCGGGAGGCACTGGTCCCCATCGTGGCCGACCACAAGTGCAGCAGCCCTGAGGTGTATGGTGCCGACATCAGCCCCAACATGCTCTGCGCTGGCTACTTCGACTGCAAGTCTGATGCCTGCCAGGTGGGGGCCAGACCTGCCTGCAGGGGGTGTGGGTGTCTCCCACAGCCTGCACAGGCACCCAGAGGGGAGGCTGAGGCCTGGGCCTGGATTCCTCTCAGTCAGTCTGTCTGTCAATCGATGAGTCAGTCCTAGGCCTGCTTATCACAGGACAACGGGGGGGGGGGTGCTGCACACCCCCACTTTAGAGGTGGGAAACTGAGTCTGGAGAGGTGGACTCTGTCTTCCAGGGTAGCATAGCTCAGAAGGGGTAACTCAAACAGTCAGGGTGGGCCATGTGAGGGGATGTGTGCTGTGGCCAGGGAGAGGCAGGGGCTTCTTGGCAGTAAGAGGGCAAGGCAGGAGGTGGCCCAGCCCCTGCTGTGATGCAGCGTGGCCACGTGGGCCCTGTGGGCCACACTGGTGGCTGGAGAAGGGCCAGCCGAGGTGTGCTTACCACCATGAGGTGAGAGCTGGGTGGGGTCCATCGGCGGAGCGGGGGTCAGAGGTGCTGGACACTGGCAGGCCAGTGGAACTGTCCTGCACTGCCCACAAATCAGCCTGAGAGTCCCCTGTCCGCGAGGCTGGGAGCACAGCTAGGTTGGGGTCAGGCGGCCCTGAGCCCTGTCTCTGCCCCAGGGGGACTCAGGTGGGCCCCTGGCCTGCGAGAGGAACGGGGTGGCCTACCTATATGGCATCATCAGCTGGGGCGACGGCTGTGGGCGGCTCAACAAGCCGGGAGTCTACACCCGTGTGGCCAACTACGTGAACTGGATCAGTGACCGGATACGGCCCGCCAAGCGGCCTTTGCCCCCCTCATAGCCCTGGACCCCTTCTCACCTTTGCCTGCTGTGGGGACAATAAAGATGGTTCCAAGGCCCGGCCACACTGCTGTCTCCTGCCTCCCAGGCCACCACGGCCTGGGTGCCTCCATTACATGGGGACCAGCCCCAAGGCCCGGGGCATAGGCAGATGATGGGGACCAGGCGCCTCCAAGGCCACCCAGGCAGGTAGGGCAAGGTCCACACCCAGGGCTGTTCCAGGGCACAACAGACTCAGTCCAGACCCCCTGGCCTAGTTATGTGAAAAATATTAGCCCAGGAGAGGATGGGACATCTGGGCACTGCTCTGGGTCACGTGGCATCACGGTGGCTGCTTGGCTCAGTGGGGACTTTTGAGGGGCTGGGGAATGGGGCTATGTGGAGGTGTGGCCATGCGGACCTCGGGGAGGGGTGGCTGATGGCACTGAGCTTAGGACCTTCCCTGGACAGAGCCTCCACTCTCCCCTCCCAGTCTTGCCTGCCGGGGCCCACCCCACCCCAGGCTGCTCTGAGCTGTGTTTGAAACCCCCACCCCTGCCCCCAGCCTTCACCCCTCTGTTTCCCACGAAGCCACCTAGGTGCTGGCTCAGTGTTCCCTGTGCCCAGGTGCTGGGCTCCTCCTGCTCTGTGACCCGCTGCCGGCCCACCAGGGTTCTCTGAGCCCCACTCTACCAGGCATGCAGACCCTGGCAGACATCTGTGCTCCTGGTCCCTTCTGGGTGGGAGGGCTCAGGGCTGGCTTGCGTGGGTGGGTGTGACAGCTGCCTTCTCGCAAACACAGTGCCCAGTGTCACCTGCTGACCTGTGGAGTGACTGCAGCTGGCCTCAGGGAAGGGTGGGCAGGGTACAGGACAGAGGCCACCCTGGGCCAGGTGACCACTGTTAGGTTCTGAGACACCCTGACTGTAGCCCGCTGAGTTGCAGCCTGGGTGGCCCCTGGAGGATTATGTCCTCCCCCCCCCTGCCCCCAGCACACTGAATTTCTACCTCTGCGGCTGTGTTGCCCCCGCCTGAAGCCAGGAGGCACCACTGCTGCTGACCAAGCCGGGGTCTGGGCTGTCCCCACATCCTTGTCCCCACCCCTTTTTGAATATGCTTCCCTGGTTGCCCCTGCCATCTGGCCAGCCTGTGGGCTCCTGGTGGATATGTGCTTTTTTGTTTTCTTGTCTTTCTTGATTGATTTGTGTTTTGTTTGGGATTTTGTGCTGTGCTTTTGAGATTGCTCAGAACCTCTTCCTGTGTTTGGATGGCTGTTGTGAAGGCTCCTGTGACACACTCAGACTGTCCTTTCTGCCATCACAGCTCCCTGGGTCATCCGCAAGCCGTAGCAAGAGCAGCTTTTGAGTAGTTTGGCTGAGTTCCCCGAGGGGTCACCTGGCCCGTGACTACCTCACAGAAACATGCTGGCACTCATCTGGGCACCACTTAAATGGTCAGGTACTTTATTTCTTTTTGACCTGCTTATATGAAGTTATACTTTTATGAGCTTGTGAAATTGTTCAGGTTTATTAGAATAATGTTGTTTATGGTTATCTCAGTTCATTTTCTGTTATGATAACAAGTTACCTGGAGTCAGATAATTTATAAGAAGTAGAGGTTACGGCCGTTAATTATGGTCTGTCAACCTGACTGGATTAAATGCACCTTGGGGCTGGTGGCACACACCCGCAGGTGTGTTTGGTGCTTGTGGAGGCCCGGCCTTGGCATCTGCGTTTGGACCCAGCCTTACCTGTCTGGCCTGTTCTGCTCTGCTCACCGGCCCCTGTGAATCAACGTCTTGCTCCGCCCAGCTCTTCCGCTGGGATGCCCTGCCTTGGAACAACTGACCATGGACTGAGCCCTGAAACGGTGACTGGAATTACCCCTCCTTTCCTCTCAACTGAGGGTCTTGAATCTTGTGTCCCAGCCACAGGTCATGGCTGACAGATCTGTTCAGCTTTTGGGTCTGGGGTCCATGCACCAGTGCCAGCACCTTCTTGTACCACATCATTACCTGGGGCAAGGCCCCACAGGAGATGGGGCCAGCTGTCCACATGGACCTCTCCTCTCCTTCTAAAGCCACTAGTGCCAACCTGGGCCCCCCATGACCTCGCCTGAACCCCACTACCTCCCAGAGGCCCCATCTCCAGACACATTAACTTATGAATTCCTGGCCCATGATGCTTGAGGGACACATCTGCCTGTGGCAGTGGCCTTAGTCTGGGTTTGCTGGTCACTGGGGTGGCTTTCAGTCCTGCACATGACCTGAGACAAACCAGCCTACGGTGAGAAGAAGAGAATTTGTGTGCCTGGTTTTAGGTGTCATGGCCCGTGATCAGTTGACTGTTTGCTTCGGGCTCATGGTCACAGAAGTAGGAGGAGGGGCTACATGGCCAGGAAGTGAGAGAAGCAGGAGACTGAGGCAGGAAGGTGGCAAATTCTAGCCCAGCCTGGCCAATTGAGTAAATTAATGAGAATTTGTCTAAAAATAAAACTGAAACGTTCTAGGCGTGTAGTCACTGCAGAGGCCCCGAGTACAGTCTCCAATGCTTTGGAGAGACAGTATCTCAGGGTGTTGAGGTCCTGTTGTCCTTGCAGCCATGCCCCAAGGGCTCAGGGCCTCCTGCCGAGGCCACCTCCTCACAATATAGCACGAGGGACTGGCACCCATGCCCTCAGCAGGCTCCCGTCACATCTCCAAGGCGATGGGAGGCCGGGCGTCCTGGCCACGGTGTGCGGTTGTCTCTGGCCGCCTGCAGGAGCCTCTTTGCTGTGCTGTGGAGAGGCGAGCTCAGCCATCCCTGCCCCTGCTGAGGACATTGGTCCTGTCAGGTGGGGACTGCACCCTGACTCACGCTCCCTCCATAACTCGAGGTCACTCCTTGTCCCACCCTGAGGCAGGTGGGAAGAGTTTGGATGGGGATGGCCCAGGGATTTGGTGGCTGGATGCACGAGTGGTAGCCATCACTTCTGTCCTAACCAAGGGCATGCTGGGAGTATGAATGGGCCATGGGCAGCCATGGATGTTTCTGAGCCACCTGCTGATGCCAAGCCAGCAGCCCACCTGCTCTGGTCCTCCCCTGGGTGTGTAAAACTGGTCATTTTGAAAAAGCCAGGGGTGGGGGGCAGGGGTTTAGCTCAGCAGTGTAAGTGCCTGCGTGGTAAACACGAGGTCAAGTTCAATCCCTGGCACCAAAAAAAAAAAAAAAAAAAAAAAAAAAAGAAGAAGAAGAAAAAAAAGAAAAAGCCAGGTATGGTGCCCAGGAGGCTGGGGCAGGAGGATTGCTGTGAATTCCAAGCCAACCTGCACTACCTAGTGAGACTATGTCTTGAAAACCAAATACTAGAAAATGAGACCATCATGCTTTCACTCACTTGGAGCTCATGGCAGCAGCTTCAGGCTGGAGGAGGGAGCTGGGAAAAGCCCTCTGACAATGACAGGGCAGTGCCGTCTGGTGGAAGTCCCTGGCTCAGAGCAGGGACTGGCCTGGTGTCCTGTGGCTGCGGGGTCCTGTGGAAGTGCCGTCTGCCCTGGCCACAGTGCCAAGTGGCAGCGCCATACTGTGGGCTCTGGCAGTGTATGTGTGACCCAGGCCATAGTGTGGCATCTGGAGCCCAGTCCTGTCCTGTCTCAGTCCCAGCAGGCCCCACTCTCTGGCTGTCACTTGGTTCCTCAAGAGGCCCAGCCTCCTTCCAGGCAACTCACTCTTGCTTCCGTGGACAGTGTTTACCACTGACAACCAGGAGCCCTGGCTGTAACACCTGGGGAAACTGAGGTACTGGAGGGAGCAGGAGACAATCCAGGGTTGCAGCAGAGCCAGCCCACCTCTGCGTCCTCGAAGGCTGCTGTCTCACCATCCACAGCCTGGTGGCTGCAGAGGGCCTGTCACAGATGGGGAGGAGCTGCCTGTCCCTGTGGTGCCTGCATTTTCAGGCCAGGGTGGAGCAGGTGCGGCCCTGGGCGTGGCCAAGGCCTGGAATGCATGGCCCCATCCTCCCTGTGGGGACCAGCGAGTGCCAGCGGCTGCTGTGGGGCTCTGAGGTGGCAGCTGTCAGGCAGGGCGCTGGGGATGGGCACCCTGCACGTGCTGGGTGGGAGCTCATGGCGTCTTCCTGTGCCCACTGTCCTCCCACCTCACCCAGGGCCATCAGGGTCAACTCTGGCTGCTCCTGCGGTGGATTGGGCTCCAGGCCGGCCCTGCTCAGGTGGGAGCAGATGGGGCAGCCCTGGCCCCCAGGCCTCATACTCTGGGCCTCAGTTTCTCCTTGGAGTGGGGCAGATAGAGTCCCAGGGGTCCGACAGTATGGAAGAAGCCTTGAGTTCAGGCTGTTGGCAGGCATGGCCGACTTTGCCCCAACCCCCAACCGCTGGCCCCTGAGGAGGTCCTGGAGCCAGCGTGGGGAGGAGGAACTGCTGATCCTGGGTGCCCGCTGCCCCCACCTCCAACCCTGTTCCTGACTCAGGTGCTTCTGAGTCCTGGGTCCCTGGAGGTGGGCCTCAGATGTAGGGCCTGCAGTGTAGACCTGTTAGGCTCCAGAGTAAGCCCAGGCCAGACCTCTGGCTACTGGGCAGGGCCACAAAGAGGAAGACAGATCAGGCTGCCTCCCCAGGGCCGGCCCGTGGGGGCTTTGGGTAACAGCAGCATCTCTGAGATAGCAAGGCGGGGTCTCAGCCAGGAGCCGGGGAGACCCAGCCCCAAGACTGTGGGTACCAGGTCCGCACAAGCAGAAGCCCAGGTGGATGGGACAGGAGTGGGGGACAGGCAGTGAACAGCACCAGTACACCCTACGGCTCCACTTCTTCCGGGGCAATGGAGGGACCACGGCCTGTCCTGGGCCAGGGCTGCTGGGGCCGTGCTCTCCCTGCCTCGTGGTGGGAGGGAGGGGCAGGCACCCGCTGGAAAGACTCCTTTGCATGGGGAAGGAAGCTCCCCATGAGATCTGCATTGGTATTTGAGCCCTGGACTGTGGCAGCTTCAGGTGGCACACAGGGGCTGCCAGCAGGATGATGGGGACTGAGGGCAGGTGGGAGGCTGCCCGCCCCACCTGCCTGCACCGCTTGTCGAGACCCCGCCCCCGTCCCTGTGGCCAGGTCCCTGTCCCCGCCCGCTGCTTTGGCCCGCCCTCCTGGCCCAGCCCAGAGCCCTCCCAAGCTATTTTGAAAGTGACTCTGGGCTCAGGCGCCGGGGCGCAGGGAGAGGGTGCGGCGGGAACCATGACAGAAGATGACCGAGGCGGCACTGGTGGAGGGCCAGGTCAAGCTGCGGGACGGCAAGAAGGTCTGGGCGCGGCGGGGGCGTGGGGCAGGGGCCTGTGGGGCAGCCGCTCACGCTGTCTTGTCCCTGCAGTGGAAGAGTAGGTGGCTGGTGCTGCGCAAACCGTCACCGGTGGCAGGTGAGTGGGGACAGGCGGAGGAGCAGTGTGAGCGGGGTGGCTGGGTCCCCACGAGGCCTTACCGATGTAGTCACCGGCGCCAGCTTGCCTGAAATAGCCCGGTGCTGTGGTGGAGCCCTGAAACCCAGCCCAGCTGTAACCGGAGAGCCGGAGCACCTCAGCCCGGTGCCGGTGCCGAGACAGGGACCCTGCTGCTACCGCAGAGCCCTGGGTGGCTGGGAAGGTGCCCACACCCAGCGTTTGGCTGACCCATCCAGAAGGGGGGCTGCAATGTTGGGGGCACAGCAGGGCAAAGCTCAGAGCCTTCCCATGGTATGGCGGGGACGCCAGGAGGCCACTGCCTCATTGGGGAATGGCATGGTGCAGTGCCCAGTTCAGCACTGGAGCACAAGCTGCATGGGGTCCTGGAGCCAAGGCTGGGTTGCCAGGTGGGCAGTGTCCATGATTGCATCCCGGGACAGTGACTCTGACAGTGTCTAGGGGCACAGGCCTCTGGGGAGAGCGCACCGCCCCTGCAGCCCTGGCCCCCAGCCAGCACCTCCAGTGTGGAAGTCAATGAGGCGCCCAGGGGCTTCAGCAGCTCCAGCCTCCACCGGGGAGCCGTGAGAGGCAGAGGCGCAGGCTGCAGCTGTTTTGGGGACAGGTGTCTTGGAGCCACCCTGGGTCTGCAGGGGGGCGCCGGGTGTCTGTCCACTCCCAGGGAGGGGCAGCTGCTTTTGTGGCCAGAATCACTTCCTGCCCAGGGCTTGGCCCCGCTCTAGGAGACCCACACTTCCTCGGTCCTCGTGCCAGGCCTGTGCTGCCTGCAGTGTGGTGTCCCTGTCCTTAGAGGCACCAGGAGGTCTGGGGGCAGGGGCTGGGCTGACTGAGGGCATCAAGGCCAGCACAGGGACTCAGGTGCTGTGGGGCTGGGGACTGTGTCCTGCTCTGTGGGGGGACTGAGCTTACACAGTGGCCCAGAGATCAGTATGTCTGTGGAAGCCTGAAGAGGCCTGGGGGGGGGGTCAGATATGTCCCCAGGGACAGATGTCCACCCAGAAGAGACAGCGTCCCAGAGGGCAAGGCCGGCCAGGCTGGGAGCAGGTGCTGGCTGCTGGAAAGGTGCTGAAGGCCTCTGTTTCTGGGCATATCTGCGCCCTCGTGGTGAGAAGTGGAGGCCCTTGCAGTGAACGACCAGCCAGCTGGGGTGAGCCATCCCCAGAGCAGGCTTGTGGGGTTGGGACAGGTGGGCGGCGATATGTGGATGGCCCTAGAGCCCTGTGCTGGTGTCTAGGGTGGTCCTTGGATCCCCAAGCCCCATAGGCACCCAGCCCCTGGCTCCCAAGACTCCTGGATCCTGGCACCTTGCTTTCTGTGTCCGGAAACCTGCTACCCTAGTGAAAACTGTGCTTTCCTTCCCCTTGAGACCCCTGCAGGCAGTGTGGGGCCAGGCCGGTTGGTGGGGAGCAGGGTGGCTCTGTGGGGAGTGCTTTGTGCCAGTGTTGCCCAGGCAGCAACTGCTCTTGGGGTGAAGCTCAGTCGGCAGAGAACTCAAAGCTGCCTTGGGTCACACGCAGAGGCTGGAGCTGCAGAGGGGACAAGTACCTCTGTGCCTGGGTCTCACAGTTCCCTGTGACCCTCAAGGGTGGGATTTCAGGGCACAGGTCAGCAGGGCTGTGCTCCTGAGACCCCTACCTCGTCTTGGCTGGGGTCTGGGTCTGGTGAGTTCCCGTGTGAGTTGGACCCACTGAGGCTGGTGCCTCCCTCTTACTCCCCTGATACCCTATGGGGTACAGCACAGTGTTTCCAGGTGTGCTGAGCTCAGAGGGGCCTGTCCCCTGCTTTCCCGAGAGCTGCCTGGGCATGGCACGGAAGCCTCTGGTGTGATGGGAGCCCCAGGACTGCCAGGGTTGGGGCGGTCCTAGCAGCAAACCCCAGAGGGTCTGGCCCGGACACAGCCTGGGACAGGTGCCCTTCACTCTGTCTTCTGGGTGCCAGCTTGTCACCATCCCTCAGAGACGCACCAGGAGCCTGGCCTGCAGGAGGACCCCTGGCCGTATGGGCACAGCAATGGCAAAGGCGTGGAGCCCGCAGCCAGCACAAGCCGGGTTCGAGCCCTCGTCTTGGGACCCCTGGGGTGTCTGCATCAGCCTGTGACCTTAGGCCCTGGCCCCTTTGCTAACACAGCAGGTGCCCTGGGAGGGTGTGGGTCTCAGGGTGGTGCCCAGGTCCCCTCTGCAGCTGGCGTCGGCTTTGGGTTATCTGTACCTCTGCTGCCCCTCCTCCACAGAATGGGGTGAAGCCTCTGTCCCCCTGCTGAGGACAGGCTGGGGCGGTGGCTGGGTCTCCTCTCCCCACAGTGACACCACAGGTTAGGGCGTGGCCTCGAGGGCCAGGGAACCTGGGTGCCTGGGTCCCCGCACTGTGTGACAGGGTCCTGGATTCTTGGCACTCTCGGGCAGGCATGGCCAGTCCCTCCCGTGCACTGCCAGGGCACTGGGGTGGCTGAGTGGGCAGCACACTGAGCCCTGCCAATCCTTGCCATCTGTGCTCTGGGGTGGCCTGGGTGTGACCTATGCCAGACAGTGGCATGGTGAGCAGAGTGTTTTCTCCCTGTGATTCAGGTGGGCCAGTGCTGGGCTGTCCCGAAGCCCCAGGTCCTGCCTCTCCAGCCACCCCAGGCCCAGCAGGGTTCTCTCACTCTGCCGGGGGTGCTGCCTCAAGGTCGCTGTGACCTCAGGGGCCCAGCCCCCCGTGCTATGGAGCGGCATGGCTGCTCCTCCTCCTTGGCCTCCAGGCCTTCTCTGTCCGTCCATCTGTCCTCCCTCCTCCCCAGCCACTCTCAACCCTGGCTCTGACGGCATCTGGAGCTCATGACTCCGAGGTTATTTTTACATCCAGGACGCTGGTCCAGAGGCAGCCCGCGGCCCAGCTCTGTGTCCCCCAGGCTTTGCCCCATCCCTTACCCCCTAGCCCAGGCAACCTGGCCCCCATCCCCACCTGGCTCACCCCAGGCTGCCCCAGGCCCGAGGGCCTCCCCAACTCCTGCGCTGCTTCCTCCCCTTGTCCTGCCCGGCACCTGTCTGCCCTTCCTGCTGTGCAGAGCAGACACCTCTGCCCATCTACATGGGAGCCAGGGTGTGCTTCAGAGACCACAGGCCTGTCTGCACTCCCGGGGCTCCAGGCCCCCCCATCCCCTCCCCAGGGCTCCGCACTGCCTGTTCTCCTACCCCTGCAGTGTTTCCCGGCAATGGGCTGCTTAGCTGGCCCCTCCTAGACGTGCCCCCAGCCCCACATCCAGGCGGTCCTGCCCTGCCACTGAGCCACTGGTTCCTGGTCCTTGTGTGTCCTACCATCTCCAGGAGCAAGAGCATCTGTGGGACGAGCTGGGCTGGGCACCACAGGGACAGAGGCAGAGGGCATGGTGAGGCTTCATGGGCCAATGGGACCTGGCCTGGTTCGTTTCCCTTCATGCCCTGCACTGCTGGTCCCTTGGGAGCGGGGATAGGGGTGCTTGCCAACTGCCTGAGTCTGCTAGGGTGGCATTGGATAGCTGGCCGGCAGGCTGTCTCCAGCCTAGATGGCCACCATCATTCACCAGCGCATGCTGCCACGTGTGCTGAGTCCAGGTGTCTGCACACACGCATGCTTGTGTGAGCAGAGTGTGAGTGTGAGCACGTGTGCAGGTCTATGGGTCTCCCCGTGTCCTCACAGGGCAAGGCCAGCTGCTCTCAGGGCCTCCCTGTCACAGCCCAAAGTCACCTTGGGTCAGGTCCCTGGCCCCTCATGGGGGTGTGTGCCTGGGCTTGTACACATTGGTATGAGTGTGCGTGAGCGGGAGTGGCCCTCTCTGCCTTGGGCACCCTTTGTCTCATCCTCTGTCCTCTTCCTTCTGGTGACTCCAGTGCCCTCTCCCAGCCACATGCCATCCCCTGTCCCTCACATCTAAGGTAGGGGTCCCAGCTGCACCCCATGGTGCTGGGCAGGTGACCATGGATCTCCTCCTTAGCCATGAAGCAGAGCACCCAGTGGGCGACCCCACCTCCAGGAGGGGTGCGGAGGGACAGGGTGCGAGTCCCCCATCCCTTTGCTAGGCACTGTCCCCAGCCATGTGGTGTTTGGGAAACAGTAGCCGGGAGCTACCAGGGCAGAGCCCTTGGGCAGCAAGGTGACTTTGCCTGGGAGTGACGGGGCGGGGGAGGGACTGGAGCAGTGGTGCCACCCACCCCATGTGCGGGCACCCCGCTGGCCACCCAGCCCCTGCCACAACCAAGTTGTGGAGCCCAAATGGAGACTGGCTAGGGAGGACGTCGGCTGTTTCCTGGCCTTGTGTGGCTGCCCCCGGCTCCATTTGTATTGGAAATGCCCAGGGTAGGCCTCTGGGGCTGCCACAGGAGTCAGGCAGTGACACCTGCCCTGGTGGTCACAGAGGCAGAAGTGTGTGATCCAGGCCTGAGTGTGGCTCCATGGGAGACTCTCCTGCTTCCCAGCTCCTGTGGCCCCAAGGATCCCCGTTGTGGCCCTGGCTCCCAGTCCACCTGTCCTCCTGTGTCTCTCCTGTCCTGTCTCTCACAGGGCACCCATCATCCAGTCAGACTTCTTTCCAGGGACAGATGGCTGCTCTAGGGGCAGCCTGGCGGGCCTGGCTGGCAGGATGTGGCTGCCTTTTTTCACTCCACCCAATGATCCCAGCACCCTGGGAAGCTGAGTTGGGAGGGTCCCAAGTTCCAGCCCATAGAGGCAAAGCTCCTAGGTAGAGGTGTGGTCTCCGGGCAGCTGAGTCCCTTGGCTTGGTGCTGTCTTTCTCCAGATGTCACCCACAGTTCCTAGAGTCAGGAGAGGACACAGTTCGAGGCCACTGCTGAGGCCGCTGTGCATGCAGGAGGGTGCAGGGGCGCCTGCACTTGGAGATAGAGTTCCAAGAGATCAGCCAGTGGTATCAGGACATTGGGAAAGGGTCTTGGTGCAAATATGGGGCCTTGTGGTGCCAGCACGCCCCCCCGCAGGAGTCGGCAGGTTCTAGTCTCAGGCCCAAGTCCAGCAGGTACCTCCTGTACCTGTGAGTGAGGTTTCAGTGATGTGGCTGCAGCTGATTGTACCATGGCCTGGATTCTGGAGCTGATAGAGAAGTCTGTGGACTCCTTTCCCCACCCCAGGGTGTGGCTGCTTCCACAGGGCCTCGGACTTGCCAGGCAAGTGCTCTGCACTGAGCTATGTCCACAGCCCTTTTCATTTTATCCTGACAGAGTGCCACCAAGTTGCCCACACTGGCAAACCTTGAGGTTGGCATCCTCCTGCCTCAGCCTCACAGAGGGCTGGGATCATAGGACGGAGGGTGACTCCTCGGAGGAAGGAGGCTTCACTTCACACACCAGGCCAGCCAGGCTGCCCCTGCGGGGCCCTGGAATGTGTCCTTACAGCAATGTCCTCCAGCTGTCTGCCCTTCCCCCAGGCTGCGTGTCGTCCAGCCCGAGGTGGTCACCAAGGTGGGCAACCTTCAGGAGCTAAGGCAAATAGGCAGCCCGGACACCCCCGAGGGTCACTGCAGCTGCTGGGGGTGGCTGTGAGGGGACAGTGGGGGCTCCTGAGGGAGGCATCCAGGTGAGTCCTGCAGGGCAGCCTTGACCTGAGAGGGTAGAGTGTGGATGTCTGGTCTAGGGCAGCGGGGATAGACACAGGGTCAGCAGGAGAGCCAGGCAGCAGTGTCCTTAAGTGGACCCTGGACAGCGTGACTCGAGTCAGGAGAGAGAAGCTGCCTGGGCCTGTGTGGGCAGCAGTGGTGGGGCCCAGGGCCATCCTGCCAGCCTCGGGAGGCAGCTGCAGAAGCTGGTCATTGACAGAAGAGCCACCACCGTGGGGCAGGTCTTGGGACAGTGGGGTGCCCTGCCTGGGGCAGGGCAGCGACAAGAAGCGTCACTTGGCCACGCTGGCTGCATCAGCCTGGTCCCTTGGTGTGTGGTATCCAGACCCTCCGGAAGCTGATGCCCCAGGCCCTAATCCCTCAGCCCCAGTGGCCAAGGACCTAGGCACTGTGCTCACGCCTCCTGCTGCCCCAGCAGCCTCCATTGCCCAGGGGATGCCCTTTCTGTCCCTCGGGTTTCATTTCTTGCACTCAGGGGACACAGCTGGAGGACATTGCTGTAAGGACACATTCCTTTTATGCCACCCTATTAGATTACTTCTCCCGGCCGGGCATCTCGCTCTTCCTGTGAACCTCTCTGCTGGCGCCCCTTCCAGTCCGCCTCAGGGGGGACCGGGCACAGTGTCTGAAGGCCGTGGGTCTCTGCGGTTCTGGTTCTTTTATCCCTCACTCTGCAGTGCCTTTGGGCTTTTGTGGTTACAGACATTCAGACCCTAGGTAGTCTCGGACAGAAGCAGAAGTCTTGCTGCCCGCCGGCCCCATTTGGTTAGCAGTCTCATGGGCCCGTGGCCACGCCTGCTGCTTCCAGCTCTCAGGCAGCACAGCTTGGGCCTCTGGCCCTCGGGGTGCCTGCAACCTGGCCTCTCGACACGCTGAGCCTGGCTCAGGCTGGGTCTCTGGGCTGGGTTTGAGGGGCCAGGCTGGGGAGGAAGCAGGTGCAGGACTCCAGCCACACTCTGCGGCAGGCTCAGCGCATGCCTTGCAGTCACCTGGATTCCAGTCCCCGTGTGCCAGGCGTGTGCCGAGAGTCCACACCTGCTTCTTGGGGGCCTGGAGAGAGTGTGCGCCCTGCCACCCCCTCTTCCCCGTCCTATGCACTGATGTGGGGCTCAACTGGCCTGCAGGTGCCTGCATTTAGAGTTTGCCTTAGGTCCCCGTCCTGCACTCTCGGGTTCCCCAGCTTCTGGTGGCCTGGGTGCAGAGGAGCCCTGTATACTGAGGTTGCTTCCTCCAGAAGGGTGTGGTGGGCAGGGTCTCTGGCAATGTCCTCCATAGTCTTCAGGGGCAGGACATATGCTGAGGGCCACATAGGGACAGCGGTGCTACACTGGGTGAACTGCATCTGGGACTTGGTGGGAGGGCGGTGTAGACAGTTATGGTGCTGGTGGCCTGAGGTTGCTGTCAGACCGAAAAGGTGGGTTCAGGAGGCCCAGTGATGGCCTCACTGTCCCAGGGGTGGAGCTCAGGCCACACCCTAAAACCAAGCACCACAAGAGGAGAAGCCAGTCTCTGGGGGGTGTACAGACAGGGTGGTGGCCCCACAGGCTGCAGTTTGGGGCAGGCCTGTATACAGCCAGGTGGGCTCCAGGACTGGGGCGCCTTGGACATCTTGAGGGTCCTAGGCCTAGCCACGGGGGCACGAAGCTTGCTAGGCTCACATCTTCCCCTGGGCCCAGGGGCAGGGTGCTTGGTGGCCCTGATGGTCCCTGGCCTCTCTCCCGTCTACACAGACTGCCTGCTGATGCTGGCCTACAAGGACAGGTCTGAGCGTACCAGGGGCCTCCGGGAACGCAGCAACCTGACCCTGGCGGACATCTGTGGCCTGGAGCCTGGCCTGCCCTACGAGGGCCTGGCCCACACGCTGGCCATTGTCTGCCTGTCCCAGACCGTCATGCTGGGCTTTGACAGCCGTGAGACCATGTGTGCTTGGGATGCCCGCATCCGCTATGCACTCGGCGAAGGTGAGTGACCCACGGGGCTGAGGTGGTGCCCTCCTCCCTTGGGGACAAGGTCTCTGCAGGCACTGTCGAGGGCATGGCCCCTGCCTTCCCAGCAGGTTCTCCAGTGGGGTCCTAGCCTGGCCCCTTGGCAACCCCTTTTCTTCATGCAGTGGGTGGGGTTGCCCAGGGCCGGGCCCAGGCTGTATACAGACATCCCAGGTGACCTAACCTGGCCCTGTAGCTGGCTAGGGTGAGGGTGGCATTGGAACTAGGGACCTCTGACTCTGGGGTGGAGGTGAAGGGGCACAAGTGAGTGCCACAGACTGGGGGCACTGTCCCTTCCTGAGCTGCTCTGTCTTCCCGGGTGGGGAGAGAAGAGCAAGCAGGGTGCAAGCATCAGCACCCCGAGCTGAAGCAGGGAGAGGCGAGTGTCTGTTCCCAGCACATCCCGGGCAGGCTGAGCTGGGATACAGGCTGAGGCACAAACCTCACGATCACAAGGTACTGGGCACCCGCAGCCTCAGTTTCCCTTCTATGACATGGGGGAGGGGCTTGTACCCAGGACCCAAGTCCTGTGGCAGCTGCCAGGACTGCACTGTTTGGATGGCAGCGGCTGGCACTGGCCTTGCCTGAACTAAAGTGCTCCTGAAAGAATGGGCAAAGAAAGCAGGGTCCCCTCAGGCGGGCTGGCGGACAATGTCCCCCATGCTGTAGTTGTGATGCCCACTGACACCCCACCCTGCCCTCTAGTGCATGGGTTCCACGTGACAGTGGCTCCAGGCACCAAGCTGGAGAGCGGCCCGGCTACCCTGCACCTCTGCAATGACACCCTCGTCCTGGCCAAGGATGTCCCTCCAGCTGTCATGGGGCAATGGAAGCTGTCAGACCTGCGACGCTACGGGGCTGTGCCCAGTGGGTTCATTTTCGAAGGCGGGACCAGGTGTGGGTACTGTAAGTATGCGGGGCACAGAGCCCAGCCCTGTTGGTGGGTGCTGGCCCCTTCCCCACTGCCAGCGGCCTGCAGCCTCCTGGGAGCCTGGCCTCTCGGGCTGAAGTGGCCACATGTGGTGTACAGGCTGGGCAAACTGCATGTACCCTATGTCCCCCGCACTCCTTCCCTGCCTACTCAGCCCAACCCCTCTCTTTGCCTACACCTACCCTGAGCGGGTTGAGCCCAGCCTTCTGCCGCCCACGTGCTGCCGTGGCCAGGTTGGGCGAGCAGGAATGATCAGGGGGATACTGAATCCTCTGGTGGGGTACACTCAGCCCTCTGCTCTGGAACAAGGGCATCAGAGGGGATGGCAGGGAGATGGGACAGGAGGACACCGTCCTTGGTGCTCTGCTGATTTCCTCTCCAATGGGAGGGACACTGCTTGCTGGAGCTGGTCTTTTGTGTGTGCAGCCCCCTTCCTAAACTGGACATCCTGGGTGCCACACATGACTCTGCCAGAGGGCAGAAGCCTGGCATGAGCTGTTGCTGTTGGAGGCCTGGGCAGGACACTCAAGGGCCGGCCCAAGGCTTCTAGTGAGGTCCAGCTCAGCCCATGAAGCAAGCATGTACTGGTCCCAGCACTTAGCTGCTGATTGCCTGATCCTGGCTCGTTCCCAGGTGGACTCTTGTGCAGTCTCTGGAGGAGGGGACTGAGTCAGGAAGTCCCTGCCCCTTAGATCTGCTCACCCTCCCACTATGGCGTCTAGGGTCACCTCAGCCTTCACGTGAACCTGAGGGACAGGGCTCTGGCTGAAGGGTCCAGCAGGCAGCAGGCAGTAGACTGATTCCCGGCCACTGCTGAGCTGTAGCACCTCAGAGGCAGCACCATGCCCACCCTGATGGCCCTGGTCAGCTGAGCCTCCTGTTCTGAGGGTCCCTGGGTTGAAGGCCGGGGCACATGACAAGGACACTGCTTGACTTCCATTCCTGAGCGCCTCACCTCCACGATGCTCAGCATCACAGCCACTGGGGAGGTGGGGTGGGGTGGCCCCTCGGTGGCCCGTGATGAGGGTGTGCTTCAGGAGCCAGCCCGTGTGTGGCTCTGACATGTTTCCATGGATGTGTGAGAACCCGAGGAGCAGAGGGCAGGGCTGGGAATGGAACTGGCCTGTGGCATTCTGGGTAATGCCTGTGGCCCCAGGTGGTCAGAGGAGGAGGCAATGTGGCCAGGAGGAAGTGGGGAAGCTAGAGAGGCTGAGTCCACAGCCATGGCTGGAGGCAAGGCCAGGACCAACCGTCCACCCAGGAGTGGCAGAGAGGATGTGTGGTGGGGGCTCCTTGGAGAGCCGGGGTGTGGACTCCGTTCTCATGGCGCTCCTGTTCCCTGTGGTGCTGCAGCAGGGCACAGTAGCACCCAGGGTGGTGAGGACAGAGGCCCTGTCCTCTCCAACCCCAGCAGGACCTGTGGCTTTGATCGCTGCCTCTGTAGCCTGTGGCAAAGTCTGCCCGCTTTGGATTCCCATGGGGCCACTTGTGGGGGCACGGCCTGCTCGGCATCATCAGATGGCATTTGCATGCAGGGATCTGTCCCATCCATTTCCAGGGAGGCAATCAGGCAGGTGGCCACAGCAGGCGTCCATCACAGGCCCTGTCTGGTGCCCACAGGCTGGCACACCCACCTTTTGCAGGGGAGACCCAGGTGTGAGCTGCCCTGCATGTTAAGGGCCTGTGGTTGGAACTGAGGTGGAGCCATGGCTGCTGCCCCTCGCTGCCCGCATTCTTGTCTGTGGTGAGTCCTGGCTGGCACAGAAGCTTGCTCTTCCTCCTCCTCTTCCTCTTCCTCTCAAGGAACAAAGGCCCTGCTGGGCAGGGTGGGCCAAAGCTGGTGACCACAGGCAGGATACTTGCAGCTGTCACAACCGGTTTGTTCTGGGTGGGGGAGTGGTCCAGGCAGTGTCCCCTTGCATTCCAAGCCGTGTGACCTCAGCTCCCATCTACAAGTGGGGGAGATGCAGGATTTCAGGGTGATGTGCAACCGACCTGCAAATTCCTCCGTGACTGCTCTGAGTCTGCCTTTCCTCATCTCTGCCACATGGGTCCCTGTGTCCCAGTGGTGGGATGCTGGGAGGAGCTGCCGTGTGCATGGAGGGCCCAGCCCAGAGCGGCAGAGATCCTGGCCAGGGTTAGAGCTCCAAGGTCTCCAAGGGGCTCCGCTCCACAGCAGCCTGGCCTCTTCATGTGGGAGTGACATGCCTGGTGGCCTCTAGCTAAGCATCTCCGGTCCCTAGGTGCCGGTTCCCCCTGCACTTCCCTGCCTGCAGCTGCCCTGTGCCCCTGCACTGTGACTGTGCCCATGTCTGCTGTCACTTTGTTCCACCTCAGGGGATGAGGGGGGAGATGAGGGGTGGGTGGGGTGAGCCCAGGTCAGCGGGACTGTGGGTGTTGGATGGGGTGGTCTGTGCCAGGACAATCGATCTCAGGCTGGCACATAGGAGGGCGCTGGGTCCCTGTGGGGCTCCTGGCCTCTGAGGCCCTTGGAAGCATGTGCACATGCAGGTGTGTGAGCAGGGGTTGTGGTGACTGCATGGGCCGCTGGAAGGGCCTGTGGTCATTATCAGCAGAAGTGACACTGGGATATCTCTTCTGGGTGGCTGGGACACCAAGCACTTCCAGGCCCAGAGGGAGCCTTGAGGCCTGCAGGCGGTTACGGCTGGTCTCTGATGGGTGTTCCTGAGCTGACCAGCGGGCTTGAGGGACACTTGCAGCAGGGCGAGCATTTCCCCTTGCTGAGCCCCGAGCCTCTGCCTGGAGCAATATATGCTCTCCCCAGCAAGCAGCTGGCTTCCTCCTTGATGCCCAGCAGCAGCTCTCTCCTTGTCTTCACACCTGTGTTATCCCCTGCTGCGTAACAAACAGCCTGCCATGGCTTGCAGTTGTATGGTCAGGGATCTGGGCTGAGCTCGGCTGCCTGCCTGCTCCACCCGGCCTTGACTGGGTCACTTGGTGGTGGCCATTTGCGGGTGGCAGGCTGCCAAGCCAAGGTGTTGGTCAGGAGGCCTCCGTTCCCTCTGGGCCCTTTCTGGCATGGTGGCCCTGTGGGCCCTGTGACCTACGCCCAGGGCTGGAGGTGTCACCTCTGCCACTGAACTCACTAAGGAAACTGTAGGATGCATACCAGGGACAGGGGCACAGACTCTGAGACAGATGGCCCTCAGGGTGGGCCTGGAGCAAGAGCAGAGGCCACTGCATGTTCCACAGGGTGACATGGGCCGCTGGTGCCTTCGTCCACCTTTCGGGGAAATGGAAATGAGGGGTGCGGAGAGTGCTTCCAGCAGGGCAGGGTGTCTTTTCGCCCACCCTGTGCACAGAGCCCTGCTGCCAGGCCTGGGTGGGTTCTGACATGGTCCCCACCTGCGAGGTGCTGGGACATGTGAGGAACAAAGATGGGACTCAGATGTGGGACATGTGAGTCCCAGGGAAAGCACATGTGGAGACATCTGGGCAGCCACCAGCTTCTGCGATAGGGCTGTCAAGAAGGCAGCCTGCACTGTGGAAGCTGCTGGACAATCCAGGCAGCAGGTGGCTGTCTGCAGGTGGAGGAGCATGGGTGGGCACCTTAGCAGTTTTGGGCGGTCCAGGGCCTGAGCATGCAGGGAGAGGACAGTGCTGTGCTGGGTCCTGGGAAGTGGTGTCCCTGGCCCTCAGACAGTGACCTGCAGAGGATGGGTGGCCGTGGGGATGCCAGACAGGCACACTGGGAACCCGGGCTGTGGATCACCAGACTCATAGCCCCTGCCTGGGCCTCCACAGCTTCCAGTGGAGTGACCCCTCGCTGCCACCTGGTGGAATGCAGGGCCACTCACTCCCTTTGCAGTGGTTTTTTATAGTTGGGGGACTGATTGTCCTGGAGCTCTGCCAGCTGCTGTAAGTACAGGATTAGAGGCCAGGCCTTTTGTGAGTGCCCAGGCTGGGAGGCTGGGCCCTCGCCTGCCAGGGTGGCATGAGATGTTTCGTTTAAGCTGCCGCCTGGCCTATCCTGCCCACTTAGGGGGCTCCACCCTCCAGGGCTGGGTGTACATGAGTCTCTTGGGGTCCTGCGGCCCCAAGGCCACCCCAAGGCAGGCGCCTGCCTCCTGCCCACACCCCCTGGAGTGGAATCAAAAGCTCCAGTGCCCGGCCAGGCGCAGCTGGGCCCTTGGGCCTGAGTCCACTCCTTCTCCTGTGACTCTGCACTGGAGTTTGCCCTCCTTGGGCCTCAGGTTCTGTTCTCTAAAGCTCGAGTGGCACTGTTTTATCACTTGACTTAGGCACATCATGGAGATGAGGCCTCCACTATTGCAGGTGTGGCACCTGACACCCTGGGGTGGCCACGTGTGGGGCTGGCCAGCAGTCAGCAGCCCCAGCCCCAGCCCAGTGTCCAGAGAGGTAGGGTGTTTGCGTTGAGCCCTCTGGATCTGCCCCTCTTACGGCCCAGCCCCCAAGCCATGTACTAGGGGCCCTGCATGCAGCCACCAGCCACCTCGTGCCTTTCTTTGGGCAATGGCAGAGGCGGAGAGGAGCGGAATTCCTGGGCCATGACACCACGAGGTGCCGCTGGCCCAGCTCAGCAGGTGGGCACAGCCGGCCTGGCCTCCCCATTCACGCAGCCAGCGAGGGATTTCATTCACTGTGGCCAGGCCAGGCTGTCCCTGCTGACTCACTGCCCCGGCCACTCTGGCCCAAGCAGCCTGCTGCTGGCACGCAGGGCCAGCCTTTGAGGTGGGCGGAGGGCAAGGGTGGCCCCCAAGAGCTCGTGACCCCGATGGCTGCCCCAGGAGCTCCAGGTGGGGACCACTATTGTGACAAGCCCTGTCTTGGAGTGTGAAACCAACTCGGGCAGTCTGACATGCTCCCTGCAGAGGGGTTTCTGGTGCAGGTGGGGTTAAATGAGGCTCAGTGGGCTGAGACTGATCACGTAGCTGCCTGGTGGTAGAGCCTGTGTGTCCTCTCGAGGATGGGCACCCCATTTGAGGGGAGGAGTATATGGTGCAGCCAAGACCGAGCTCCTTCGGTGATGCAAGACCCTGTTCCAGCCTGTGGGGTGCAGGTGCGCTGGGTCAGGGTGCTCCACTCCAGCTTCCCCCATTGTTCCCAGGCATCAGCCTTGTGCCCTGGGGACAGGCTGGAGCCCACAGGCAGCTGGTGGGGGCCGAGGTCCGTGCCTAGCTGACCCAATACCTCCTGTGTGCATGACACACAGTGGGGGTCCCTTGAGGTGCAGAGATTAAGTCTTAGGCTCTAGGACCACAGTATCCTGGGCCAGGTGAGAGGGACCTGCAGAATCTGCAGGAGCTTGCTCAGGCCTCATCCCAGCAGTGCCTGCTCTGCAGGAGTCCCCAGCCGTGCTCTCCTCCCTCTGCAGGGGCCGGTGTCTTCTTCCTGTCCTCAGCCAAGGGGGAGCAGATCAGCTTCCTGATAGACTGCGTTGTCCGAGGCGTCTCCCCGACCAGGGGCCCCTTTGGGCTGCAGCCAGTTCTCCCAGGTGTGTGTGGCCCCCGCCAGGAAGGCCTAGGTGGGGAGGGGTGCTTGCTGGGTCCCCACAGTGGCCCAGGCCTGAGGGTCACCGCGACTCATCTGCCCAGCTAGGGTAGCTGCCTGCTCCCGTTTGTGGCTAAGAAGCTGGAATCTTGTTGGTCTGGAGCTGTGAGCAGGGCCACCACACCACCATGGGGCTTCATAGTGGGTCTGAGCTCTGGGCACCCTGGGCCTGGCTCCTTCTGGGGACAATTTTACCATAGCTGTACCCGGATGGGGCCCAGGGTCCTGGGAGCTCCCTGTCTCCCAGATGATACTGGTCATCTCCGCAGCTGGGTTCAGGGCTGCTTCTGTGTGTTGCGGGGGGGGGGGTCTGGGGTGCTCTTGGGTGGGCACAGGGTCCCCAGGAACAGGTCTCCCTTCCCATCTCCACTCCCTGGTTGTAGTTGGACACTGTGCTCCAAGAGTGGCCAGGGATATTGCTGGGCCCACATAGCCCAGGCCCTGAGAGGCTTGGGCAGGGCAGGGCTCCAGGTCCTGGCAGGCCCAGGGCAGGGGCCTGGTGTGGACAATCTCTGATGTTTCCCTCACGCCTGGGAGGACAGAGTTTGTCCTGCTGCCTGGGTGCAGCCTGGAGGGCCGAGCAGCAGGTTGTGCTGTTCCTGAGTCAGGCACAGTGGCACACTCACCACTTGCCCCAGGAGCCTCAGGTGGCACAGTGACCAGGGAGGGAGGAGACAGCTCCCAGCCTGGAGCCTCCTGCTGCCCAGCTCAGCAGGATGGTGTGGCAGCACCCCCTGCTGTCATCATCCTGACTTGCAGCTGCAGCTGCAGTGACAGGCGCAGGCCTTTATCCTCTGTCACCCACAAAGTTGTGGCATGGGGCAGCAAGTGCTGGGGGCCAGTAGAGGATGCTGTCCGGTCTGGGCAGTGACCAGAGGGGCTGTGCACTCCCGGGGTGGGGGGAGCGACTAGATGGGGATGACCTAGGGTCAGCAGCTACAGCTGGGAGCTTTGGGAGTTCTGTGAGGCTCGGCAGGGAGAGCTCAGTCCCCAGGAGACTGACAGTGGCACCTTGGTGGGGGTGGCTGGGGCTGCCCAGCTTAGGCTGGTTCCAGTACAGGGACCAGGCTGAGCAGTGAGGGGCTGTGTGGGGGCTGCTTCAGCACCCTTGCAAGATCCCAGCCTCTGCCTGAGACACGGAGGGCTGGGGTCATGGGACCCTGTGCTGGCCAGGGTGCCCAAGGCTCTGAAGCCGCTGGACCCATTGTGAGGTCAGCAGTGTGGGGCTGGAGTGGAGACAGTGGGGCCCCATCCCTTCTCTCTGCCACAGACCCGAGCCCAGGTGGGAACTTGGCTATGGAGGAGCGCTTGGCCCAGGAGGCGCTGGAAGCCTTACAGCTGGAGAAGAGGCTCAGTACCCTCTCACATGCGGGCCGGTCGGGCAGTGGAGGTACAGCCAGCAGTGCCCCAGGGCGGGGACCTCACATGCAGATATTGGGGTCAGGCAGCTGCCTCGTGCTCCTGTTATGAAGGGGCCATCACACGCCCCTTCTCCCTCCATTCCTGCTGCTCCCTGGCTCATTCGTTCATGCTGCCTTCTTTCCTCATCCATCCTTCCATCCATCCACCATCCAACCATCCATTGCTTCTTCTACCTGTCCATCCAACCATCCACACTTCCATCTCTGCATCTCTCCATCCATCTATTCACCTATCCATTGCTTCTATCTGTCCATCCAACCATCCACCAATCCACCCCTCCACCCATCCACCCAACCATCTATTGCTTCTTCTGTGTCCATCCAACCATCCACTCCTCCATCTCTCCATCTATCACATCCTTCTTTTTCCCTCCTGCTCATGCATTTGTTCTCTGTTAATTCACTCACCCTCCTGTTCATTTTTCGCTATTACACAAATCTTTTTTAAATGCTGGTAGGAGCTGCATAATGGGGAGGGTGGGTGGCTTGCATCTGGCTTTTCCCCACCCACCAACCGGGTCTATACCCAGACAGGCAGCACAGTCACTTCAGCAGCTGCCCCCTTTAGCTGCCATCAAAGGGAACAGGGGTGGATGGGACAGCACCCAGCATAGGGCTGCTGCAGCCCCTGAGTTTCCCAGGCTGGGGAGCACCTGCTGACCCTGCTGGTGCCCTCTGCTCCCTGTCCCTGGGACTCACGGAGGCATGGTGGCTGCCTCCCCTCCTGTGCAGTGGCCCCTGAGGTAGGACTTCTCAGGCTTACAGCAAGCTCTCGGTCTTCCTGGGGGCTCACTGCTGGTGTACAGGTCAAGCAGAGGAAGCAAAGACAGACATGGGTTCCCCATGGTCTGCCTGGTGGGGGCAGTGGGGTGGTCTTGAATCCCAAACCTCTTCTTGTCCTCAGGGGCCCCATGTCCAGAGGGGAGGGCTAGAGAGGCAGGGCCCTGGGGCTGGAGGTGGTCAGCAGGACTGGATGCAGAGCTGGGGTGCAAAGCGAGGGGGACCCGGGATGCTCACAGCTCCTGGATGCAGAGGGGAGGGAGCACGGAGAGAGGCCAGTGCAGGCTGTTTTAGGAGGAACCTGTAGGGAGACTTCATAGGGGACAGGGCTGGGTCCAGGGTAGTGGCCAAGAGGGGATGTCCGGGGGACACTGGGTTTCTGCCCCAGCATCCAGTCAGAGAGGGCTGTCCCTGCATGTGTGACTGAGCTCCAAGATCCCCTGGGTCCACCACAGCTCAGCTCTCTCGCCACAGGGGATGACCGCAGCCTGTCCAGCTCCTCATCTGAGGCCAGCCACTCGGACATCAGCACCAGTGGCCGGCTGGCCACATGGCCTGAGCAGTTCTCGTCCTTGGCCAGCATATCACAGGAGGGCCTGGGGCTAGCGGCTGCACAGGTCCCTGGAGAGGCTGTGCTGAGCACCTCCAGGCCACCCCCTAAGCCGCTGCGGCCACGGCAGCTGCAGGAAGTCGGCCGCCAGAGCTCCTCAGATAGCGGCATTGCCACAGGCAGCCACTCCTCGTACTCTGGCAGTTTCTCGTCCTACTCGGGCAGCAGCCTGGATGTGTGGTGGGCTGGCGAGGACTTTGGCTCCCTGCTCAGCCTGCCACTGCCAGGGGCTGGGGCGCCCGAACCCAGCCTGTGCACCTGTCCACCTGGGGCAGCCGAGTACCAGGTGCCCACATCTCAGCGACCGCACTACGACACACCCCGAAGCCTGCGCCCAGCACCTGGGGACCAGAGCCCGGCTTCCCGGGGAGGCCCTGACCAAGGTGCAGCTGTGGAGCTGGGCAGCCAGATATCTGGGGCCTGCCCTTCTGGTTGGCTGGGCACCAAACGGCAGGGACAGGTGACAGAAGCCCCAGGCAGCGAGGCCACACAGGCCAGCCCGGCCTCCGTCGAGCCCTGGGAAGCCAGCAGCCCCCATGCTGGGCCAACTCTCGCTTTCTTTTCGGCCTGTCCACTCTGTGGAGGACTCAAGGTAAATTCCCCTCCCTGAGAGGCCACCCAGGCCCCTTGGTGGCCAGGGGCTGGGGTGTCACCCCTCTAGATGGGAGACGAGGGCTCCCCAGCCTCTTTGCACAGAGGGTGCTCGGTGCGGTTTCTGGGACCCACCCAGCCGGTGGAGAGGGCCTGGGGGTAGGGCAGCGACATTGGGCCCGCCAGGAGGGTGTGGTGGCTGCTGGCAGAGGAGGTGGCCGCGTGTTCTGGACAGTGAGGTGCTGGCCAGGCAGGCTGAGGTCGGTAGCTCCAGGCCTGGTTTCTCCAGCACTCTTGTTATCTGAAGGCGGGTGCACTGGCGTGCTGGAGTAGGAGGCCCCTGCAGGCTGGGCCCAGGCCCAGTGCTGCTCACCCTAGTCCTCTGCCCACTTTTAATGCCCCAATCTCCATCTCCTTCCATAAAAAGTAAGCCCCGCTGTGGCAGCTCTGGATACCACAGGTTCAGGTGCCCAGGGCGCTATCTATGTGCCACAGGCCCTGCACACCCCACAGTGCCCTGCGGGCTGGCCCCCTTTGTGGGGAGGAAACTGATGCTCAAGAGGCCCTGACTGGTGGGGTCTGTGTCCCTGTGACTGGGACCCCAGTGTGCCCCACGCCAGCCTCTTTCTGCAGGGAGGTGCAAAGGGGGAGTCTTCCCCAGGCCCAGGCTGGGAGTTCAACCTGCCCAGGGTCCCCACTACCACGTCGTGCGCCCTCTTACTGGCACCGGTGGAGGAAGCTGGGGCTCCCTGGGCTCCCAGGATACCTGGGATCTCTAGCTCCTCCCGGTTCTGTGCCCCTGCATGGCGCTGCTCAGAGCCATCCTCATCGGTGTCCAAGGCTGGCTGTGCCCAGCCCTTCTGCCCTCCCTGCTGCCCCAGAGGCCAGCCCAGGCCAGGTCCTCTGGAAACCCCAGCCCTGCACCTGCACTGTCGCCTGTGTTGTTGCTCTGCCCTATTTTTAAAATCTGACCCTGTTTGTAATATGTTCTCAGACTGGAAATAAAGTTTTCTTTTCACACCACCATGTCCTTTCTGTGTGCCAGCCCTCCCCACTCCCCAGTGCTGCCATGGGCTGTGACCGGGACTGAAGTCCAGGACTGTAGCCTGGCCTGGGTTATGTGCATGTGTGCATGTGTGTGTGCATGCATAAGCCAGGTGAGAGGCATAGGTGTTGGCTCCTGCCTGCTTCTTCTGAGTCCCGGGCAGCCTGGCTCTGTTGTCTGCCCAGCCATGGGGAGCCCCAGGCTCCTGCGGTGCTGCATGTGGGGAGGGCAGGCTTTGGGGTCCAGCTTGGGCCATATTACCTGACACCCACTGGCCAAGTGGCCCACAAGTCACTACACCTCTCTGAGCCTCAGTTTCCTCTTCCACATAGGTGACATCCCCCCAGCATGGGGTTGCTCGAGAGTCCATGTGTGCTCTGGGAGTGGTCCTGGGGCTGCAGGGCACCTTCCTGCCAAGAAATGGGGAACTTGCCAGAGCTCCCCCATCCACACTCTCCTTGCTGTGCTTCCTGGGGTCCCTGTCTGCAGCAGGCAGGAAAGGCAACCCGGTGGGTGGTGCAGGGTAGGAGCCAGGTCTGCCCTGGGTCTGGCTGCAGGACCTGGGCAAGTGGGGGCTGGGCTGGGATGTGAAGGCCTCCCACCAAGACCTTTGGGAGATGCTGGGGGCACAGCAGCTCGCATAATGGTGTGAGTTGGGAGGAGGGCTGGGCCCCCATGGTGAGTGTGCTCAGGGTCCCCAGGGCCTGTGGAGGCCCAGGCTGTGGAGTGGGGTCTCTGGACACACTCTCACTAGGAACAGGGCAGGACCATGTCCTTCATCCTGGAGGCCCTGGTCTTCTGAGTGCCTCAGGGTTCAGCCTCAGTGGTGCCTCTTTGGGGAGGGGGCCAGCTGGGGTGCTTCTCCTCAGGGTCAGAGCGTCACGTGAGCCAGACGGTGACCTCCTGTGTTGACCCAGGTGGGGAGCAAGGGGCTGCACTGGGGCACCCACCCACAGCCAGGGGTGGTTCAGCGTGGCAGCATGGGCTCCGGAGCAGCTGAGCACCGGGCCAGCTTGGTGACGGGCACCTGGGCCAGCAGTAGCTGAATGCCTGTGCCCAGTGCCCTGTGAGGCCCTTGTCTGATGGGCCCTGTGAATCTTGTCCTCTTGTCCACCCTGGGCCCCTGCACCTGCACCGGTTGTGCTGTGGTCAGACTTCCCGGCCGGCTTTGGGGCTGCCCAGGCTTTCAGGTCTCAGCCTTGGGCTACAACCAGCTGCTGGCATCTAGCCCGGATCAGAGTTGGTACCAGGTCCCCCCTCAAGCCTCCTAACACCTACTTGGCCAGGGGTTCTGACTGCCACAAGCCTGTGCTGAAGGGGATCTGGGGCATCAGCAGCCCCAGGTGGTTCAGCCTCCACTGCCTCCCTCCCTCCCGGTCCCACCTGCGCACTGGCCCTGGGCTCCCTCCCTAGCCAGGCACCGCCCACATCGGGGCCAGAAGCGGTCACTGTGCACAGTGGCGCTGTTGCTCCTCCGGGCTCCTGTGCGCTTCAGAGAAGAGCCACAAATGCTGCAGGCCTCAGTCTCTGTGGCAACAGGTGTGCGTTCCAGCAGGGCCACCAGCAGCAATGGGGCAGGGAACAAGGAGCCCGGTGGCCCAGGCCTCCGGCTCTCTTGGGACACAGGGCCTGGGGGGCAGAGTGCAAGGCCCTCAAGGCTGGCTTGTCCTGCAGGGGAGCAGGGGCAGCAGAGTGGCCATGTTGACCCCTATTCTCTTTGGTCTAGGGCGTGGCGGCCTCACCCCCAGGACTCATCTCGGCACAGTCAGGTAGGCCCTGGCTGGAGCCCATCTGTGGTCTGGGCTGAGAGCTGAATGCTGGGATGGGTGGGGGGTGGGGGCTCTGGGGCACTAGGTTCCTCTCTGGGGAGCTTAGGCACCCCCTGCCTGCCCATTGAGCTCACGCAATCACCCCAACTCCTAGATGGGTCCAGGTATGGGCGGGGCACCACTGATCTGGGTCCTGTCCTGGTCAGGGGTCCTGGCATCCTCAGGGGCTAGGGCCAGGCCATGTGGAGGAGGATCGTGGGGCCCCAGCTGGGCACCTTTGGGAAGGTGGCGAATCACTTCAGTGCACTGGACCAGGCAGTCAGTGCACTGGACCAGGCAGGGGGGGACCCCACCCTGGCCTGGCTCTCTCTGCTCTGCCCCAAGTGACTCAGGAGCTTGCAGTCTCTGCCTCAGTCTCCCCACGGGAGCAAGAAGGGCAGAGGGTGGGTTTCCAGATGCTGCCTGTGAGCTGTGGGAACTGAGGGCCTGCATCAGGGATGTTGCTGGGTGACCCATGGTCCCTGGGCAGGGACCAAAGAGCCAGGTGTGCCCCAGGGCCAGGGCTCAGGATTCTGAGACCACACGTGAATCCCAGGCTCGGTGTGCTTTCAGGCCCTTGGGAGCTGGTGACAAGAGGATGACAGGGTCTGAGAGTCTAAGGCTCAAGGGAAGCGCAGGGTGCTAGGAGAGGCCCGGGGTCAGCACTGCTCTGTCACTTCCTGAGGACTCACAGCCCCTCCCCCACAGGACCCCCAGGGCCAGGGGCTCCCGAGATACCCACTTACATGAACATCCCTGTCAGCCCCTCCTCCAGGCAGCAGCTGCACTACACGGGGCTGCAGCTCCAGCAGGGCGGAGCTGGCGTCCGAGGTGGGCACAGGGCCCTGCGCAGCCGGGGCTCTTCCTCTGTCCTTCAGCTGCCCTCCGAGGGCACCTGGGGGCTGGGCTGGGGGGCAGTGGGTCATGGGTGGGGCTGGGAAGCCGAGTGGTGGCTCAGGTGGCTCCACTCACCCCCAGCTGCCCACAGGGGCTGGCGCCTCCCACTACACACAGATCGACATCACGGCCACGGAGGCAGCGCAGCAGGCTGGGGCCCAGCACGCATGGGAGCGGCTGTCAGAGCTGCAGCAGCACCGACGGGGCGCCCTGCAGTGAGGCCGCAGCTGGGCAGCTGATGTCCGTCTTGAGGAGGAGTCTAGGCTGCAGGAGGCCCCGGCTCCCTGAGCAATGAGATGAAGGCTCCGGGCTGCGCCGCTCATTCCAGTGAGAGGACCCATGCTCAGGACCCCTCCTCGCCTGCTGGCCTCTGGGCCAACCATCGCGTTCTTCAGGGGCCATCTTTGGGTGTTACGTAGGCCGTGGCCGCCAGGGGAATCTGGAGCGTATGCAGAGGCCTGGCACGCAGCTGCCTCCCGTCCAGGTCTGAGATGACAGCACGGGCAGGCCGTGTCCTAGAAAGTCTGCAGATGTGGCAAGACTCCGGGGCAGAGCCAGGTCCCCACCCCATAGACACACAGCCTCTGCCCGGTCCTGGGCCACGTGCCCTGCTCCACCCTGGCCCCAACCTCTCCATGCCACTCTAGGGGTCCCACATTTCGGGCCATGGTGCCCTGGGCCTGGGGACTAAGGTGATGGGATGCAAGGCCTGTGGTCCCCTGGCAGTGCCCACGTGACCTGTGCCCATGTGACCATATACATATATACCTTTTAGAGATAGGCTGGTCTTGGGCTCACTGTATAGCCAGGCTGGCCTTGGACTTGCAGTGATCCTCCTGCCTCAGCCTCCTGAGTGCTGGGAATTACAGGTGTGCACCACCACTCCGGCTGCTTTCCTAGATTTTTGCCCAATTCTGTACTCTTACTTGGTTGCAAGTGTATGGCCATGGAGCGTGGCTGAGCCCCTGGGGCCAATTCTGCATTGGGGTGGGTATAAGGTGACAGCTGAGCGTTTATTCTCCTCTCGCTCAAGCTCGGGGCCGTGCGAGCTCTCAGAGTTGCAGCTGTGTGGAAACGCAGGCTCAGTGGCCCCATGTACCCTGTGTCTCCGTCTTCTGTCAGGTTTCCTTCTCAGTGCTATTGGGGCTGGGGACACCACTCCATGGCACAGTGCCTGCCTGGCCAGCCCCAAGTCCTGAGTTCAATTCCACTACCAAACCCCCTCAAACAAACAAAACCCCCAGATGTTTCTCAAGATTAGGGCCAGACAGACCTGCAAGGTTTGTCTCGAAGGTTGGTGCCCGCCCTGCCCATACCCCACTGTGCTGCCAACTCACGGTCTGTGTTGCGCTCCCAGGTCTCCCCGGGGGACCCCGCACCCTGGCACAACCTCACTGCTGTCCATTTGGGTCTCATGCTGACCTGGGGGGCTCTGCAGGCCCCGCTGACACAAGAGCAAGGTTGGGTACATGGGGTGGGGTGGGAGTGAAGAGCATGACCAGGCCTAACGTGATCTCGGTGCAGGCCTCGGCTGCTGGCCCCCACTCCCCTCCTCTCCCGGATGTGCTTAGCCCTGTGCTGGCCCCTTTCCAGAGCAGCTCTGCAGTCCAAGGTGTGATGAAACTTGGGAAGGCTGCTGCCCAGGCTGTGGCCGTGTGTGTAGCTGGCCTCTCCTGGTCAGTGACCAGGAAAGGGAAGTGCTATGGGCTGATCCAGACTCCGAGGCCGCCTGGGCAGCAGGACTGAAATCACAAGTAGGAAGAGACACAGCTTCTCTGGAAGGGGCGAGGACGGGCTGAGTGCGGTCCTGGTGAAGAGGACGATTTTGAGGGGGACTCAGCCGCATGTCACTGTACTTCCTACCATCCTCCTCTCTCACTGGATTAGGCTTTTCCCTGCAAGGCAGTTTCTCCACTCCTGCTTAACTGCAAAGCGGCTAACCCTGCCGGGCCTTTCCTGGAGGCCTCCGACCTGCCCTACCCACGGCGCCTCCCTTCCGGCCGGTCCCCTCTTCTTTCTCCTGTTTTAAGGAGCATTTTCTCCAGCAGCAACTGAAGAAAGGGGCAAACCGGAGACTCATGTTGTGGAATGCGGTCTATCCCTTCCCGCGGAAGCACTGGTGCTGGGTGCAGAGTCTGGGGTGCAGGGGAGTCCCGCCAACTGCCACTGCGACAGCTGGTCCCCTCTGCTCCCCAGCTCAGCTCTCACCACGGCTGTGCTCACGGTGCCCACAGTTCAGCACCCTGGAAGCTCCCCCGTTGTTACAAAAGTTTCGGGGACTCCTGGGTAGCTTCCCCACTCCCCGTCTCTCTGGAGCCCTACTCTTCAAACTGCCGCCCCATGCATTCTTCAGTACTGAGCATCAAATCCAGGGGACCCCTGCCACTACACTGCATTCTCCGCCCTTTAAAAACTTTTATCTCGTTTTACCATATGCTGGGACAAATTCCCGTGATCAATGTGATCACAGTGCAGACCTCCAATGTACCAAGGACTTCACTGATTAAAGACATTTCTTCCTGAGGCACGCGCCCAGGCTGGCCTTGGACTTTCGACCCTCCTGTCATTCGGGCTCTGGGTAGCAGGGGTTCCAGGCTGGCACCCCGAGGTGGGCACCAGCCCTCCGAATCTGCCTCTTCTGTGCAGTCTGCCATTTCCTCTGGCTGCTTTCTGCCCTCTGCCCTGAGTCTTACTTTTGCTCCCAGCTGTTTAATATAAGGCCTGTATTCAAAGCTCAAGCCACACGCACGGCATCTAAGGCAACCCACAGTCAAGACCATGCAAGCTTGTCCCCTACAGATACAGCAGCAGACCACAGGTGTGCCCGTAAACACACAGGCTATGAACAGCAGACAGAATCCAAGTACGGGAAAGGAATGCGGCCCGAGTTCTAACCACACTACAGAGCCACTGGGCAGGACACTGCCAAACACGCAGGACACAGACGCAGGCCTAGGCCGTGGACGTCTGAGGACAGACGGGACACTGAGCCAGGAGCCAGAGAAGGCAGCAGAATGCATGGGGCCTGATGCAAGCAACTGAAGTGGGCCGGTGGCCGGAGCGCAAACCCACTGGAACCAAATCACGGGACAAAGTGGGGTGTCCCATAGGGCGCATGTAGAAGGGATCCCTGCGTGCCCTGGCAGCAGCCTGGATCACTTGCATGCGTGCGTGCACACACACACACACTGCCCAGCTCTAGCCATGTGGTACCCAAGAACAGGGAAATGAGCCCCAGTCAGAAGCCGGCTGCTGCAGTGGGGAGGGTCTTGTGGGGTGAGTTTGGGTGTGGCAGTCAGGGTCCCACACTGTGCCCTTGGCTGCCCCCTTTGTGTGAGGTACAGAGTGCCCCAACCAAGACCAAACTGTGCTGACAGCCTGTGTACCGTCCTGGCCATCAGTGGCCTGCTCGCTGTCGCCCTGTGGCCTGGTGCAGCCACTCTGCGTGGGGCTGGGGTCACGGTCCATCTGAACAGGCGCAGCCCCTGGCACTCACCGGGACTATGACTGGCGCCAGAAAACACGGCCCCAGCTGCTTAAGGCTGCTTTGCGTGAAACAATTTGGCTTGGGTGGGCATTCTGGAAGGTGGCCCAACCACCTGTGGGTGGGCTCACGGTCACTGTGCCGCTGGTGAGGCCCGGCTGGAGTGGTCACCGGGAATGACCTGGCGGGCCCCCCCACCCTGCCCTGGCTTGGCCACCACCACCCTTGGCGCTTCCACCTCAGAGCCAGATGGCCATGGCCCGGACCTACTGGGACACGAGACTTAAATCACCCACTGTGAGCTGTGGTCCTGTGCCAAGCTGTGCCTGCTGAGTCAGGACCCTGTCATAGCACCCAAAACAAATCAATGCCTCGGGTGTTACCAGCTATTTCTGCAGTGCAACAGTGCAAACATCATCAAAAAGGAGACTGCAGTGTGGTACTGCAGTTCACCTGACCGAAACCTTACCTTACGGCTCGGCTCTGCAGGGAGTGTGGCTGGCTGTCAGCAGCTGTGAGAAGCCAAACCCCTGCCCCCACCCTGTGATTTCACACTGGGCCCCCTCCCCCAAGTACTGTCAAAGTCAAGGCAGTGGTGAGCCCCAGTGGAGGCTGGCTAGATGGTCACCCCTACTTCTTGGTGAGCCTGCAGCTCCTCCTGTACTCTCCGGGTGGCTTCGGGCTGGCAAGCACCATCTGTGCCTCTGTGAATGCATGGTTCACAATCTGTAAAGACTGCAGCACAGCACTTGCCCTGGGCTCCTCTCCGGGGCTGCTTGTTTTTCATGGCCACATGGAAGCCACAGTTCTCTGTGGCCAGTTCAGAGGATGCTCGATGGAGCGCTGCACCCTGACACCTGGGACTGAACCCAGGAGGGTCACGATCTGCACATGGGCTGCCAGAGTACGGCCTGGAGCTCCCAGCACACCCGCACCTCCCTGGGCCCCAGACACTGCTATGTCCTGGGGGTGCTGCTGGGGCAGATTCCACAGCACCCCACCTCCTGAGTCCCTCAGCTGTGAGGACCCTGCAGCACCCCGCCACCTCTGTCCCAACCTGCCAGCTTCCAGCACAGCGCTTCCATTCTGCAACACCTGGCCGCAGGTGGTGGGCACAGCATGGCTTTCAAGCTGAGAGCCAGCTGCCAGAAAACCCAGCAGTCAGGTGGCTTCTGGGTCAGCCTGGGAGCTGGGTTCCCAACAGTTTAGCCGTGGTGTCAGAGGAGGACCCTCTCCCTCGAGGCCAAGCAGTCTTCCTGTGCCCCTGGAGCTGCAGGGAGGCAGCCTCTAGTCAGAGGCCCAGGCTGCATCCCAAAGAGCTCCCACCAGGAAGGGTGGGGACTGCAGAGCCTTGGGGACAGCAAGAGAGGGTGACAGGTCTTTGAACGCTGGCTCTAGAAAGCAGAGCCTCAGCTATGAGACACCAGACAACGACAGTTACAGACTGTAATGTGTGCTTGTTTTTTTGTACCAGGAACTGAACTCAGGACCTTACACTTGCCAGGCAGGGGCTGCACCCTGAGCCGTACCCCCAGCTCTAATGTGGTTAGTGGACTCTGTGACACTTCCAGTGACAAATCTACAGGACTGCGACCTGGACTGTCCAGAGGATCCTTGGGTCCCTGTGGGGTGGGGATGGCCATGTTTGTTTCAAAGCACAGGAAACCTGCCATGGGTCTGAGATGCACCTATGGGCACATGGAGGGGTCCTCCTGGCCACGATGCTGTGCCCAACCTGTCACTTTAACTGCGGCCGGGGCTGTCCACATAGATGTCACCAGGAGAGCCTTGGGCCCTTGGCTCCATCTCTACCACTGGTGCTGGCCTCAGAGCTCATTGTGCCGCGCCCTGGAGACCCTGCTGGACAGGTCCTGAAGATGCTTCCTCACCTGCAGACAACAGGGACATTTGTCAGTTGGGGCATGGCAGACACAGTGGCATTCCACATAGGAGCTGTCACAGACACTGAGCGGCCTAAGAACATTAGAGCCAACCACTAGGAGCCCCGGCCGCTCTGACCCTGGGGAGAACAGCCTACCCACTGAGGTCAGAGGTCAGAGGTGTGTAGGGGTGCAGGGCCGGGAAGCGGGGACTGGCAGGGAGCCACTGGCCAAGCTTCCTTGGGCAGAATGTTGGGTCTGTGGAGGGGCAGAAAAGCTGGCCCAGGCACAGCTGGCACTGTAGAGTCCCTGCTGGGACATCCCCTGGGATCCTCAAGTCCCTTGGTGTTGGGGACAGAGGTGACATCTCTCCCTCCACCCTTCAGATACCCACAGCCGTAAGAGGACACGTCTGTTCCGGGCACAGTGGCAGCCAGGCCCCAGGTGCTATCCACTGCCCCAGGTTACCGGGCGACTTGGCTTCCCTCTGCAGCGCCGCCCTGCCCACCTTGTAGCCCAGCTCCTTGGTCTTCTCCTCCAGCAGCACATACTTCTCCCGGTTGCGGCTCACGTGCTCCTGGCTGCCCACGCGCTCCACGTGCTTCAGCTTCTCGTGCGAGATCTCCAGCTGCTTCTGGTAGTGGTTGTGCTTCTCAATCTTGGCTTCGAAGTGCTTGAGTTCCTCCTGAAAAGACGTTCAGAGACTTGGTTTTCTCTGACCTTGAGGTCCCCTCACGCCCCAACCTGATAGCCACGGAGGACCTCTGCGCCCACCCCGCACCGGGTCCCAGGCTTTCTTCTTGCTTGCCTGGACCCACCCTGGCCCTGGGCCTGGGAATGGGAATTGTACCCCCACCATGTGTGGGTCCCATCCTGGCCCCACGTGCTGGCCAACCCTGGGCTCCAGCATAACCACAGCGACCTCTAAGCCCCACCTGGACACAAGACTGGCTCCTGGCATCAACCCCCTGCGCCTAGGGAGGCTGCTGTCTCCCATCTGCCTCTCAGTCCTGGCCTCGGCCCCTATGGGTGCTGACACACAAGACAGCTGGACCCAGGGGGCCCTTTCAGCTCTTTGAGGTCAGCCCAGGCTACCCTAGTCCCACGTGTGACAGAGGCCATGGTCCCTGCAGCTCCTCTCCCCATCCCAGTGCTGCCCCTTTTCACAGCTCCTGCTGACCCCACCTTGCCAGCCCCATCCACCGTGTGGGCACAGCAGGAGCTCTGGGCCCACACACCCTGTACCCGAAAGGTACAGACACTCTATGTGCAGGGGCCTCGCATCTCCTGGGGCCTGGCCTCTCACCTCACGGCCCCTCTTTCCTCCTCAGCAACCCCCTGGCCTCATCACTCAGCTTCGTGTGACCCCACACCCAGCTGGCCTGGACTAAGACCCTGCTAGGTTTCACCTTGGTGTGGAGGTGCCAGACCCTTCCCAAAGCCTGGTGCATGGAGACCCCTCCCCTCTTTGTGGGACATCTCAGCCAGCGCCACCAGGGCCACTTCGTCAGCGCCCACTGTCCCAGTTAGGACAATCACCCAGGCTGTGCCCGGCCTGGCTGTGCCCTGGCTGTCCCGCTGGGCTGTGCACAGGGGACCGGGGAGGCAGTGGGCAGGTTCAGCTGTGATGAGACAGCAGCGCTGGTGCCACCCCGGGAAATGGATGGGGCGGCACCTGCGGCTCCTTACCCGGAAGGACTCCAGCTCCTTCTTGGTGAAGTTGGCCGTCTGTGCCAGGTCCCACAGGTCGATCACCCGGGGCTCCTCGAACTCTGCAGGGGAGCAGGTGTGAGCTCAGCAGGGCAGGGCACACACCCAGGCCACGAGGGGGCAGAGGGACTCGAGGAGAGACAACAGGGTGCGGCAGGGGAGGGAGGCACAGCTGCACCTGGGCTACTCACCTGCGGCAGCACCGTAGCCCTGGTGGCTGACCTTGCGCAGGCGGTCGAGGCCCTGGTGGATGCTGTGCAGCTTCGCCTTGAGCTCGCGGTGCCTGTCGTATAGGTCGTCAGCCTTGCCGTGGCTCGGGTCCACGGGGCTGATGGCGTTGTTGTAGGCCTCTGCAGACACAGGCAGGGGCCTGGTGAGGACCCCAGCCCACACAGGGCACAGAGGCACCGAGGCCACCTGCAGTCCTGCGAGTCCACAAACCCTCTGGAAAACTGTGTGGGAGACCTCGGGAAGTGGGGGGGGGGGCTACAAGGGCAGAAAAGGAGCTGAGGGTGACAGAATGAAATAATGAACTGTGTGGCACACGTGCAATGTCCCGAAACGAGTGTGTGCTCCGAACTGCTGATGTGCTCTGAAGGAAGCGGAATGTCTGAGCCGTCACCCAAAACAAGGCCTTACATTCACTCAAAAACCAGCCCTCTCCTGGATGTCTCCTGCTGCCACCTTAGCAGCTGCTGGGCAGTGATGGCTCATGCGGTCTCAAAACACAAGACTGCATGTGACAGGCATGCCATCCCTGGCCTGGAGCCACACCCCAGGCCTGTGATTCGCAGGGCTGCCCCAGAGACTGGGAGAGCTCACTGGCCTGACCCTGCATAGTCACGGGGGCAACCTGGGGGACTCCAGAGGGCCTAGCCTCTTCCTCTCCAGCACTGCTTCCTTGCTCTGCTTCAGTCGCCGTGAACTGAGCAGCGTCCTTTCCCTGCACCCTTCCACCATGTCTGCCTTGCAGTCGGCTGACCATGGACTGAATCCGAGACTGTGAGCCGATAAACCTCCCTCCTTTAAACTGGGATGCTAGGACCTGTGTCCAGTCGTGGGACCAGCTTCCACGGACTCTAAGGTCTCGGAGTCCTCCTCTGGGGAGGAGGCCGCACAGTCGGCAGGAGGTGGACACTTCAGTGCATGGAGGGAGGACAGTGAGCAGAGCCACCCGCTCCCTCAGCAGTGCCCCACCACCAGCATGGCACTGAGGATGTCTTTCCAGTCACAGAGCTGGGGTAACCTGAGAGAGGGCATGGCGGGCTCCACCCACAGCTCTCAAGGTCAGCACGGAGCGGGAAGGGGAGGGGAGGGCCCCGGACGCACCCTCAGCCCTGCTCAGCGTGTCCAGCAGCACGTTGTACTCGTGGACCTTGTCTCTGTGGTGCAGGAACTCCCGCCACAGCTTGGCCAACTCTTCTGGGGAGAATTTCCCTGACGTCTTCGCCTGAGAGGGAGGGCACCAGGCTGAGCACCCTGAAGCTGCCACCCGCTCACAGGGCAGCCACCTGGGCGGGGGGGAGAACCCTGGCAGGTAAAACATGAGGCCTTGCACGCCCCTCTCAGGCTCTGACCCCCTCACTGGGCAGGTGCGGAAAACCAATCCCAAGCCCAGATTTGGTAGGGGGCCGTGGGGGCTGGCTGGCTGGCTGTGTCCAGTGAGGACAGCATGGCCACCTCCCCAGGGGACACCCGCAGTCCCTCATCACCCCACCTGCCTCAGACTGGTCTCTATGTCCTTCCTCCTGCCCCCTTAATACCTCAGGACATCGGTTAGGACAGGACCCTGACTCATGGGCCTGTGGCACAATGTGCTAGGCCAAACAGACCACACCATGCCACAACGGACCCCGCCAGGGCACCTGCATCCCAATGGGGAAAGCTGGGTAACCCAGCACCACCCACGCCTGCCAGGCACAGCAACAACACAGGCAGGCAGGCAGACAGACCAACAGACACTCCCCACTGAGGGCATTCTTCCTAGCCACAGAAGCTGGTCTACAGTATCGGATATAAGTGAAGAATTCAGCCGCGCCAGGGCCATGGCTCAAGAAATACACTGTGACCCCTGAAAGCCTTCTTTCGCCTGTGTCCTGGGGATTCAACCCAGGGTCTTGCACACACCCACAGCTCACAGTTTTGACACAGGCTCTTGCTAAACTGTTCAGGCAGGGCTTGAACTTGTGATCCTGCTGTCTGAGTCTCCTAGAGTGCTAGGGTTACAGGCAGTCACCATGGCTCTAAACGCATTCCAGACACCTGCGGCTCTACATTTATAAACTGAACAGACTTCCTTGTGGAGACAGCAGGGACATTCTAAACAGGAGACATCACCACAGAAGACCAGCATCCACTAGAAACGGCCCCTGCCCCAGCCATGCCACCACCCTAACAACCTCAGGATAAGTTTCCGGAAGTGGGGAAACCAGGTACCTTGTGCCACAGCTTTTCCAGCCGAGGGTCGCCCAGCCCATCGTCCTGGGTGTCGCCGGCTAGTGCGTTGCTATGCACCACCTGTGCGTCCTTCCTGCCGTCCAGCCCGTACCTGGCCAGGATGACTGGGGGGAAGCTGCCAGTGAGCTGTCTCGGCTGCTCCTGGGCACGAGATGGTTTGCTCCTGACCTTCCCAAACTTTCCCTCCACTGCCACGGTGGTCTGGTGGTAAGGAGGCTATAACCCAGGCATGCTGCCAGGGCAGGACTATGTGCCAGGCCAGTTGCATGGATTCTCAGGGACACAGCAGGGGCAGAGCCCAGCGTGGACAGAGCAGGACAGTGCACGGGGCAAGCGGGGAGCCTGGTGCCCTGATCCTGTGTTCATCCACGGGCCGGGATGGCAATGCCAACATCTCAGCTCAGGGTAGGCGGAGTCAGTGTGCTGGCCACCCAGCTGGGACGCCCTGGCCCTTGCTGCCCTGCACCTGTCATGTGCACATGATGGGGGGTCCAGGAGCTGACCCCTCTGTGGATGCAACAGACTCCTGACTCCTGAGCTCTGCCTGTGCCGGCCAGGCCTCCTGCCCCCCACCCCATCACCTCCTGCATGCCTGCCTGTCACTGGGCAGGTGAGTGTCCTGCAGCCAGGAACCCATCGTGTGGCCCATCACAGCCCCTGATTGTCACAATGTGACTCCCAACATCCAAAATCTGCCTCAGCACAGCAGCCCAGCAGCCCCAGGCTGGCTGCGTGTCCCTGTCCCTGGAGTCCCTGTCCTGCGGTGAACCCCACTCAGGAGTCGGCACAGCAGCTGAGGCCACACTGTTGGGAGCCGATGAAGCTGGAGATTGATCACACGTGTGGGGCTAAAGCAAGGCTAGCCCAGAAAAAGCAAAAAGACCAAAACAAGCTGTGTAAACAGGGTGTTCCAGCACCAAGAAGGCAGGGGCCCAGGCCTGCCAGGCAATGGGTTGCTGGGCAGAGGGGCTGAAATTGCCATCATCTTTCCCAGTATATAAATAAAGGTGCTACAGTGGTTGAGCAGATCCTCTCCTCCCATCAGGGGGACAAGGGCTCCTCCTGACCCCAGCTTTGTCTTTTATTTTTCTCATCCTCTCGCCAGTCCTCTCACCCCAAGAACTTCAGGAGCCACACTGGGTTGTGACACTATACCATAGTGCCTGTCCCCAGAGTTCAGCACCATGCACCCAAAGCCCCCTTGTCCTGACCCCAAACTTCACGTCATCAGTTGGAAGCCAGTGACACTGAGGCCACACAGCTGCCCCACCCCCACCCCGACAACTGGGGCGCACCGTTGAGATTTCGGACGAGCGAAGCCTCCTTCTCCCCATCCTGGTCCAGCCCTTCCGCCTTCAGCTTCTTCAAGCTGAGCTCGTCTCGCTCCTGCATCTTCAGGTCAGCGTGCAGCTCGGCCAGCTTCACGGGGGAGAGGTGCAGCTGCTGACAGGAAGAGGGTAGTGTGACAGCTGGCTGGGTGACCCTGCAGGAGCTGCCCAACACTGGCCTGGAGGATGGTGGCGTCCCTGACAACAGAGCTCAGGATCCCCCCCAACCTGTTCACAGAGAAGCTCCCCAGGGCCAGGAGCCCAGCTGGAGAAACCTTGAGGAACAGGACCTGGAGAAGGCAGCTGCTGTGGCCAGGCTCCTGGGACATGGATGGGTGTCCTTCCTGCACCACACCGGCACCTGGTGACACTCGCCAGGTAAGTGGGGTGGGAAGGTGCAGGCACACAGGATGCGGTGTGTAGAGGGAGCAAGCCTCCGCTTCACTGTGCGCTGCCCAGCTGTAACGGCCCCCACGGCTCTCAGACCCGCTGACTGCAGCCGTTACCATCTCCGAGGCCTGGCCTATATGGTTGGAGCCAGGCTTCTGGGCCAGGTCCCCAGGGCACTGGCCAGTCCGTGCCCAGCTTGTTTGGTACAGCACTGCTCTTCTCAGGGGAGCCGAGCAGTGGCCCCCATGTAGACATAGCAGAAGCGCAGGCACTTTTACGTGGAGCGCAATGTGGGGGGCATCACGCCCAGCGCGGGACGCCTTATCTGCTTCAGCACCTGCCCCGGCCTCTGGCACCTCTTGCTCCACTCTGCCCATGCCCAGGCCAGGTCCAGCCCAAGGGCAAGGAGAGCCTGGTCATAGGCCCTGTCCTCTAAGGATCTGAGAACAAAACCTGGACTAGGCAGGGTGCCTGTCAGGTCCCATGTCCTCCTGAACACTGACCCTGGGTGGGGTGAAGGACTCAGGTGAGTTCTCCATGGTAAAAAAGTCACCACCAGCTGGCTCCAAGTGGATGGTGGCCGGCAGGGCAGCTCTTCCTCCGAGGAGTGTCTCTCTGGTCTCTCCTGGACACAGGAGTGTTTTGGCCCCACCTCCCTGGTCTGGGTTCCAGGCTTCTCAGCTGAACTGGCCCTGTACCTGGCCCCCTGCCTAGGGTACCCACTGAACCCTGAATGCCCATCAGGAACTCTGGGAGGGCCCAGAATAACTGCTACCCCCATGTCCTCTGGGGGCTCCTCAAGGGCAGCAGGCAGGGTCAGGAAGCCAGGGAGAGGGTGCAAGTCTGTGGACCCATATTGGCTTCTCACAGGCATCCGGCCAGAAAGAAACCCTGCAGGCCTGCTTCGGGGTACTGAGACCCCATACACCCAACTTGCTTCCCACCAGGAAGTGGTAGCTGAGGTTCTAGGTTTGTTCTCTGCAGCAACACTGGCAGTGTCTTCGTCTAGACTTGCCCACTCTGGGCTGCAGGGAAGGGACCTACAGCCGCCTTGGCTTCCCGGCTAGCACCTAACTCAAGGGCAGCCTGAGGACCCCGGCCTCAGACAAACTCTGCAGTGGGGTCCTTGCTCACAGGCACAAGCAACGACCCCAAATCACCCCTCATCTGACTCTGTGCTCTCCCTTCTCCCTCCCCAGGGCCTGGGGATGATGAGGGAAGGCGTCCCCTGAGCTGCAGAAGCTGATGCACACGCAAGTGTCACTGCTGCCCTCCCAAGTCACCAACCCTGTGGTCCCTGGTCTCAGGGTCTACACTGTGCACTGCACACCCCACATCTGATTGCTGTCAGCAAAGAGCAGCTCAGGGCTGAGGGTTGGTGCCCAGGGCGACCAAGCTAGCAGCTGCATAGAGTGAGGACAAGTGGGTCACACCCCTCTCCCCCACTTGAAGCCAAATGCAGAGCAGAAAGGTCAGGGCTGGGAGTGGCTGAGGGCAGAGTGTGTTTTAGCCTGTACGAGGTCCTGGGTTTGACTCCCAGCACTGCACAAATGAAAAGAAAAGGGACTAGTCAAATATTAAACTTCGGGTAAATCTTCACTACCCACAAGACTGCACACCAGGAAGGTAGTCTCTCCCTAACTCCCTGGAGGGTCCATGTCACTTCTAGCCCCTTGAGGTGCAGCCCCAGGAAACCAGGCTATCTTGAGCCACCTGGCCAAGAAGGTGCAGGGCTCCGTTGGGGAGGACTGGCCATGACATGCCCAGGGCTGATCCTGAACCAGGACAAGCCAGCAGCCTACCCCGGGTGCTAGGCTCCGACCTACTGGCTGGGGCACCATGGACCTAGGCATCAATCTGGTGTATTCCTCTTGCTGTGGAGCATCTGGGCTAAGTGCCTGTCCCCTGAGCTCTAGGGATCAGAGCCAAGGGTGCTGCCTCACCCCAGGGGTTGCTGGGGCACTTGGCTTGCCTGGCCAGTGCGAGGCGCCATTTGGGGGCAGGGTGCCCTGGTTGTTGGTCTGGAAGTGTGATGTCCAGCCCTTCTTGGTGACAGGGAACAGGAAATGGAAGCACACAGCCATGATGGGGACAAGCATGGGGGTCTGCTGCACCCTGGCGACCACGTGCCTGACCTCAGAGTGCGCAATGTGTACTTTCCTGCCAATGAGAAACACAAACTCTGAGCCAGGCAGAGTGACACATGTCTGTAATCCCAGCACTCTGGAGGCTGAGGCAGCTCAGCAGTAGCTATCTATGCAAGAGCTGGAGCTGTAGCCCAGAAGCAGAGCACTTGCCTAGCACATGCGAGACCCTGGTTCAATCCTCAGTACCGGAAAGTGATAAAGAAAGGAGAAACAGAAAGTCAAGCTCCAGGGTCCTAGGCCAAGGGTGAGAGGGACTCGGCCCTGACTGCTGCAGCAGTGCCACGCAAACCTGTGGAGCCCGCTCCCCTTGGGGTCACCCAAACACACGGCGGTTTGTGATGGAGAGGCCTCCAGGAGGTCTCCAGGGGCACCTGGCAGCCAATGCCGAGGTATCTCTCTCCCCAGCGCCAAGGGCAGCCTCGCCTGTCCTCACTCAGGCTTGCGCCTTGTGACACTGGATGAGTAGTCACAATGACAGGAACAGAAGGGGCCCAGGAAGAACTGCTACAAGATTCACAGCTTGACTAAGCATCTAGAAACAGAAAGGGTGGTGTGGAGTCGGGGTGCAAGAGGCGGGAGGGCTGCAGCCATCACAGCTTTGCAGTCCTCATTTCCCACCCCAGCCAGAAAGCCAGCAAAAGGGAGCGTGTCCTCAAGAAGCAGGCTCTCTGGAAATCAGACTGAGCTTCTGAAGTCCCCTAGGACCTCCTATTTGTCCAGCAGAAAAGGCTGGAGGGTCTGGAAAGGTCATGGAGCCCAAAGCCCTGGCAGGGCCAGGACAACAGGCATCCAGCAGTGACTGCAAACAGCAGAGAGTGGGGGAAATGCAAGGCAAGAGCAAACAGATTCAGAGAGGGCTGGGCCCTGGAGAACCGAGGGACTCAGGGACCAGGCACAGCAGGAGGGCAGTGACCTCCCAGGAGGTCTAGGGAAGCTGCCCGGGCAGGGAGTCACAGCAACCCAGAGGCTTCCTGAGTGTCTTTCTGGTTCCCCAAACAGTCCTACAGGGAGCTCTATATCTACAATAGTGAAAATCTGGGGACAGAAACTTCTGGTCCCTGCTGCTTGGAGGCTCTGTCTCTTTTCCTAGGAAGGCACCCTGCCTCCCCTGCCCACAGAGCTGTGTCACCCCTGCAGGCTCAAGACTGCAAGAAGGGGCCACCCCAGCAGCACCACAAGGGCAGGCACGGGAGCAGCAGTGAGGAGAAGCAACTCCTCATCCCCAGGATCCCTGCACCAGCCTCCCCCTACCCCTTTAAGGCCAAAGTTTCCCCACATATCCCCTCTGAAAATTACCCTTTTTTTTTTTGGTGCCAGGGATAGAGCTCATGACTTTGCGCTTGCCAGGCCAAGCAAACTGCCGCTGAGCTAAATCCCTGACCCTGAAACTTACCCTTATTCTAAAAATTATTTACTCAGAAACTCAGGCAGGGCAAGCAGAGTACTTATTAATCTCCCTCGCTTTGGAGATGAAGATGAAGATAGAGGCCCAGAGAGGTAGGGGGCAATCTAAATCCCCATTTCCCTAAACAGGAGCCTAACCACTGAGATAAGGAGAGCAGCTGACCCCAGGTCACAGGGTTCGAACCGGTTCAGCCCCTGGTTGACTTTGAGGATGCCCTTTCCTCCTAGGCCTTGTAACCTTCACTTCCAAAAGGAAGAGGTCAGAGGCTTGTCCCTCTGACTGTAGGGTTCCCTTGTGTTCTAATGGCCCCTCCTTCTCCCCAGGTTTCTGGGACTTCTGCTGTCCCCGGACAAACCTGGGCCATATCACTTGCCCTTGTTTCGCCAGAGAGCCAAAAAAGGCAGACCTCTGCGGCAGCCCGGCTCCCTGGCGGGGAGCAGACCCCTCTGGCGGGGGCGCAGACCAGGCCCTGGGCATGGCTTAGCCCTGGGGTTCGTCCCGTCCCCGTTGCTCCCGCAAGTCCCAGCGCCCCAGGTCCCTCCCAGGCACGTGAGGTTGGGGAATCCGGGCTGAAGGTGGCGTCAGGGCTGCAGGACACCGCTGCCACCTGCTCCGCCTGAGGGTGAGCCCGCCACCCCTGCTCTCCACCCCTGCTCTTGGGACCCCCTGGCTTCCCCGGTCCCCGCTCGCCCGCACCCCAGGGCCCCGCCCGTCCCTGGTCACCTCCCCAGACCCTACCCACCACCCCAGCTCACCCGCCGGGCCTTCTCCCAGAGCTGGTTCAGCTTCTCCATGCGGAACTCCTCCCCCGGCTCGCGCGACGCGGGCGGCGGCGGCGGCTCGTTCTTCTCCCGCGAGTACTTGCCACCGTGGCTCACCGCGGGCGGAGGCCCGAGGAGGAGCAGCAGCAGCAGCGGAGCCATGGGTACCGAAACGCCTGCCCTGCGCGACGCCATGGTCTTCTGCCTCGGGCCCCGCCCTCCGCGATAGACAGCCTCGCCCCTCCCACCTCCAGGCCCCTCCCACGCGCCCTATCCCGGGCGCCTCCTAGGTCCTGGCCACGCCCACAGAACAGGTCACGTCCGCGCGCCCGCCCCTGGTCGCAGGCCGCGCCCACAGTCGCTTTCTAGAACCGCTTCTGCAGTCTCCCGGTTGTAGGCTGCAGGAAGAGCTGAGCTGTGCCTGGGGCGCGTAGGCGACGCCTAGCAACCCCGAGGCAGCGGCGGGAGGGCAGGTCCTGGGGGAGGAGAAGGTTCCCACCTTCACCCGCGCCGGGCTTCTTGCGGCCTGCGGGAGGCCTGGATGGATGTGCCTGACTGCCCAGGGCATGCAGAGGCCCAACGCCGAGGTTTGGGGTTCCGCAGAGTCAGGAGAGCCATCTGGAGACGAGGGCCGAGGGCCGGGAGCATAGCAAGGAGATAACAAGGAAGGTGTGGGGAATTGTCGCGCCGTCAAATACCTTTACCTTAAAACCATCCTGTTTTTCCACAAAGGGCCTAAGGTTCCTGTCATCAGGGTGACCAGCTGTCCTTGGCCTGTGCAGTAGGGTGATAGCCCATGTTCCCTGTTTTGTCTGGTTGTTTCCTTATCCCTGGAAGAGGTGACTTCAGTCCCCAGCAGGTACTCCGTCCCAGCCAGAGCGCAAGCAGTTAGGTGACCACTGTGGAGCCCTGCTGCGCTCCTGTCCTCACCTCAAAGGAAGGCGTTCCTGGGTAGTGTTGGGGCTCTGGGTAGGGAATTGGGGATCCAGGGTGCCTCAGCTTCAGGAGAGCTTCCATGCCTGCTTCCCTCCACAAATGGGGGGCAGAGCACCCAGGGCTGGGGTGGATGGGCCAGTCAGTGACCTACTTGCGTGGATAGTCACATGATCACACTGACATGGAGCCCTGGGGCTCGAAGGCCGGCTCCTATTAGGAAAAGGAGACTCAGCCTTGGCACCGTCTTCTTAGAAACTGGTGGAGGGGGTGCTGGCTGCAGCAGATGGGGGGGGGCTGGTGTCGGCGCAAACTAGCTGTGACCCATGGAGGACAGAGGGGCTGACAGGACGCGCACTGGAGCAAGTTGTCCACTGTGTGCTGCTATCCACTGTCTGGAACCTGTCTCAGTGAGCCTAGGACTTCTGTGGCACCGGATGGCCAAGACCCCTTTTGAGGGACCCACTCTGCTTATGCCTGAAGCACCATCCTTTGCCCTGGACCTGTGGCGTGCTAGACTAGCTCTGTTCTCAGCTGTGTGTGCAGTCAATCATTGCATCTGCTGCATCTGCTGGAGGGGTCGGGCGGGGCGGGGGGGAGACAGAAACAATAGCAAAACAGCGACTGGCAAAAGCTTGGACTTATAGGCTTGGCACGGAGGTGCACAACTGTAATCCCAGGACTCTGGAGGCTGAAGCAGGAGGATCACTGTGTGTTTGAAGCCAGCTAGGGCTACATACTGAGTTCAAGGCCAGCTTGAACTGCCTAGTGAAACCCTGTCTTAAAAATACCAAAAAAAGGGGCTGGGGATTTAGCTCAGTGGCATAAGCACCTGCCTTGCAAGCTGGCCGTGAGTTCGATCCCTGGTCCCGATGAAAAAGAAAAAGACAAAAAAAAAAAAAAAAAATGCCGGGGAATTAGCTCAGTGGCATAAGTGCCAGCCTGGCAAGTGAGAGATTGTGAGTTCAATCCTTGGTACCAAAAACAAAAACAAAAACAAAAAAAAAAAAGAAAAAACAACAACAACCAACCCCCCAAACACCCCAAAACAAAAACAACCTCTCTGTAGTAGACCTCAGTCATCTCTCCAGCCCTGCAAACAAAAACAAAAGCCAAAGCCATGAAAACTAACAGAAAATATGCACAGGGGAAAGACAGAGGGAGAGATGGCCATCACCTTTACCCTCAGATCGACAAGAGGAGCTGTTAGACCCCTGGATGCACACGTAATATAATGGAAAACTGTGTAAGGGAACAGCTGGAAATCAGAAGCTAGTAGCAGAAATAAAAAAACCACACAGAATGATAGAAAGATACTGAGGAAAACTGAGAAAGTAAATTGAAGCAGTGTAAATAAAAAAATAGAGCAGAAATAATGAGATTTCTACTGTAGAGGACCTATTATTGACAGAAATTTCAGAAAGAAAGGACAGAGAGGCCTAGGGAGACTTAGCTCAGTGGCTCAAAGCACTTGCCTGGTAAATGTGAGCTCAGAGTTTGATCCTGGGTACCAAAAAAAGGGGGGAGGGGTGCACAGAGAGTGGAAGGTAATAGACTGCCAAGGAAAGTAGTTAAGACATGACTCCACAAAGGGCTGAGCAGCTGGCACAGAGAAGGGATCAGCAGGTGACTCCCACGGTGAGTGACACGGCCCACACTCGGCCGCGGCTGTGAAATGTTAGAGTGCTGAATGTGAAAAGCAGTTTTGCAAGCATTTAAAGAGAAAAGCAAGTGGAAGGGCATGAAATATCTCTGGACTTCTCGATAGCAGCTGTTGTAGGAAGACAATAGTGTAGCAATAACTTCAAAATGTGGAAGGAAGCCGGGCGCTGCGGCGCACGTCTGTCATCCAGCACTTGAGAGGTTGAGGCAGGAGGGTCGTTGTGAGTTCGAGACCAGCCTGGGCTGCAAAATGAGCTCAAGGCCAGCCTGAGGTGCATAGAGAGACCCTGTCTCAAAAAAAAAAAAAGGAAGGAAGGAAAACGACTCCGACCTTAGACTTTACACCCAGCCAAAATTGTCAATGAGTGCCCAATGAGAGTCTCAGTGCAGACACTTCAGACACACAAATCTCCACCAAAGAAAGAAAAGAAACCATGAAAGAGACAAGATACAGGTACAAGATCCAATGAGGGAAGAGGAGGTGCAAGGGGTCCCCCAGAGTATGGCAGCAAAGGCAGGGTGGCTCTGGGACAGGCAGGCCACGTGTCACGCTTAGAACTACTTCATATTTGTAAACCCGCAGGTGGGGTGCTCAGCTGAGCCTGGCCCAGTTCTCATGTCTTTGTCCTGTGCCCCCCATTCCTGGGGTCACCCATTTCACCCCATGCCAGTGTGCCCCTTGACGCTACTCCCAGAACCGAGCAATGTCCTCAGAGCGAGAGGATGCAGTTGGGGTAAATGAGAGAGGCAAGGTAACGGTTCGAGTTGGAAGCCAGGCATGGGGTGCACACCTGGGACCCAGTGCTCAGGAGAATGAGGCAGGGGAACTGCCAGGAGTGCGAGACCAGCCTGGGTTACAAACTGGGTGGTGACACATGCCCACAGTGCCAGCTACGTGGTAGGAACATCACCAGTCGGGGCCAGCCAGGACCACTTAGTGTGTCCCTGTCTCAAAAAAGGCCTAGGGATGCAGTGTAGGGCACAGGCTCTGGATTTGATGCCCTGTGCCAAACATTAAATAAAAGTAACAATCGATCACCCCAAGCATGATGGTGCACACCTAGAATCCCAGTACTCGGGAGGCTGAGGCAGGAGGATTGCCGCCAGTTTGAGGTCAATCTGAACTACATAGTAAGACTCCATCTCAAAAAGCAAAAACAAAACAAAACATGGAAGCAGTGGCCTGGAGGAGGAGGGAGTTGAATGACGGGCAGCCACAACGAGGCTTGTGTCTGAGTTCCTTCCTGGCTAGCGGGCGAGCACTGTGCTATCCTCCCAGCCTGGTGTGTGTACAGGTGCCTCGGGCCCGCTGTGCCCCCCGGTTCACCCTGCCGACTGCACTTCCCATTCAGCTCAGCAGCCCTGGCCGCAGCCCTCACCATACCTGGCCTGTGCTGGGCGCTGAGGCTCCTTGGGAAGAATCGGCTCTGGAAGGGGTATCAGGCAGGTGTATATAAAATTGCCCGGTGCTAGGGGCTCTGGGAGGATCCCCAGCTTGTGAGGCTGTCTGCCTGGGAGGAGTGGCAGGCATGTCAGCCAGCTGTCTTACCAGAACAGAAGCGAGCTGATTGCAAGGCTGTCTGAGCAAAGCAAACCGAATTGCTCGTGCTGGAAGCCTGGTGTTCAGGAGTTGCTGGGCCTGGTGTTGCATACCTATGATCTCAGCACTCAGGAAGCTGAGGCAGGAGGATCACCTGGGCTATGTAGTGAGTTCAAGACCAGCCTGAATGACATAGGGAGACCCTGTCTCAGAAAAAACCAAACTAGTTTATGGTCACACTGCCCTGAACATGCCCAATCTCGTCTGATCTCGGAAGCCAAGCAAGGTCAGGCCTGGCTAGTACTTGGATCAGATAAAATAATCAAACTGAAAAATAATTAAGGAGTGTCCACCTTGAAGAAGCAGGAGTGCTCAGGACTAGACAGTGTTGCATAGGCATTTCTGTCTCCAACTGGCCAACTTTCAGATTCTTACAGTGCTGTCATTGGCTGGAATGGATGAAAATTCCTTCTGGATTTTGTCCTGCTCCAGCCAACAAGCAGTTTGTTTTATCTTGAATTTGGGGTATTGAGTGTTATTCTCACCAGGACAAGGCAGGAGTCACACCAGCAGTGGGGGACCAGTGACCACAGGTGGGCCTTGTGCGGTCCTGGTTAGACACCAGGTGGTGGGAAGGGAGGTGGGGAGCGTGGAGGGATCCAGAGCAGGGGCTGGCCAGGCCAGTCAGTGGAGAGGACACACTGAAGGCATGGAGCCAGGGGCACAAGGTGCTGTCAGTCCGGTGAGCGGTGGTGGAAAGATGGGGATGCAAGGTGAGAAGGAGAGGGAAGGGAATTTGGTGCCTGAAGTCCAGAGGATGCCCAGGGTCCCCTGTACTCAGGAGGAAGACGGGCCGGGAGGAGGGCGGAGCTCTCTGGGTACTTAAATTAGTGGGCCTAGTGCTGGATGTGGCGCGGAGACTTCAGGGGGATGCACTGCCGGATGTCACTGCAAGGCCACACGTGGGCATGAGGTGGTCCCAGAATGGCCAGTGGATCCCACTGCTTCTGCCTGTCCAGCAGCGTGTGGACAGGGCTGCACAGAGCGGGTCTGCAGAGAGACTTTCTCCAGGAGAAGGGGTGGGGCTGGGGTCCAG